TTCTTCCATCATGGAGCAATTGACCACGCTACTCAAGGTCATCACGGCTCCTTTACAAGCTCTTAAGAAGGAGAAAGAGAAGGCTGCGGAAGAAGCGAAGAAAGCCAACGAGAGTTCTGCAGAAGGCCAAAACGCTGAGAACCAGTCTACCGAGGCTACATCTACAGGCGCCGCTCAAGGCCAAGATACTGAAATGATAGCTGCACCAGACTCTGGCGCTACTGAGGAAGGCGCTTCTAAATCTGACGGATCGAAGGCTGAAGATGACAAGACTAAGAAGCACAGATCATTGACACCACCGGATGTGCCAGAAGCAAATCTTCGACTCGTGGCCAAGATCCTCGCGGCTCGAGAATGCAATAGTAAGGTATTCCAGGAGACCTTGTCAGTCATCAGCAACCTCTCGCCCATTCCAGGAGCAAAGGAAATATTTGGCCAAGAGCTACTTGGTATCGCAAAGGATCTGGCTAGCTCAACACTCCGAGATCTTGACAGCCTGACAGTTCAAATTTCAAAAGCAAGCTCGTCAACTGACGTCCAGGGCATCGCTCTCGCAAAGTTCTCTCCCGCCAGCTCCGATCAAACGAAGCTGCTAAGAGCCCTGACCGCACTTGATTACCTCTTCGATCCCTCCCGCGATAGCAAAGACAAACCCGAAGCTGCTGCCGAGGCGCTGGAGCCAGCTCAAAAAGAAGACATCCTCTTGACGCTATACGAGGATGCTGCGTTTGCACCTCTCTGGGAGAAGCTCAGCGAGTGTCTTACCGTCATCCGTCAACGCGGTAACATGCTCAACATTGCCACAACTCTCCTCCCCCTCATTGAATCTCTCATGGTTGTATGCAAAAATACCACGTTGAAGGAGGCTCCACTGTCTAAAATGCTTGCTAAGGAGTTTGCACTGTCCAGCCCACCGCCTGAGAACAAAATGGAGAATCTGTTCTTCAACTTCACAGAGGAACATCGCAAGATATTGAACGATCTTGTCCGCCAAAATCCTAAGCTGATGAGCGGCACTTTCTCCTTGCTTGTGAAGAACTCCAAGGTTCTCGAGTTTGACAATAAGCGCAATTACTTTAATCGGAAACTCCACTCACGTGGTGGCGATCGACAAGCACATCCGCCATTGCAACTCTCCGTTCGCCGAGACCAAGTCTTCTTGGATTCTTTCAAGTCGCTCTACTTCAAGTCAGCAGATGAGATGAAGTACGGCAAGCTCAGCATTCGCTTCCACGGTGAAGAAGGTGTCGACGCTGGTGGCGTTACTCGCGAGTGGTTCCAGTCAATCTCTCGCCAGATGTTCAACCCCGATTACGCCCTCTTTGTGCCTGTCGCATCTGATCGCACGACTTTCCATCCGAACCGATTGAGCTCCATCAATCCTGAGCACTTGATGTTCTTTAAGTTTATTGGTCGTATCATTGGCAAGGCGCTTTATGAAGGCCGTGTCCTGGATTGCCATTTCAGCCGAGCTGTCTACAAGCAGATCATGGGCAAGCAAGTCAGCCTCAAGGACATGGAGACGCTTGACCTTGAGTATTACAAATCCCTTGAGTGGATGATCCACAACGAAATCACGGACATCATCACGGAAACCTTCTCAGTGGAAGTCGAGGCTTTTGGCGAAATGCAAACAGTCGACCTTATTGAGAATGGTCGCAACATCCCAGTGACCGAGGACAACAAGCACGAATACGTTCGCCTCATCACTGAACATCGTCTCCTCGGTGCCGTTCAAGAACAACTCGATCACTTCCTAAAGGGCTTCCATGACATCGTCCCTGCGGAGCTTGTCTCAATCTTCAGCGAACAAGAACTCGAGCTTCTCATCTCTGGTCTGCCTGATATCAACGTTGATGACTGGAAGAACAACACCGAATATCACAACTACACTGCTGCATCGCCACAAATCCAATGGTTCTGGAGAGCAGTCCGAACATTCGAGAAAGAAGAGCAAGCTAAGTTGCTTCAATTTGTCACTGGTACGAGCAAGGTGCCCCTGAATGGATTTAAGGAACTTGAGGGCATGAATGGCTTCTCCAAGTTCAACATTCACCGCGACTATGGCAGCAAAGATCGTCTACCATCTAGTCATACTTGTTTCAATCGTAAGTCATTTGCTAGAACGCTCACCGAACGCACACTAACTACTTTACAGAGCTTGATTTGCCTGAGTATGAGACATATGAGGATCTTAGGAAAGCCCTTTACACCGCCATGACTGCTGGTGGTGAATACTTTGGTTTCGCCTAGACGACCAGATTGCATGCTCAAACAGCAGTTCATTCACAACAGTACTTTTCGAACACATTGTTACAACGGGTTGCATTGCAGGCGCAGCAAGGTGTGTATGGGATATACCTAGGGTTAGTGCCAAGGAAGGCGCATGAGCATTGGTAAGAGAAGGTCGATCAGCATAATTTCACTTCTGTATGAGTAGAGAAATTGAAGGGGTCAGCGCTGATAAGGAGCGAATGATGATTGCTTGAAAGAAGGGTTCTACTGATGGGAGATTGGGAGTGCAGGCCTAGTCTCTCTGACGCAGAACTAACTTTGATTGGGCTGGAAGAGAGTTTCGTCTCATCTCTTTTTTCTTGATACCATAGTTTGGTAGTAAATAGATAGTTTAAGTGGCTTTTTTCTCTTCAACCTAACTTTAACTCATTGACCTTGAATCATGACAACATCCAATCGTCATCTTGTTTGGTTTACATGCACGCCGCCCAGCAATCTCACAATCTGCCGCCGAACAAAAAAAATATCATCATCATCATCAGTACTCAAACGTCGCAGCACCCTCCTCCTCAAACGGCGTCTCATACGGAGGCTCAGCCTGCGGCGTAATCCTCGCCACATGCCTGCGCGCCCCATCGTCCCAATCCAACAGTGCTGAATGCGCAGTCACACGGTTATCCCACACCACGACCGTGCCGGGTGCCCATTTGACACGAACCTGGAAGTCTTGGCCCTTGGCGATGTGATCGTAGAGGAAGTTGAGCAGATACTCGCTTTCTTCCTTCTTGAAGCCGACGATGCGCCGACTAAACTGCGGGTTTACGAAGAGGGCTTTTTCGCCCGTGGCAGGGTGGGTGCGGACGAGGGGGTGGATGGAGGTTACGGGGTCGCGGCGAACGATGCCGCCTCGGAGTTTGCTGCTTTCGGCTTGTTCGACGGCTGTGGCGTTTAGTTAGTTTACGTTACTTTTGTCTTTTTTTTTCTTTCCTTTTGTTGCATTGTGAGGATATGGGTTGGGTGAGGAGTATGTGCTTACCAGAGTGAACAACCTTGAGTCCATGCAACCTCTTCCTGAACTCTGGGCTCAGTCGTTGATAGGCGGCGGCTTGGTTGGCAAATAGCGTGTCGCCGCCTGCCTCTGGTCCATCGAGAATGTACAGGAAGGTTGTACCAGGGGGCTGCTTCTCGTACGTGACGTCCGAGTGCCAGGCGACGGAGTTTGTGCGCTCTTCGAAGAAGTCGCGGACGGAAGTGTCGTCTGTGCCGCGGTGGACGAGGTGAACTTCTGGGTAGCCTTCTGGGGCGCCCGAGGTAGGGTGAATGTGGTGGCGGCCGAAGTAGCCGCCGATTTCTAAAGCGTCTTTGATGGGGAGGTCGGCGAAGTCTTGGTCGCGGAAGGCAACGACTTTCTTTTTGGCGACGAAGAGGGCGAGTTCGTCTTTTTGGGCGTTGGTCAGCTGACTGAGTTGGACACCGTGGACTTCGGCGCCCGTGTTGGCGGTTAGGTCGTTGACAGTGGCATTCTTGAGGAGGTTGGAGAAGGTTGGGTCCGCGTCTTTGCCATGCTCGACGTGGGTGAAGGGCTCCCAGGGGGGTAGTCTGGGTAAGAGGTCAGTGTCGGGAATACGTTGTGAGGTGAGTTGGTACATACTTTTGTCCCTTCTCGTTGTCCCAGACAGGTAGGTAGTGAGGGTACTTGGCGGGCGAGTGCTTTTCAGTGCCCTTCAGTTCGAGTTCCTTTTGAAAGAACTTGGGGCCTCCCAGGCCAAACTCCTTGTATGCTCCAACGCCAGACTTGTAGTCTGTTGGCGGGGTTGCAATTACAGCTGGAGCCATGTTGTTTTTTCGGAAATAACAGAAAATACCCTAGCAGGAAATCACTGTTGAGAATCTTACAAGGCTGGATTATGCCATCTAATCTAAGTTCTTATATATCTTTCTCGATCGAACTAAGCATGCCCGCGGCTTCAGTTCCTTAGCTGCGATGGCAAAATCGCCCAGCTGCCGAAGGATGAAGCCTGATAAGGACCCCGCTACAGATATGACGAAAGAACTCGATCGTCGCGTATCTATTCAATCAGGATGCGGTTGCATGGCATCAGAAATGGAGTGTATCGCCTCATCCTTGTGACCAGATGTAAGCTAAACTACATAGGCAAAAATCTTCCCAACAGTTGGTCGCTTCGCTCGCTTCGCGGCATGTAAGACCCCCCGTCTCAACGTTGGACCGGCATCTGTATGCAGACGTCAGTAAATGCTCCGACCGCGCCATCCCAGCTAGCCATGAGGGGATATTGTTTGACGTCCTACTTGTAAAGTAACCAATGATGTAGAGCTCGACACAACCCAGGCTGAGTCGATTGGTTGGGAATAACATAATCCTTGTCGGTTGTACGAGAACGCGACATTTGGTAGCAGCCTTGCGTGCTCGAACGACACGTGATCATCTCATCTATTACTAGCGTGATCCCATCCGAAACATGACAACAGGAGATAAATGAGTGACAACACCCTACACTTATAAAACTTGTATCGGGAGTTATTTATCATGCTTGTATTTGCTGTTTGCCCAAACTTTAAGCATGCTCCAACAGGGTCTTTCGAGAACAAGGTTTCGGACCGAAGGGCGGAAACGGGGCGGTAGACGTGGTCTTCCTAGCAAACTGAAATCACCTGAGTTTATGAAGCGTCGCCCACAATGACATTGCGTAAAATATATTCCTTTTCTTCGTTCGAGTTTCTGATACGGAGGTTTTTGGTGGGAAATGGCGACTTCAAAACCGCTGAATAGCCTAACCGTAGGCGACAAAGCCAACTCTGCTTTAGCAACAACCATTAGCAGCAAGGAGATAGGAAATCGCAGAGAACGCGGAAAAGAAAAGCACGGCTCAACATTTGTGTCAGAAGGTCTTGCGAGAGACCACTACAAGCCCATTACGACTTACGAGGGCATTCATCGATACGATCCAGACTTTGAATGGGAGCCTGCAGAGGAGAAGCGTATCGTACGAAAGGTAGCTCATCCACTTACCCAACCCCATCAACCCAGAAATCTCACATCACCACCTTTCAGATTGACATGCGCATATGCTCCTGGGTCTGCCTCATGTTCTTCGCCCTCCAGCTCGACCGCGGCAACATATCGCAAGCCCTCAGTGACAACATGCTCGGGGACCTGGGCCTCAACACCAACGAATTCAACAACGGCCAAACGATTTTCTACATTTGCTTCCTATTCGCTGAACTACCTTCCCAACTTATCAGTAAGAAACTTGGGCCCGATAACTGGATTCCAATTCAGATCATATTGTGGAGTTTGGTGGGGAGCCTGCAGGCGTTTCTGAGCGGAAAGAAATCATTTTATGCGTGTAGAGGCATACTCGGAATGCTAGAAGGTGGTTTTATCCCCGATAGTATTCTCCACATGAGTTATTTTTACACGGGGCTCGAGTTGCCGGGTCGCATGAGCGTGTGGGGTGCAGTTCCCTTTGCGACCAATATCGTCGCTGCCTTTCTCGCATTCGGGATTTTGCGACTGAGAGGCCACAATGGGATGGAAGGGTGGCGGTACCTCTTTGCTATCGAGGGTCTGATCACGGGTTGCATTGGGATAGCGTCGTGGTTCTATCTTCCTGCGAGTCCGACGCAGACGGCGACGAAGTTCTGGAACCCGTTTCGTGGGGAGAAAGGCTGGTTTAGTGAGAGGGAGGAGAAAATTATGGTGAATAGGATTTTGAGGGATGATCCGAGTAAAGGGGATATGCATAATCGGCAGGGATTGAGCATAGGGATGTTGTGGGAGTGTGTGAAGGATTACCATATGTTGCCTATCTATTTGATTGGCATATCGTGGTTCATTCCGAGTCAGCCTTCGAATGCGTACATTACGCTTCAGCTTCGGTCACTGGGATTTACTACGTTTGAGACGAATTTGCTGACGGTGAGTTGATATCTTGTCTGTAACTCCTGACAAACACTGACAGAGCCCTAGATCCCAGCGTTCGTCCTGGACATGGGTGTCTGAATGCACTAACCAACGTTTTCTCGTCGCTCTCGTATCGCAAGTCTGGTGCTTGCCGCTTCTCATTGCTCTCGAGGTCTTACCCGCGAATGTATCGCACTGGTCGCGTTGGGTCCTATGTACCTTGCTCGTCGGGAGCCCGTTCATTCATCCCATCTTCATGGCCATCACATCGCGCAACGCCGGCACAGTGCGTACCCGAACGGTCGCTTCGGCGCTGTACAATATGACGTTTCAAGCCAGCACAATCATCTCACAGAACGTGTACCGCCAGCATGATAAACCGCTGTATCGCAGGGCAAATAAGATTTTGATCGCGATTTGCGTGTACAATTTGTTGCTTTTTGTGGGGGCGAAGCGGTATTATGTTGTTGTTAATAGGAGAAGAGCTCGTGTTTGGGATGGCATGACGAAGGAAGAGAAGGAGACCTATTTGCAAACTACGACGGACAGAGGGAATAGGCGGTTGGAATTCCAATTTGCGCATTGAATGGGGCTGAAGACGGGATGTAGAGTCAAAGATTCCCTTGAGATGGAATATTGGAATAGTGATACCAATGTTTTAGTAAGGAATCAATCGAAGTCGCGGGTTGGGAGTTTGCATCTATCGAAACTGGTAACTTTTGCGTATGAGATGCCACTTTAATTCCTAAGAATACGGAAGCTTTGAAGAAGATTATTCATCTTCTTCCTCGGTTGCACAACCCAGATTCCTCACCAGAATACCATCTCTGCTCAAGAACCCAACATCCGCTCTAACTTTACCATGCAAATCCTCGTCTTCCTCTTTTGCTTTGTCCTCATCGTCCAGTGTAGCAGCCATAACATTTGCATCTCCCTCAAATGTCTCTCTGAGCCTTGTTTCACAGGCTGTGCAGAGTCTTAGACCGCAGCTGTCAATCTCTTCATGCGCAGAAAACAGTGATGGCTGACGTTTACGGCATGCGAAAACTGCAGGTGAAAAGCACATAGAGCACCATCGTAGTAACTGCTTTCTGACCGCAGTAGAGTCCTCCTCTGTAAGCAAATCATTGAGAGCTTCTGCAAAGTTCACGGTAACAGCATCTGGGTATATGCGTCGAATATCATGACCCTCACATACAGCGATCTGTGCTCGTCCTACATAATCGTATTAACAAAAAATCTGATGAAATACTCATAAAATCCATAGCAATGGGGTGCGAAACATACCTATTGTGCAAGATTGGCACATACTGGTTGGGCCGTTCTCAGTCTGACCGCCAGCTATGTGCGTATATCCACACCCGTTCTGCCAGCATATGCAGTACACCTCTTGGTCAAAGTAGCCAATAAAGCTAAATTCAGCCATACTACAAAAGCTACAATCCAAGGTGTCAATGTCACCGTCACTGACACCGAATTGAATTGGATGCGTGAAGCTAGTCTTCATCCGAATTACTTGGCCCCTGTTTCCAGCCGTGTCTTCGAGGATGTCTGGGCTTGGAGAGCGCGACACTACTGGTTGTATCCGTAAAGCTTCCGGAGTAAGGTAGTTGCTGTACCGGGGCTCAACAATAAGGGGCGACTTCTCGGCTTTGTCTTGCTCTTGCTTTTTGGATGGAGGGGTTTTAGACTTTACTTTGTTCTTGTCTTTGGTGGGTTTGCGGGTGGCAGTGGGTTTGGGAGCGTTACGGGCATTATGCGTCTTCCTCGTCTTGCTCGTCTTGTCTGCTTTGCTCGCCTTGCTACCTTGTACCTTCACGGGATCCTTCTTAGGCGATTTTACAGCATAAGACTTATTCTTCTTGGAGACACGCTTTTCCTTGGACGGATCAAAGTTCCCGGACGTGTCCTGGTCCAAGAAAGTATATGTCCCCTTGTTGTCGGTCCTTTTGCGTAGGGCGTATGCGGTCTGGTGAAATAAGTAAATATTAATGACAGAAATGACTGTAAGGCACTGACCTGAGCATCAGGTATGTCAGGAAAGTCCTCTTCAAATGGCGTTGCTGAGGTTCTTAGAGTAAGGCTATCATTGTCTGAAAAGATATCTAGGTTGTCTTCTTTGTCCATGCTCCCTGTATTCTCTGGTTGGAGGTTACGGGAAAGGTCGACACCGATCTCACCCTCTGGAAGGGATGGGTCGTTTGTGTTGGCCATCGCATCCATACAACCAGATGCAGGCAAGTGGGGTAGGCCAGAGATGATTGTCAGGTAGAAAAGTAGAATCTGTCTATCTTAAAGCCATGTAGTAAGGGAAGCTAGCTAGCGTCAAGGTGAGTGGGTCAAGAGCGGTAAGCTACCATCTTGCAAGCCCAGGTGAGGGAAGCCACCCAGGCCAGTCTCCGACCATGAGGTTTCCGATGAGCAAGTGATGCCAATGGCCACAGGTCACATTTACCCTCGTCACTACCTTTGGGTTCATATCGATCAAAAACCCTATGTCTAAGAGGGGAGTATTGTATGACGAAACTTAGCGATTAAACTTCGGCGTCTTTGATACGAACCTAGTCGCTATCTCATCCCAGTAGGAGTTGGAAGAACCATGGTTCCTTTTTTTGGTACCTCCTTGAAAACGTAGCTATGAGAAAAAATGGGGTTGGATGTCGTCAGCTAATATTTTTCGAATTTATCATGGTGAGTGTTTCCATCGAGCTCTTCCAGTACATTGTTTGGCGATGGTGTCCTTCCTGAATGAGGCTAGCCAACATGGCGCTAACACAGACCATATACAAAGAAACGAGCGGCAGGCTGTCCGCCAACTCCTTGATACTCTTCGCTTACATCCCACCATGAAGCTCAACAATGCGCCCCGTCGCCCATGGAGGGCAACATGGCGCGATCGATACGACTGTTTCTGATACGCCACGGAGAGACGGTGGACAAGATTGCCCAAGTATAGTAAGCACCTCATCAACTCGTCCTCTTCACCTCGTCCTCTTCACAACTCGTCCTCTTCACAACACTCGATGCTAACCGGTCCAGTGCCGGCAGTAGGGACTCGGCCCTCACAAATCATGGTTACCAACAGGCCACCCGTTTAGGCCTATACCTCCAGTCTCTCGGGCTGACCTTCACCCACTTGTTCTCGTCACACCTGCAGCGGGCTGTGAAAACAGCTGGCAAGATACGCGAGGCTCAGTTGACACCTGTAGGCGACAATGGGACCGTGAGAGCGGCCCCCAAGGTTGTGCAGCTACCAGCGTTGGCAGAGAAAGATTTCGGATCGATGGAGGGAAAGAAGTCTAACAGCCGTCCGTTTGAGACGGGTGCTCCTGGCAAGGACCATCATCGGCAAAAGAACAATCCCACAGCGGGTTTCGCGGACGCAGAATCGAAAGAAAGCATGGCACGTCGCGCAGATGCCTTCATCGAAGAATACCTTTTGCCTCTGTTCGACGACTCTTCTACCAATTTTACCCCTGTTATTGCTATTGTTTCGCACGGCATCTTCCTCTCCACTCTTTGGAAGCGCATACTCTTGCGCCTCCCGCGTCGGAGGATATGTCTCTCTTCCAGTATTGGAGGGACGGCAAGACAATCGCTGGAGCATCTGGGTGGCTGGTCAAACACCGGCTATCTCGAGCTGTACTTCACAAGGATGGAAGTTGAGTACCACAAGTCAATCCTGGGGGTGACTACGATGCCAGTCACAACGTCTGCAGAGTTGCTTACTGGAACTTTGACTGCGCCTCAAAATCTTCGCAATGGCCATATACCAAAATCAAGAACAGAAGGTACAACACAGCTGGTGATTGGTGCACCGCAAGCCTCTCGGCCGCGTGGCCTACAAGGATGGTCTACGTTCATCCTCAAAGTCAACAGCAAGGATCATCTACAAGGCCTTAAACGCACGCGTGGCGGTGTTGGTAGTTTACGTTTCGACGCGTCACAGAGGTGCATCGATACCTTTTTCAAACGTCGTAAAGTCGAATGAGGGAGTAAGTCGAACCGTTTTCTCTTCCCGTTCCTTCGCATATGCAATGATGAAAAAACATTTAATCACAGACCTGATCGGAATTCGCTGTCGACCAAAAATTGTATCCAACTGCTGTCTGATTGCAACTACGATTTTCTGTCTCATGTTCACGTATCTTCAAGAAACGGGCTGACAAAGAAAACTACAGATGTTAGGCGGAGCTGCCATGACTTGAATAAGCTCGAGCAAGAATAGTAAATAACAATGCACTTCTCTGGCCTCCTAAACCTTCTTGATTCGTGATTTTAATCTTCTGCCGTGTCCTTATCGTTACCTTTCCCAAAAGGAACACTGCCACGGCCCCGCTGTCCACATGCGAAGCCTACACGTGATGCCAGTTGACGAGTTCAATCACTGCTCCCGGCGGTGTAATTGTCCAGTGACTATTCCACATGTGCGTAGGCGAAATGCTTTGGTAATTTATAAATCTCATTACATGTGCAAAGCGGTGCGTTCGTGTCACGCCGCCATGTTTGCTGAGTAGCCTTTGCATGGAAAAGGCCCGTGCAAATGCCATCACATCGCTCACCGCACCATCACAACACCTTGGCAGTCATGCCCTGCGCCCAAATAGATAAACCGGAGGGTTTCGGGCCATCTCCGGTGGCGGCGTGCAGGCGCTGCGCTACGATGAACGTAGTCGCGTGCGACATCGTGTTTCCCGGCAGCAGGTTTTGGTGGGTGGCTGGTACACGCGAGATCCCAGCCTCATCGCAACTGCTCCGGCCTTGAAATAGAGTTTTCCTCAATCTTTTCCAGTATTAATACAAAGGACCCCAGAGCTAATCTTGGTCGCGACTGAGATAAGTCCCAAGTTGTCCGCTCGCTGATTTGCATTCATTGAAAGTGAAGATTGGACTGTGAAATCAACGTCTGGCCAATAGGAGCGCCTCACGGGTCGTGCGATCAGACTTCCACACTCGTTCATTATGAGAAGCCCTTCGATATGGATGCTGGGCGCGATATCGACGCGTGTACTCGGTAATGCCGTGCATAAAGTCTATGAGATGAATACAAGTAAGTCAGCCATATACGTTCTGCTGTTATGAGGCTTAAGATTACTGACTTCCATAGCTACATCTGCTGTAATTCTACCTCCGTATCCATCTGGCTCAAGAGCACCTGTTCTGCTATCATCAACAGAGCCATGCGGAACATCAACTACCCCTTCGATTTGGTCCACAGCAAGCATCGTTTCATACCCTACTGTATCTCCAACTACTAGCTCTTCCCCGACTCCAATAGCAGTATTAGTATCTACTAGTTCACGTGTCCTTCTGGATGTACGCCCTCTTACTGTTACGACTACCCCAAGCGGCACCAATACTCCGCCATCAGCCTCTGGGTCGGCCAGTTCCTCGCAAGTTGCGTTCACAGCCATTGTCGTGCCAGCTTCGACAGCCAGCTATACTATAGACCTCCCAGTCCTTTCCTCCATATTAATCCCTGGTCTTACGCCACCGGCCATTTCGACACGGACTACAACATCGAGAACTACAATCAGCCAGACTTTATCCACTTCTCTTCCGTCGCCTTCTTCAGGTTCCGCCTCAAGTGCGCCAGCTACTATAACGACTTCAGTCGCGGTTACATTCTCAATCTCTATATCGTCGACTTCAGTTGCACCCTCAGCCTCGGTTGCATCCTCAGTCTCAACGTCCTCAGTCGTAGCTACCTCCTCAGTCGTGGTTACATCTTCGAGCTCAGCCACATCCTTGGGCTCAATGACATCTTCAGGCTCAGTAGTATCCTCAATACCTTCTGGGACATCTACCACCGAATTCCCTACCTCACCACCTTTTTCGTACAACCCATCCGCTTCTAGAGGTTCGGCTACTCCTATCTCAAGGCCTACACCAGAGCCCTCCAGTGCCATCGTCGCGGGATCCACGTTGAGTACATCTTCGACGACCAGCTCGGCCACGGAAACGGAAATCCCACCTGCACCACCTGCACCAAGTGCTGCTGGAGCTCCTGGCGGTTTGAGTGGGCGAGGCAAAGAGAGGGTATGGTGGGTTGCTTTCTTCGTTCCTTTCCTACTTGCAGTATGAACCGGTGCATTTCATTTTGATGTCATGTGCTATGAGAGGTTACTTTGTACTTTCTAGATTTGTTATTCTCACGATGTCACTGAAATTTATTTCCGGACAGAGTCATGAAGAGATGGTTATACCAGGTGCTAGCACCATGCAGGCGTTTATGGGAGTTTTGTTTTCCAGGTTCAGTTGAGGACCGAAGTGAACGGATAATGCATGAATTACTTACCGGTATGAGGAGAGCTTCTGGAGATTGCCAGATGGCACATAATTTATGAATAAAGATAGGATCTATGATAGTAAGAATTACCACTAAGTCTTCTCATCTCACCACTCAACTCAAAAATTCGCTCATCTCTCAGCAGTTCGGTTATGTGTATTGCAGACGTTTCCCCGCGGCCATGTACAGCTGCAGGTCTATGGCAGAGCTTACGGAACTGCTTCCTAGTTCCCGTGAACCTTTAGGAATTGCATAAGATCTCCTGAGATAGTTCTAGTGCCAAGTACTACGAAATATGGGAATCCGGGGTTACCGAGAAACAAAGAGCATTGCTGGTCGAAGATCTCAGGCTTGGAAGCGGGGGAGGAGCAGCTTCGGCTAGCGCAGCCACCAGTTCTTCCGTCAATCAAACCAGGAGCTACACACTATTCCTGCCACCCTCTTTGCGTATTATTGACGCACCGTCCAATTCAAGTCCCAGGTTTGGTAGATTTGGGACCATTGATGGTTGTAAAACTTCTATTCCAGTGGTTTTCGCAGAGACTAGCACTGATCGAGCTCAGGTAAACTTCACAGTCAGGTGCGACGTCATCATTGACTTCAATGCCAATGGCATTGCATCTATCATTACCCATTGAGCCGGTACCTTAATATACAGCGGCCATGTCGGGAGACATTTGTCCGCGGTACATCATTGAGTCTGTGGACATCCTCCCACTGGCCCGCACACCCTGGTGGGAACGTATAAAAACCGTGGTACCTTGTCTATAACCTATTGTCCGGACAAGCTATACTCGTGTTTCAATTTAAGATGCGCTCGCCTCTATATAGCGCAGCCTCTCTTCTCATTGGGTATATTCTATACCTTCCCAGTAGCGCTAACGGCCTCGCCCGAAGAAATGACACTGCACAGGCAGTATACAAGGATGCTGCTGCTCCCCTCGAGGACAGAGTCTCTGATCTTCTTTCGCGGATGACAATCGAAGAGAAGACAGCCCAACTCATTCAAGGTGATATCTCAAATTGGATCAACACTACCACCAATGCTATCAACCAGACCGGTCTCGAGTGGAATTTTAGGGTCCGCGCAGGTCAGTTTTATGTCGGCTATCCAATGCCCGCGGAATGGATCAGCAATGGCATCAAGATTGGCCAGGAATACCTCAAACAAAATACAACCCTAGGCATACCGGCCCTGGTCCAGACTGAGGCTATACATGGCCTACTGGTGGGCAACGCGACCATCTACAACAGCCCTATTGGTCAAGCTTGCTCGTTTGACCCAGAGCTAATCCACGACATGGCCGTAGCTATCGCAAAGGAGTCGCTAGCTTTGGGCATCAACCAGTTGTTCGCACCACTTGCCGACTTGGCGCGCGAGTTGCGTTTTGGAAGAGTGGAAGAAACATATGGCGAAGACCCCTTTCTGGCCGGAGAGATGGCTTACGAGTATGTCAAAGGTGTGCAAAGTCTCAACGTAAGCGCTACTGTGAAGCACTTTGCAGGCTTTAGTGCTCCTGAACAAGGTCTGAACACTGGGCCAGTCCATGGAGGTGAAAGAGAGCTTCGAACGACATGGCTTCCTCCTTTCCACCGCGCCATCATCGATGCTGATGCTTGGAATATTATGGGAGCATACCACTCTTATGATGGCATACCTTCAGTTGCCGATGGCCATCTTCAAGAGACGATATTGCGTGACGAATGGGGCTACAAGTACTGGCTGACTTCAGACGCTGGGGCTACGGATCGCCTTTGCTGTGCCTTCAAACTCTGCCAATGCAAGACTAAAGATAAACCGATTGATAGCGAGGCTGTGACACTCATGGCTCTCCCTAACGGCAATGACGTAGAGATGGGCGGTGGATCCTACAATTACGCAAACATCCCTCGACTGGTCGAAGAAGGAAAACTAGACATTGAGGTTGTTAACAGGGCAGTCAGCCGTCAACTGCGCGCCAAGTTCAGGCAAGGTCTTTTTGAGCATCCATATCAAGGGCTCCCTCTGGATGAAATCGACTCTGCCATTCACACCGACGAACATGTCGCACTTGCACGAAAATTGGAGGCCGACTCAATTGTCCTGCTAGAGAATAAGAACAACGTACTGCCACTTTCGAAGTCTGCTAATGTCGCTGTCATCGGACCCATGGCCAACATTACAAACCTTGGCGACTACGTAGTATACCGCTCCCAGTACAACCCCACCAACGTCACGCCTTTGCAGGGAATCCAAAAGGCATCAAATGGCACCATAACCTTTGCCCAAGGCTGCGAGCGCTGGTCAAATGACCAATCCGGATTTTCCGACGCAGTTGCAGCCGCCAAGGCAGCTGACGTCGCAGTGGTCGTTGTCGGCACTTGGTCGCGCGACCAGCAGGAACTCTGGCAAGGTCTAAACGCCACAACCGGCGAGCACGTCGATGTTGCATCGCTCAATCTCGTTGGCGCTATGGGGCCCCTCGTCCAAGCAATCATCGAGACCGGGAAACCCACAATCGTCGTTTATTCTTCTGGAAAACCCGTAACAGAGCCTTGGATCTCGGATAACGCGGCGGGCCTATTGCAAATGTTTTATCCTGGCGAACAGGGTGGAAATGGTCTAGCAGATGTGTTATTTGGTGATGTTACACCTTCGGGCAAACTCTCCGTTTCGTTTCCGTATGATGTTGGGACTTTGCCGATTTACTATGACTACCTGAACTCTGGCCGAGCTACTGATTCCGGTGCGATACTGCCGAACGGCACACTCAAGTTTGGCCACCAATACGTCCTTAATAACCCACAACCGCTTTACGAATTCGGGTACGGACTCTCGTATGCGAACTTTACCTACTCCGACGTCAAGCTCTCTAAGACGGAAGTTAGCCCGAGCGATACTGTGACTGTGACTGTCAGCGTCACAAACTCCTCGCCTGTCGATGGTAAGGAAGTTGTGCAAGTTTACGTTCAGGATGTTTTTGCCAGCGTCGTGGTGCCCAATAAGGAACTTAAGGGGTTCAAGAAGGTGTTGGTCAAGGCGGGGGAGACGGTCGATGTATCTATTGATTTGGAAGTGTCGAAATGGGGGGTTTGGGATAGGAGGATGAAGTATGTGGTCGAGAAGGGGGATTTTATCGTTCATGTGGGGTCTAGTTCATTGGATTTGAGGGGGAATGGGACGGTGACTGTTGTTTAAGATGAGGTATGAACAATAGAATGGTTGAGAATGGAAGGAAGTTATGCGCGATGCATTGAGAACAAAATCATTTATTGACTTAATTAGCAAGAATAAGAATACTCTGCGGTATTGGTATTAGTCTTAGTGATACTGCGTGTTGAAAAAAGAGGGAATTAGAATGTAATGTACTTAACATAACATGCACTTGTAGCTTCACTTATCGCATTTCCGGAGAGACCGTCCCCGAAGATGATTTAATCCCAATCTATCCCCGTTCCTCCCTAATGTTTTGGAAACTTACAATACCATCCCTATCGGAATTCATCCTACCAAGACCACGAAGCTTCTCATTTTCGTTTCGATTTAGTTCGATAAGAAAACGTATTACTACACGTGGAAGAGGTATCGATGCTGAATTCTAAATTGATTCCTTAGTTCCTTGATGAAGATGTTCAAGGAAAGGGAGGCGCATGTAAGGCTGCGTGCTAAAAAGAGTCGTTTAATGGTTCGGAGCAGCCACGGAAGACTAAAGTCACTACTGGTTCTCAGGGGCGCTAGCAATAGTACTTGATTGGTCTGGTTTTTTTAAAAGACAAGGTTGTTCGCTTGCTCCGCCTGTATGGTAACCTTACCTCTTTGATTCACGGGCATTAGTATAAAAAACTAGTTTCTTAAAGAGACATTAGAGAGTCTTTTCAGTCTCCCTTGTTTGTGTATTACGATGCTGTGATTTGTCTGGGAAGTGTTTAGAGAGGATCTGATATCGAACATGGCGGAGACGTAAACTGTCTATAGTGCCAGCATACGCTTACTGTTCAGCTCAATCAATCACATTCTTGATATCTATAGCATTGCTCCCTTGCGGACCGAACCGCACTGGTTGGCCATGGGTCCATGATGCTTGGTTAGTCGACCACAACACAGGGAAGAAGATTACCGAAGCAGGTGCATTGCTCCCACCCCTGACTACGAGATCATCGGTGCCGATACCCAGATCGATCTTAATCAGTGTCCATACCTATATGCAAACACTATTTCAAGCAGTCCCTCGGCTTCTACTGCCTACCTAGCATGTTTTGCAAACAGGGCGAAGCTTGCCACGATGCATTTGTTAGATAAAGCTTGGTTGGCGACATTTGACATATCTGCCATGGAACACCTCGTTGCATGAGCCCTTTGTTATATATGTCAATTCGTTTTGCAAAAATTGCACTGTGTATATTAAAGTTCGAGATGTAACAGGCGTTAATCAAGCTGCAAGTCATTTCGACAAATGAAGAACAAAGCCTAGTACTAAGTTCGTTCTTTTGGTATCTCAAGAAAATACAAAAACTCATATCAAGCAAAAAGAAGTCTGGCTATTCCACAGCACAAGATGGGAATGGACTGCACCAGCCAGTCACCGCGATGCATTTCCCAATGGCGTTAGCATGCACCTAGTTCGAGATCTGGTGTCCATCTCGCTTAGAAGCGGCGCTGCGCCCAACGGCTACAAGACTCGGACCCGTCGGTGACGACTGCGGAAGGGCTCTAAAGGTGTATATCAGCAGATACAAAGGCAATCAATTACTTGTCATGTCCGATTGGAGCCATGGCAGCCGGCGGTGAGGACGTCGGAAAATGGCTGGAGCTTGCCCGTCGCAAAGCTTTGCTCAATGAGGAAACAACCTCCACGAATGCCCCGCGCCTAGTCTACCCACGACCACGACGAAGAGGCCGAGAACGGCCCACTTATCGGGTCGACCGCTTTGGGAAATGGACTGGTTGATGTAATGGCTGATAATATAAATACAATGCGTGGTGGTAGTGCTTCTTCATCGCTGCATCAAACCTCTCACTTCATGCTCTGTGACGATAAGCATTGGATCTTGAACAACATGGCATCCAGCAAACCTTCATACCTCGTCGTCGGTGCTGGCGTTTTCGGCATTTCGACTGCCTACCACCTTATCAAGAAGTACCCTGACCGCCAAATCACCGTTGTCGACCAGGATGCTTGGGACGCTGACAGCCGCGTCGCTGCGTCATGGGATTGGAACAAAGTTGTGCGCGCCGACTACGACGATCTCATCTACTGCAGACTTGCTCTAGAAGCTCAGGATGTCTTCAAGGAGGACCCCCTCTGGAAACCCTACTTCCACGAGACCGGCATCTTCTGGGTCTGCCGCTCAGACTACGCACAAGAAGTCATTGACAACTACAAGAAGCTTGGCCGCCAGGCTGATCTCAAGTCCGTTTCCGTTGAGGAGGCCAAGAAGATGTTTGGGGGACTTTTCGAGGAGGCCAACTACGACGGCGCTAAGAGTGTGCTTGTCAACAAGACGAGTGGATGGGCACAGGCCGGTGATGCTCTAAGAGCTGTTACCAAATGGTCCATTGAACAGGGCGTCAAGTACGTCACACAAAAGGTTGAGAGCCTGGAGTTTGACAACACCGGCCGCTGCACTGGAGTCAGGACTGAGCAAGGCAACACGCTCTCAGCCACACACGTCGTTCTCTCAACCGGTGCATACACAGCCAAACTTCTCGAGCAAGCCGCAAAGCGAAGTGGAAACGAAAACCTCCGTGCTGGATCAAGAATTGTCGCCGGTGGCATCACAACCGGCATGACTACTCTCAACGAAAAGTCCTACGAGAGATTCAAGCACATGCCAGTCGGTGTTCAAGGCTACACCGCCGCATATGGACCCTTCATCGGCAGCTTACCACCTACCAAAGACCGCGAGCTCAAGTGGTGGGGCGAGAAGATCTTCAAGAACACACATGAAGTCCTCCCCGGTCGCTTCGTTTCCGCACCGCCCTCAGAAAAGGATTACAACCAGTGGGACGTTCCCGGCCCACTGAAACTCGACATTGCGCACGCCAACGACGTCTTCTACGGCAAGAAGGGCGCAAACTGGAAAATGGAGAAGCACCGAATCTGCTGGTAAGCTACCAATCCCTACTACTCGTCGAACCTTTGTAGCACAAAAGAAACTAATGAATACACCAGGGACGCCTTTACCACCTCCTCCGACTTCATCATCTCCCCCCACGCCGCCGCAAAGGGCCTCTACGTCGCTACCTGCGGCTCTTTCCACGGCTACAAGTTCTTCCCTGTGCTGGGCAAGTACGTCGTGCAGATGCTTGAAGACGATCTCGAGCCTGAGCTCAAGGAGAAGTGGGCATGGGACCGTGAAAGACCCGCACCAAGTCTTAACCCTGACTGGCCGCGCTTTGAGATGACGGATCTGTTGGACCAGTGGCCAAAGGCTAAGTTGTAAGAGCGTATATCTTGGGTGTATTTTTTGATTGGAAGAAACGGCATTTAGCGTTACGAGGTAATGATATGCATGTCTGTACTCTGCATGGCGTTTGGGAGTAGATTTGGCTTGGTATCCGGTTGGATTGATGTATGAATGAATGAATGTTTTGAGCTTTGTTTGAAGAAATCTTTTTACCTTTCATAATGATTCCTTATTCAAAATTTAGGGTCGATTTCAATCAGTTCTGACGGTTAGCTGTTATGATTATAGATACCACCGTCATAAGACAAGACACAAGCAATGTCTATGCTGCATACACAGCACTGACCTTGCATAGACAATTTCACATCAATGGAGATAATGAGATGCCCCAGAAAATTGGGTTTAAACCATGTTGTCATATACATATTCGTTAAATTCTTATATATACATTGAAGTTCGGTGCCATAGCAAGGCGTGTAGTGATTTCCTTCTACTTTCGCACTTTGTGCCGAAACCCCTGCGTTTAAGCAGTAACCTTGCTCTTGATGAAGGTGAGAGCCTGGTTGCCGTAGATGCTGACGTACTGCTGGTGGTGGTTTGCGTCGTTTCCGTTGCAGCAGTATGGGTCCTGAGAGTCGCAGTAGCTCTGGATGATGCTGCCGTTGGCGGGAGAGCACGTGAAGCCTTGGGGACGGGCAGCGAACTGGTTTGACCGTTAGACTCTTGCCGATCGGTTTTTAATGTTTGAGTACCTACACCTTGGGCTCGGCAAGTGCCGACATTGTAAGGGAGGCCGGAGCGGTTGTGTGGGTCACCCATGAAGATGGCGGCCTTGACAGCGGCGAGAGCGTTGCCGGTAAGAGTGGCACCTGCACCACCGCAGAGTGCGTTGTCCATGATTTGGCCACCCTGTGTTTTGTTAGTATGCTTCTCGTTTCGACAGTTTTAGACACTGGCGACGAACCTGAGAGTATCCAATGAGGACGATTTGGGTACTGGGGCACTTCTGGTTGTAGGCAGTTACAGCCTTGACAACAGCTGCGGTACCTTGGGATGCGGAGTTGTCATAGCTGATGCCGCCGCAGGCTGATCCACCACCACATGCAGGGTAGACAATAGCCTCGGAGCCAGCGCCAGGGAAGGCTGACTTGACAGAGTTGACAAGACCACCAGCAGTTCCGTATCCGTTGCTTTGAGGAACAGTGGTTTCACGTGCACCGAAGATGTAGACCTTTGGGCAGCTCTGGCGCTCGCTGAGTTCGACAGGGCCCGCGGCAGCAAGGCCAGCGAAGACGGCAGCAGCAGTTGCAAACTTCATTTTGATGATTGTGATGTTGCTTGGAGTGGTTGAAAGGTAATGATGGGTGTGTGTGTGAAGAGCCTGATGATCACCACAAAGCAACGACTGTACTCAGATATAAAAAGGAAGCTCTGCGTAATACGAGGCCACGACCTCTTTAGGCAGAATACCAGTCTCCTCAACTAACTTCATATTGAACAGTGGGGCCGAAAACGCTGCTTTGGTTGGTGTGGTACACAAGTGGTCCTTTCATCCGTTGTCGCAATCTATTTGAGTAGCCATGTGGTGATGATCATGCCGGGATTATTGCCGTTGGCGTCCTGATTTCATGCAGGACCAAGCCGCGGCAGTCTGGGGTGCATATCCACGTTAGTACAATCGGAGAAAAAACCGTCAAAACGAGCAAATTAACAGCTGCGACGTATTAAGACTGCCGGTAGCCGCTCGGTTTATGTGTGGCTTTGCGACCGCGTGGCCGGCCGATGTTCCGATGTGGAGCCGGTCAACGGTGGCTAAAAGGCTGATGTTGAGACAAGCTTGATTTAAAACCTGGCCGGTCTGGGGTAAAATGCTTATGTTTACGAAACAAAAGGGCGCAGATCAACCAAAGTCCAGTTACGGATGGTGTACAGTTTCCGTACGTGCGAAGAGAGCGTATATCTTGCATTGAAAGATGTGGGGACTTATACATGACTTTCACCGCTCTACTCGTACAGTGGTTCCTGAAGCTATTCGATTCTCGATTCATACTTGGAACGTAGGAGTTCTAGATTGTCTGAAAGGCGTATTGATCGGCAGGCAATTAGGAGGTGCGTGTCTGTCATTCCAGATTGCTTCAAACAACCAACAGCGTTGCGGTTGTGTCTGAAGTATGTTCAGTGAAGCGGCTGTACAAATTCCTTTAGAGAATAAATCAAGTGGGAAGCTTATGTCACCAGCGTCTGGTGAGTGGTAATGAAAGAGTATCTAGCACAATAAATTGTGGTGTGGTGGCACATTTAGTGCTGACGAGTTTCACGCTAGCTGTATCCCTGGCATAGATGTTGCAGTATACATACCAGTGACAGCATCATCATCATCTCTATGAGCTCATGTGTGGGGCAACAACACAAATCATGGAAATAATCGCTGCATGGAGAGCAGAGTTATGAGTAGTGTGTGAGAGTGGAGAACCAGGAATGATATCTCAACAAGTCTCATATGAAATGTAGAAACTTTAATCTCGGTGATATTAACTTGTTCGTGACACATCCATGTCCGAATACGCACGCGTACATGCTGTGAAACAAGATAAAAACTGCATTTGGCGACTAGGGTCTGATTTTGCTAGAGCTCCAGTCGGAATACATTTTCTGTCTTGTTTTCCTGCTGCTGGCGAGCCAGTTGGACAGGGCAAAAGATTTGAGATGAACAGGCTCTCCATGTGCGTTTCTAGGTTTTATGCGGTTTACTTTGCACATACCTCCATTTCGACCATCTCGTTAGGAACGTTCCTGGTCGCTAGCCACATGCTTTTCTCCCCGAGCACTATGATTCACCAACAGAAAGATGTCCTGACTAACAAGCACTACCAAGTTCCTTACCGCCTACTTGTACTTTACAACGAACAAAGAGAGCAGTGATGGCATTCCTAATCGAAATTGATTTTCCAGATAGTCCAGGATAACAGTAGATTGCGTGAGTACGAAACATTCCTCGATCAGACTTATTGGTCACGTGGCTTTGGTAAGAAGGTCGAAAATAGGTACTTCAGAATTGATAGCGCACTATTTTCTTTGATTAGAATTTTTTTCGAATCACGTCCATGCCGTGGTTAATCACATTCTGGGTTCGCTTTAGCGTTAGGGTGATGGGACATAACGGGACCAGAAGGACAATTCACTGGTATATACTCAACATTTACCATACGTATTTGTGTTAAAAGCTCAAGAAAACTCAAAAATAAGTAAATGAACATCTTCAAAACGCGAGATCATGGATACAATACGATTTGGGTAAGCCGGGTGCCAGCTGTAAACTCAGCCAAGCCGCTAGTCCCGTCACACTCTAGTGCAGACCAGCACCTATCATACAACCACACCGACTTCAACCCTTTGATCCTACGTATACAGACCCAATTCGAGCAGGACTCGGAAAAAAATACATCAACGAGATGCTCCCGCCAGTCGATCCAGCTTTGCTGCAGCGCAATCCGAATTTCGAGATCTTGTATAAAGATCTTTGCACTAGGAAGCTCAATCCAAATGGCTCGACGCGGGAGACGAAGAAGCAGCGCGTGCATGATGAGATTCGCAGGGTATGATGATTTTTGAACTGGTTAAACAACATTCACGGATCTCTTTGGATTGTTTACACATCAATTCTGTCTTTCCAATTCCATCTCCGCCTGCATGTTTATTTCTTTGTTTACATCCAGCATTACCAATCTCCATACTAAACCTATACATTCATGTACAGCAATATCAGAGTCAAAAAATCATCAATTGTTCACAAAATAAAGTGATCACTAACCACACCACAGGCCCTATCCGCAGCTCGCACATCCCTCCTCACAACCCAAATCCTCATCGACACCCTCTCAGACCTCCCCTCCAAAGCAGCCGACCTCCCCCCAGAACTGCACTCTCTAATCGACATCGCCACCGCCCAACTCCGCGGCCAAATCCCTTCTTCAGACCGAGAAATTCTCTCCACAGACCTCGAAGCCTTCATGACAAACAGCGACATAATCAGCGAATCCCTCTCGACCCTCCTCACAAAAACCACTTCCTACCTCTGTAAAATCGCCGATCCACTCAACCCCCCATCCCCCCAAGACCTCAGTGCAAGAGCAAATACCCTGCAAACCGACGCGACGCTCACTCTCCCGGACGAACTTCAAACCGCGCATCTAAATCTAACACACAGCTTCACCGTCCTCCTAGCCACGCACTCCACCCTCCTCACCACCGCCATCAAGATCCTCGAGCAAACGCAACAAGGCGCTTTAGCCCGGCACACGCGGTCCTCGGCCGACTTGTTGCACGCACGCTCCGTACTCCTCGGTCTGCAAGCCAAAATCCACACGTACAGCCATCCCCCTCCGGCAGAATTTGTGGATGCGCTGCGCCAGTTTAAGAAGAGTCAGGGGAGCGGGGAGAAGGCGCTGAGGGATCGTGAGGCGCTGGCGAGGCAGGAGCTCCAGCTTTATGAGCGCGCGGGGGAGAAAGGGATGAGGGAGTTGGCGAGGCGGAAGGAGTGGATTTTGGCAGAGGTGGCGAGGGTTGAGGAGGAGGTGAGAAAGTTGGAACGAGGGGGTTGATTGCAACTACTTTTAGTTCTTTTTTTTAACATTTTTCTAGAACTCTTTGTTTGCAATGAATGCGTGTATATCTTGAATCGTGTCATGTCATCATTTTTGACTGCTTAGAAGAAAATAAACCCCCTCCTTACCCCCCCCCTAACGAGAAATTTTTTTCACTCAAATATCCCCTTCATAGCAACAACTTTGTACTGTTCATCCAAAATCTCTCCGTCACCCTCATGCGACCCACTCCAAATCTTCTTCGCACCCATTTCGCAAATGCAAACTCTATCTATGCGTACATTGCGCGCCCATACAAAACCCTTGTACTTCTCAATTAGATTTGTCGCATCGAATCGCATCCAGCTCTTTCCATCGGGACCATGGCCTTCGCCTGTTGCGGGTGGTGCTTGGTCTTGATCACCATCTACCGAGCCCACTATTGATGCCGCATCATCATCGTCATCGTCTTGGTCGTGGTGGGCATCGCCATCGTGTCGATGGTGTGGCGAGACTTTATGCTCAAGATGCTTGAGTCCGTGTTTTAATTTGGATGATTTTGATCGTCCTCTTCCACGCTTGGGCTTTGCGTAGATTGTGTTCATAATGGTAGCATGGAGCTTCAACGGCCTTGTGTCTGCGACTAGGAGTCCTGCTTTTGTGAAGTGCTCCCTCAATGCAGAGGCAAACAAAGGTAGACGTTGCGTTGGATCCCGAGGCTCGGCGTAGAGGATACTCGTTTTGTTTGGTGCTTGCATCGGTACCAGAGCTTCTAGGTTGATGGTCAAGGCATCGGTATCTGGCATGGCTGCCGGAACAAGGTTTTCTCCTATTATCCCGTCTTCAGCGGCTTTTTCTGCTATGCGACGGTGGCTAATATCGCGGAGTAGAATGTGCACGTCCAAGTCTTCCAGGTACCGTTTGGCCTTTTCCAGCTCCTTTGCGTCCAGGCTCATTACTCCCAGTGTGAGGTGAAGTGTACCCACTGGTCGCACCGCCTTGATGGGTATTGGACTATCGCTTGCTAGGTCTTTTTTGAACTTGTCTAGTCCTTCTTGGAGCTGCGGCCTGCTGGCGTCTGTGACAAGCGGCAGACACAAAAAGTGGGTGAGCGGAGGTTTCTTCGCTCCACCCTTCCCGTTCTTCTTGCTTCCCCGTGCATGCTGGCCGGTGAATGCAGATGAAAAATCTTGGGTTGCAGATCCTTGTAGCGACGTCCTGATTTCCGTGTTGTCGCGTAGTTTCTCGCCATCTAGAAAGTCGTTGTAGTCGCTTTTTGACTTTTTCTTGCCCATGATTGGCGACGAGGTGTAGAACCGGATATCTAGAAGCTGATTTGGTGGCTGCCGTGTCAGGATAGAGGCAGTAGCTGCGCTTGCAGCTGCAATAATAATGCGGCAGTTGATTGGTCCAGGAGCAGTTCGACGCAAGATCGTCACAGCAACCAGCATATAAGAGGTCGGCTATGTAGAGCAGTAGTACGGACAACCCAGCAAGCAGATTTAACGTAGATGCAAAAAAAAAGAGTAAAATAAAAGAACCAGTTCCGCTCAAATAGACACACTACAAGACCAACGATAGTGTCGGCAGCGTTTAGGAAAAGTGGTGTCAAAAAGGGCGCCTAACCAACGATAATAAAGGTGCTTTTGATGTTGAGCGTTCATGGGTTAGCCTGGTAGCCTATCATCGGGCCTTTGCATGAGCGACGAGTGACGTAGGTCCAAAGGTGGGGTGACTGACAGGCGCCGCTGCAGCCTCCGCCGCCGCTTCGTCTCAAGCGCGTTAGGCGTTCGGCCCTTTGATGCTCAGCACCTGGTAGGGCTGAGAAATCATCTACGGTGCATAGGAAGCGTGCACATCACAAGAAATTGACCTTGTTTGCCTTTTTGACCAGCCTCCAAGTCTAACACATTCTAACGTGGAAATATCAATAAGCCGAGTTGGGGCGAACTATTTAGAGTGCAACCTACCCAACACTGGCATATACACAATAAAACAGCCCTAGAAACCCAAAACAAGGATGCAACATAGGAAGAGGATTCGTTAAAAAATTTGGGGCGTGGCAGTAGGTAGGGTAGGAGGACCAAAGTCGCGCAGCGCTCGTCCAAGCGGACGATCCGGAGCTTGCCTGCCGTAAACGCCATATATACCCCGCGGATGAGCATGACGAGTGCGAGACGGGAGCTCGCGCCATTGCTCTCTGGCGGCGGCATGCCCCTCAAGCTTCATCGTCATCTTTGTAGAACTCCTTGAGGATGTCCTTGACGTCCGCAAACTCCTTCTTGGCCTGCTTGATGATCTTGCCCAAGTTCTCCTGAGCCTGCTCTTCTGTAATGTCCTTTGTGCCTGCATCATCCTTCAATTGGCCGTAATGTTGGATCTTCTCGCACGAGTCCTTGACCTTTGTGAGGCCGAGCGTGGCTGACGAGCCCTTGAGGAAATGGCCGAGCTCACTAAGCTCCTTGAGGTACTTTCCCTCCTTCTTTTCTCTGCGTCGCGTGTTAGCCGTGGTACTCTGTGTGATGCGAGGCTGGCGCGCTGTGCGGGGAAGGGCAGAGCGTGGGCGGATGTGTAGCGTCATCATGAAGGCGCGCGGCGGGCGGGCGGGCGGGCACTCACAGCTCTTTGTCCATCTTCTTGAAAGTCTGGTCTGCCTGGCCAAAGAAGTCGTAGACGATGCTTTTGCTGAACTCGCGCTCCTCCTCGTCCTCGTCCATCTCGAGAATCTGCTCAAACGTGGCAGGGTCGATCTGGTCCTCGGCGCCGGGAATCGACATGATGTCGCCGCTCTGCTGGCAAAAGAGTTAGGTTAGGAGGCGAGGGTTGCTCAGCGCCGTAGTGCGGATGCAAAGTGGGTAGAGTAAGAACAGGATATCAGGTAAGGGAGGGACACGTGCTGGGGCGTGGGCAGGACATGGTATGGTGGTATGGTGGGGTTCGAGGCAAGGGCAACTCGAGGGACGAGGGGCAGAGGGGCACACGAACCTTGTCGTCGGTGGTAGCCGACATGTTTGCTCAAGACCAAACGGCGAAGTCGATAGGGCAGAGGGCGGTGGTGAGTCCGGACGACGAAGCTGTCGACACCGTATGGGACTGGTGTCGCAGCGAAGAGCAACTATTGGGGGAGGGGGGGGCGCGAACGGATATTTTTTCGCGCCTCAGCAGTGGGCCGTGCGGCTGTCGGATTCACCTGTGGTGGCTGGATCGGGCTTAGTGGGCGACTGAAAAGGGTCGGCCCGTGGGTGTTGTTGTGAGCGCCGTTGCTAGAGCTGAGGACGTTGTCCAAGGGTCAGTGTCTAGGGACGATGCAGGGTGGGCAATCGAGTCTGTTTGAGACTGCGACTGCCGAACTACTACGCACAAGAAGGGAGACTAAGTCGTGCCTCTAGGCCGTTAGTTGGTAGTGTTTCCACGGGGCCGGATGCTGGGCGGAGCGGATGCAGCTATGCTATGCTATGCTATGCTCGTCACTGGCAGAATTGGGACGTGTGAGGGCACCGGGTGGTGGGTGGTGTGGTAGGAGGAAAGCAGTTTCGGCAGCAATGGTCACGGGAATGTGGCTCATATACGGCGGGCAGTGTTCTAGAAGGTGAGGGTTGCCATGTTTGCATCACCGCAAAAAGAGAGGAGGGGGGAGGGGCATAAGGGGGGGGGCACGGGATGAGCAGTAGAATAAGGGCTCGATACATGCAGGTGGATACCTCGACGTCAATCGGCAGCCCTCGCTCGCCGTTGATCGCCTGTTACGAAGCCGTTGTCTGCTACCCTCTTCCTGGCGGCTGACTGGAGACCACCACCCCGCCTTCCTCGCATTCACAGTCATCGGCTACCCGGCCAAAGGCAATGCACCCGGTGGAGTCGTGACCTTTGACCTGGCATGTTGCCTGCACCGCCGTGTGCCTCTGCGGCTGATGAGGCTAGCCGAAGCTGTGGCTCCTACCACCCTGTCCCGTCGGGAGAGCTGTTGGATACGCCCTCGAGACTGGAGAGAGAGGACAAGAGGAGAACCGTCAAGTGTGCGCCAAGAAGGTCTGGAAGCGCTTCGAAAAGGATTTTCTCCGCGGTAGAAACTCTTGAGGCGGGGTGCCAGCATAGGAATATAAACACAGACGAGGGTTGGGTTTTTTTCGCTTCACGACAAACGACGTCACATTGTAAGCTGTCGTCATTGCGCATGTGCTTTTGCCAGACCCTGAATTGGGGCTTACTGACTTGAGCTAGCCATTCAACACCGCTTACAGCCGCCGTTTGGCCCTGCTCTCTTGCACGTCCATGTATCTACGTGTATACGTACAGGGCTTATTCCTCTGGAATCTACAGCCATGTACGGAAGCCACAGACACCGTCTCAAAAAAAACAAAGCACTGCCATAGGGCCGGGCACTAAACCCACGCACGACAGGCCTGCCCCATGGACCCTGGCCATTGTTTTTCCGTCCAAACCTGCGTCATGCGTGATTCATGCTCTTCCGGCCTTCTCCGAAATGCAATAGGCTGCTGCTGTCTCTCTGCCAACAGCTAGTCCACTCTCAAGCAAATGGCGGGCGGAGGGCGGCATGGAGACACCCAGCATCAGCCTCGATGAGGTTTGGTGTGCACGACAGCGGACGCCCTGGTCATTGCAGCGCTGCAGGGTAAACGAGTGGAGCAATCCTTGTTGTTGTCTGATTGGCGCGACAATGCTTGGTAAACCATGCGTGGAGCGGTACCGGGACGGTTTTTTTGTTGACCACCAAGCTCATCAAGCCTGACCGGTCTGCATTTCTTCCATGTCAAACAATGACTCAATACGTCTGCAACTCAGCAAGGCTACAAATGCCCATAGTAACTCGCCATAGGCAAGCAGCGAAGTCGGCCATGCACGCTTGTCTCTTGCACGCGAGCAGTAGGTCGAAGCTTTTCGGGAACCAACTAGCGCCACGACTGTCTACCTAGTACTACCATACAGCAACCCCCTCGCACACGGAAGGGATCTTCACACACCTTCATCGTCTCACCGCAAATAACCAACCACGTGCCGCGTCTGTGGGGGCTTCAGTGAGCAAACACACAATCCTCGATGAAGGATTCCAAGCTTTAGTGCAATGCTTCGGATCGACCGATTCGATCCCAGAGGACAAAAAAAACAAGACAAGACACGAGCGCACCCCAAGGATCGAAGAGACATGTCATTTGTCGTATACATACGTACACATTTCATAATCTAGCCGCTCAATGCAGCCGCCGGATCATGCACGGCAGCCGTGAACCGACCAAAGAGCCCGCACCCATCACCTTGCTTAACCCTTGACCTTGTAAATAGCCTCTGCAAGGCGTCCGACATTCTCGCTAGTGATACCAGCGACCGAGATGCGGCCGTCCTTGGTAGCATATACCGAGTGCTGTCACGTTAGCTGGGTCCAGTATCACCTGGCACATGGTGTTCAACTTACCTCCTTTGCCAGCTTGTCCATCTGCTCTGGTGTCAGACCCGTGTAGGCAAACATACCAATCTGCGATGTGATATGACTCCAGTCGTGCTTGCTTCCGAGCTTCTCGAGGTTCTCCTTGAGCAGAGCGCGCATGGTGATGATGCGGTCAGCCATTCCCTTGACCTCACCAAGCCATTGCTTGTTGAGCGATGCGTCATTCAGAATCTCAGAAGCAATGCGGGCACCGTGAACTGGGGGGTTAGAGTACAATGGGCGAACAATGATCTTGATCTGGGAGTCGACACGCTTCTTCTCCTCGGCAGATTCGCAAACAACAGAGAAGGCACCCACACGCTCACCATACAGACCCATGTTCTTGGCAAACGACTGGGCCAGGACGGGGCGGAGACCTTCCTTGATAAAGTGGCGGAGGGCAAAGGCGTCCTTGGAGGTGTCACCGCTGGCGAAGCCCTGGTAAGCCATGTCGAAGAAGGGGAAGTGATCACCCTCCTTGACAGCATCGGCAATCTTGGTCCACTGCTCCTCGGTGGGATCAACACCAGTGGGGTTGTGCGCGCAGGCGTGGAGCAGGACAATGCTGTTCTTGGGCATGGCCTTGATATCGGCAATCATTCCCTCAAAGTCGAGGCCAATTGTGTCCTTGTTGTAGTAACGGTACTTTTCGACCTTGAGACCCGAGTCCTTGAAGACGGCATTGTGGTTGGCCCATGACGGTGTGGGGATGTAGATGGTCTTGGGGCCGGGGTAGTGACGCTCGAGGAAGGCGCCGCCAATGCGCAGGGCACCAGTACCTGAAATGGACTGGGTGACGGCGATGGAGTCCTCGTTGAGAGGCTTCGAATCGGCGCCATATGCGAGCTTGAGAGCAGCCTTTGTGAAGTTGGGTACACCGGTGATGCCAGCGTACTCCTTGTCCAGTGCCGAGTCGACGACCTTCTTCTCCGCCTCTCTCACTGAAGGCAGGACGTAGGGCTTGCCCTTGTCATCGCGGTATGCGCCGACGCCTGGGGATGCAGAGTTAGTTACGTCTTTGTTTTGAGAAGCTATTGCACTTCACTGACCGAGGTTGATCTTCTTGGGGTTGCTGTCGGCCTTGAAGGCTTCAGTGATACCCAAAATGGCCTGGAGAGAGCATTGTGAGCTGGGAGCGCGGCTATCATGTCTACAGGGAGGGTACATACATCCTAGACGCATGGGTTAGCATTGGCATGAGTCAATTGGGCCGCAGCTTGCTTTTGGCCACTTACTGGAGGGCCCTGGGGCACCTGCGACCATGCCGAGACAGCTCGGACACTGGACTTGAGCGACAGCTGCTTGGTCGCCGCCTGGCGGAGCGCCGTGCGGGATGAGGCGAGCATAGTAGAAACCGATTGAGAGTCGAGAAAGCGAGAGGCGGGCAGAGAGAAGACGAGACAATGCTTCGCGGATGAAACGGAAGCAGCTGTGACTGTATTAGAGTACGTAGGTAGCTGGAGTGGGTGGTCTGAGCATGAGCAAAATACCCCAGAAACGCAATAGTTCCCACGCCTCGCCTCCCACGCCCGCCGCGGAATCTCTATGTCATTCATGTTCCTATGACTCGGGCGCGCAAACTGCCACTGCCTCTGATTGGCCAACTGTCCGCAAAGCATCCCTGCTCCTTCCGCTGTCGCCCATGGTAATTTTTTTTTTCTGGACAGTCGGCTGCGCGTCGCGTGAGAGCCGTCTACGTAGTGTGTAACCACAGTAGTAAGATACATAGCATGTAGCCACAATTACTACACCCGTTTCCTGTTCCTCCCCAGCATGCGACGCGCTATCACCCAGGCCGGGACACTGCTGAACCATGAAGCCTCGATACCACTGTTTCTCTGTCCTGCCCTACTTAGAGCCTCCATAACCACCGCTCGCCGCGGTCCCTCCCGAGCCAGGTCCTCGACAAACTTTTCAACGTCAAGGCCAATAAAGGACCAAGTCCGCGCTGATGTGCCTCTTACCGAAAACCATGATGCGTCCCTGCAGAATCCACCAGCTTCAAGATCATTACCTCGAGCGTGCCCGGGATGTGGTGCGCCCGCTCAGATTTATGAACAAAACGAAGCGGGGTATTATAACATAGACAGGAAGGCAGTACGCGCATATCTCAATCCAGTCGAAAATATACCAAAAGATACGGCAACACAAGAAGACCATGTCTACGAACAGGCACTCAGCAACGTCGATCCCCAGCTGCTGGGAGAGTTGGGTATTGCCAAAGAGGGGAAACAAATCCCCGACAACGATCCACCACCAACACCTGTATGCGACCGATGCCACAGCCTCCTCCACCATCGCCTAGGGTCGCCCATCCACCATCCGACCGTCGATGCCATACAACAGACCATTGCCGAATCACCGCACCGACGTAACCACATCTACCATGTCGTCGACGCTGCCGACTTCCCCCTCTCCATTGTCCCAAACCTCCAGTCCTCCTTGCGCATTCCCAAACTGCGAACACAAAACAGGCGAGCCAAACACAAGGGCTGGGTCGCCAATGATCGCATTGCAGAGGTTAGCTTCATCATCACAAGAGCCGATCTCTTAGCGCCAAAAAAGGAACAAGTCGATGCACTCATGCCGTATATTCGAGATGTGCTCCGTGATGCCCTCGGCCGTCAGAATGCGAGTGCGCGTCTAGGTAATGTACGCCTCGTCAGTGCAAAGCGGGGATGGTGGACCAAGCAAGTCAAAGAAGACATATGGGATCGCGGAGGCGCAGGCTGGATGGTCGGCAAGGTCAACGTGGGAAAATCAAATCTCTTCGAGGCCGTCTTCCCTAAAGGACGGGGGGCAGACTATCAGGATGTGCGCAAGATCCGGAGCGCGGCAGAACGAGAAGCAATGCTTCAAAACGCAAAGACACTGGATGAGCTTGTGCAGGTCCAGCGGCAACTCGCTGAAGAGGACGCTGAGACGGAGCGTTTGAAAAATAAGCCGCAAGAACATCTTCACCAACCTCCCGAAGAGCTTGAAGAAACGCCAGAAGAAGATATTGACGACCCGGACGCCCTCCTTCCCCCGCCCCAACCATTCACACCCTATCCCGTTCTCCCGATTGCCTCTTCGCTGCCTGGAACGACTGCGTCTCCGATTCGCATACCCTTTGGGCAGAACAGAGGTGAACTTATCGACCTTCCGGGTCTTGCACGCACAACTCCTGGGCTAGAGACTTTTGTTCAACCCTCAGCACAGGACGACCTTGTAATGAAGAACCGTATCAATTCGGAACGCTACACCCTCAAGCCGGGCCAATCTCTAATACTCGGCGGTGGCTTGATACGAATCACTCCCGTAACCCAGGACCTTGTCTTCCTCGTATACCCCTTTGTACCCATTCACCCACATGTTACACGCACCGAAAAAGCAGAAGAATACCAGGCCCAAACCTCCGAACGCCAACTCCAAACACCACCCATTCTCGCCCCAAACGTCGGTTCCAAAATGCACTCTGCAGGCAAATTCCAACTCAAATGGGACGTAACCAAAAAAATCGCCGGCCCCGTAACCTCGCCCGTCGCCGGCAAAATGAAGCCCGAAAACCTCCCCTTCAGCATCTGGGGCACAGACATCCTCATCGAGGGTGTTGGCTGGGTCGAAGTCTCGGCGCAGACACGCAGGCCGCAGGGCTGGTCTCCCCCAGGTATGGTCAAGAAAGATCCCAACCAAGCTCGACTGGACCGCCAAGCCAAACTCCAAGCTGAAGCCGATCGCAAGCAGCGCAAATTCGATGCTATTGCGCGTGCAGAGCGTGAGGGCAGGGATCCCGAGGAAGTTCTTGAAGAAGAATTCTACGAGGACAAGAAGAGGGAGTTGATGGAGCAGTGGGAGGAGGACTATCCTGAAATTGAAGTTTTCTCCCCGCTGGGCAAGTTTGTGGGACAACGGCGGCCCATGTGTGCTAGCACCGTGAGTGGGCCGAAGCAGATTTCTAGTAGGGAGAGGAAACAACGGCCGAGACGGAGTATGGTTAGTGTTAAGCGGCAGAGGAAGCCAAAGGGCGTAGACTAAGTAGTTTCTTCACTCCATGTAACAATATATATATTTTTTCTCTCTCTCTCAGTAATTGATTTTAGATATGTCGACATTATGATAGAAATAACGTATCAGTTGGATAATCTCACGTTCTCGCCACGTTACCAAGCACACAAAGTACATAGATTTCTAACATTCAGAAAGAATAAAAACCCCCGCCACATGGTGAATCCGAGAATTGGTCAATTATATGGACGTGTCCCCTCCCCCTACTCCAACCCCCCGTCACTTTCCGCGGCAGGTTCGTATACCATGGCCTCGCGATGCGATGCGATACCAACGCCTTGAACGCCAGTCTATCCCATCCTCCCTTACCACCCCGTCCCTCTGGGTATTCACCATCCCCGCCTTTATCGCGGTACCCCTTGTATTGCCCCGACTCTAGCGTCAAAGAGAGAGAGAGAGAGAAAACCCCTGCCCAAGGGCTTGTGTGTATGTGTGTCTAGGACATGGCGTCCAGCTTAGCCCAATAGGCCTGCTGCTCCACAGCGCAGTCTCGACCGTTCTTGTCGCAGCCGGGAAAGACGGCGACGAGATCACCATCTTGGAAGCGGCCGTTGCGTTCGTTTGCAGGGCCAAGGGCGTAGGAGTTGAGGAGGTTCTGGGGGACCATTGCGAGTTTGGCGAGGATCGTACCGTGCCATCTGTGATAGTTAGCTTACTGGTTCTAACGACAATGATTGCGAGGGTATACTTACTGCACGATATGCTCGAGAGCGTGGTACTCGGCCTTTTGGAAGTTGTAACTTCGGTAGATGGGGTCGAACCAGGTGTCCAAGAAGAACTTTGCCCACTCTCCGTTTCGGACAACAAAACTGCTCGGGGCCAGGCCGTCCTTGTCTTGGGTAATGACGAAATCTATTCGGTCGCCCTTTAGGTTGCTGAATGTCTTGATGACGCTTTCGGGGGGAACGACGGGGGCGTTGGTGATCATGTACGACTCAAGTTTAGCGGGTGTAAGGAGTGAAGTGTGGATGGGTATGTCCATGTTCATGATCAGGGCGGTGTGGTCAAGATACCACATGAACATGGAGGTCGGATGGAGCGTCATGGCATGGCGGACTGCAGGCACGCGAGCCCAGGTGGGCGGAGAGTTGCCGATAGGATATTTGTCGCTGGTTGGGAAGAAGGTAAGATAGCCTGATTGCATGTTAATATCCGCCCAATCTTTGTGGTAACCCGCTGGCTGTGGTGAGACATACCATGTTTTTTGGCGTAGTCCTCCCTATTCCTCTTGACCTTTGCTGTCCATGTAGGATCCATCTTAGGATCCACGACTGTGACCACGACCACAGGCGGGCCGCTCCCTATCTTGGGCTTGGGTATGTTTGCCGGACCCCAGCCTCCCACTTTGGTGCCTCTTTGGGTAGTGCCACTACTTCCACTCAGCATCCAGATAAGCACGAAAAAGCCCAATATGCCACCAGCGATTAGCCGTCCTAGTTTGCTCCGGAGCAAATTCTTAAGAGCTGGTGGTATCGCAATTCCGCTCTGGTTTCTTGCAACATATGGCGGCGGTCGCGACGTCTTTCGTGGCGGCATGGCGAAGTGCATCGTGTAGTGTCTCCGTGGGTAGAGGAGATATTGCAGTTGACGAGGGTGGAACAATACGAGCGATGTCGGGTGGCGGTCTGGAAGTCGTTAAGAGGCGCAATCGCTACAGGAACATTGCTGAAGTGTCTCGAGGTAAAGAGTGGCCCCAATGCATGCAAGAGAGGTGCAGATTCAACGGGCGCTGAGAGAGACGGACTACCCAAAGTCCACGCGACGACATGGGCATGCGCTGCGATTGGCCTTGGCAGGAGGGACCTTGCCCTAGCGCCCGCAGATTGTCCCTGGTCATGCTCGAGATGGAGGCATAACGGGCCCTCACTTTTTTTCCGTTGAGGGCCGACATCTTTCGAGCTATGCGCATATATATAGAAGACTTTGATGTTCTTATCTTTGCGCATCCTGCTGATTGACGCCACAATTGCACCTTGTGCGACTTGTCTACCCTGTTCCTCATCTGCTTACTCCTTTTCACCACATCATACCTACTTTTTGACCTACGGCAATCAAAGGCATGGCCTGTCGCTATACGAGTAGTTCAAATATAGCAAAATATGCCTATCCCTTATCTAGCACCGGCGGTCGCTAGTAAAAGGAGTTGCGCATACCCACCTGGCGCGCCGTCCGAGCCATCACGAGATTTCGCCGGACTGGGTACGAGTCGAGATCTCCGGCCATGGGAATCTCACCAACGGACGGCAAAGTCCACAATTCGGACGGAAGTCTCGGTATTTTTGCCAAGCTATGTAACGATTGCTCGCTGATTACCGCCAGCATCTTTGCAGCTACTTTGTGTTACCCGCTATGACGTCGAGTACCTGTCACAGTGAAGAAATAAAACCATTCAAAAAGAATGAAGGGCCACCGGCTTGTTAACACCAACCTGATTTCAATCGATTGATTATATTCTCTACTATTTTTTTCCTTTAGTCCTTTTCCATATACAGCTATGGTCGAAAAGGTGATCCAGTTGAGGTGCGACTGCAACCAGTACCCATGGGGAAAACAAGGCTCCAAGTCGCTCGCCGCGACATTGTGCGCAAAGACACCAGGCACAAGCTTCAAGATTGACGAGAATACCAGCTATGCTGAAATGTAACTGTGCAGACCGAACTCTTCTCCAATGGCTACTAACATCAGCAGGTGGATGGGCACATATCCCGAGTTACCCTCCTATGTTTTAGAGACTGGCGAAGACCTTCAGGATGTCATTGATAAGCATCCCGATGAGCTTATCGGAAAGGCTGTTGTTGATAAGTTCAATCACACCAAGCTGCCATACCTGCCAAAAGTCCTGTCAATAGCAAAGGCTCTACCCCTGCAGCTACACCCAGTACGTATTTCCACAGGAAGAGCCATTTCCATTTTCTAATAATGCTTCAGAACAAAGAGCTGGCTTCAAAGCTACACGCAGAAAACCCAAGTCAGTTCACAGACCCAAACCACAAACCAGAGATTGCCCTGGCTCTTGGCGACTTTGAGGCCTTTTGCGGGTTCAAGCCTCTTGAAGAGCTTGCACTTTTGATGAAACTCCCCCCGCTTCAGGGCTTCATGCCTGAGGCCACAAAGCCGACATTTGACGACCAGAAGTTGAAGCATGTTGTCAAGGCAATGCTTATGGCTTCCGAGGATACTGTCCGCAAGACCAACGATGCCCTGATGAAGATACCGAAAGAGGAATTTGGCGCTTCCAGCTACATTCCCGAGATGATTCCTCGTTTGGCAGAACAGTACAAGTCTGACAACGGAACGCTCGTTGCTCTCGTCACTATGAACTACTTGAAGCTCAAGGCTGGTGAAAGTATTTATATTCCCGCCGATGGTATTCACGCCTACCTGTCTGGCGACATTATCGAGTGCATGGCTCGATCAAACAACGTACTCAACACTGGTTTCTGTCCCCGTGCTGATCGCGACAACGTCGATATGTTCTGCTCAGTTCTCACGTTCTCACCACACAACGCAAAGGAAGCTATCCTACCACCACAAGCCTTCGACAGGAGCAAAAATGGCAAGACGCAGATGTATGCACCTCCTCTTAGCGAGTTCAACATGTTGGTAACAACAATGAGTGCCGGCGATTCCGAGACGATTGGGTCACTCTGTGGACCCAGCGTCATGATCGTAACCGAGGGCGAAGGTATTATGAAGGGCAATGGCAAGGAGTACAAGCTGAGTGATGGCTATATTTTCTTTATCGGCCCCGGCGTGGACCTGGAGTTTAACGCCACCAAGCAGTTGAAGGCATTTACAGCTTTTGCTGAGTAAACCATTGTAACAGTAAGATAGGAATAATGAAATGCGAATGACAATGATTGAAGCTCTCAGGCCGCCACGGAGGTGACGTGGACACCGATTGGAGGGCATTGGAGCTTCCCCGCTCTCAGCAACATGCATGAACGCCAACAGCTGACTAGTATTCAATACACTTGGAAAGTCTTATATGCGCACAGTCTGAAAGCGTATGACAAGCCGGAAACTCTTCGGATCCGCACGTAGGCGTATTGGTACTTCCCCACGAGTACCCTTGCTTCCCCGCACTTTGACTGGGAACCCCCTCTACAGCTCAGTTGTAGCTATAAAACCCCGCAATGGAGCCTCATGCTGTGAGATTGAGGAGATACATTGTTTTATTTGCTTGTGAAATTGCGCCTTTGGCTTCGATAATCATTGAAAAAGAACGTGGTTGTTTGTATCACGGGTGGCTGGAACTTAACAGGAACGCGCGTTAAAAGAGAGGATTGACGTTGGAACATCATCCTAGTAGTGAAGCCTCAGAGCCGGAAGCATTCGGTAAGCTTATTATCTGGGTATTAAACCAGAAAATCCCCATTGATTTTGATTTCTGCATTCTCAATCTATCTCTACAATTCACTCGCTAACATTGTATCTGTCGCGCTTAAAAGAACATAAATTCATCACCATGGCCAGCACAGCAGCCGCAAAACGCGACTCCATGGACGCAACAGCAAGCGGTCTTGAGGCGAAAACGAAAGCCGCTTCCCTTGAGCAACCGACGCGCAAGCGACCGTTGGGTCTGACAGACCTTCCGCCCTCTGTCCGCAACAATATCTACAGATACTGTTTAGACACTGAGATGGTCAACTTGGGCGAACCAAATGTATCCTATACACACAAGATAGGCGACGGCGTGCTCAAATTCTCGGCCTCGCGGAAGCCCTTCCCAATCAACAGTAGTCTCTTCTACGTCAATACAGCGTTTAGTAAAGACGCACTGCGCTACTTTTACAAGAAGAATCTGTGGGTAAGACTAGATGTCTACACGGCGGATGCAAGGCATGCAAAGACTCTGCTAGAAGACTCTGGTCTACTATTTTCCACTGCTTCACCAGAAGCTGTCGAAAAGGCAATTCAACATGCCCTCGAGGTGGTGCTGGTGGAAAAGAACTCTGCGCAGAAACGCGCAAGCGTCATGTTTCCAGCACAGTACCTACCTCGCCTGATCAACTTTTTCGATCAAGCAAGTCGCGCAACGGCAACTTGGGCGCCTATGCACACACTATTCTTGACCGTAATGAACACATACGACTTCCCCATCTCACGACTCCAAGGCGACTTGCTCGAGCCATTCAGACTACTCTCCAACTTCGGTGGCGTCACAGTCGACAGCAACAACCTCCTACCACGATACGCAGAAGGGCTACAAAGCATGATGACAGAAAAGAGCTTCACAGCCGAATCCTATCTCGCCCACGTAACCGAGCTAGCAGATCTCTCCGACTCTGCGCGCGAAAAAGAAGACTACACGCTCGCCAACGAGTACGCAAACGCCGTCATCATAGCCCTAACATACGGCTACCTAACCCACCCCGAAATACTCCACTCGCAAGACGAATCCTTCAGCAAAGCCATCCAGCGTCTTCGCTGGCGTACAGAACTCGGGCTAGGCATTTCTCTCTCCATCCCCCTGCGTAGTCTCACCTCTACAAAACACTGGATGCATACCCCGAACCCCACACCTGAAATTAAAAAAGCAGCAAGAGACTTACTACTTGCTGAGACATCAGTCTCCAAAGCCCTCAGTCTGGTTACGGACTCCCCCTCGCCAGCATCAAACCCCTGGTTCCATTCTCTACCTATCGAACTCATCCCAAATAACAAGCCTACTTTCTTCTCTGAGCGTGAAAAGGCGCAGACGTGGTATGCACTCGGTACCGTGCACATGGCGTTGGGCGAAAACATCTTCGCATGCGGAGATATGGAGCGCGCGCTGGAACTTTGGGGGAAGGAGAGTGGGGTTGATGAGGAAGACGGATTGAGGGGCAGGATCGAGGAGGCGTTTGAGAGGGCGAGGAAGGGGATTGATGGAGATGCAGAGAGTATGTGGGTTGGGGAAATTAGGCCGGGGACGGGGTTGAAGAAGGCGGCGAGGTTGGCGAGGGGGTTGTAGTTTGTTCTTTTGTATCGATACCTAATCTGTGTAGAGAGAGAGAGGGGTTGGGTTAAAGGACCTAGATATACATCAAGGATACACATCTTCGAGTAGCATCAATAAGAAAAATGCTGAGTCTTTCCACGTGACATCAGAGATTTCAAAAGGCAAGCATGCAGCTGACGGAGAAGTACTGTGCAATAAGTATTCCTCAAGTTCCATGGTATACATACGGTATTTTTACAAAGCCAGCATATAGATCATACAACTCCACTTAGGCACGCGGCTGACTTGACGCAGCCTTGTTGCTCGAATTGACAAGCGCAGCCCAAGCATCACCACGCGCAGTCTTCTCCTGCACAGATCCTTTGTAGATATCCCGCAGGCCATCAGACGCAGATGCTGTCCTGCGGCGATCCTCCAACATGGACTCAACATAATCGTCCTGACCGCCCGCTGCCTTTGCCTTGATGGCCAAGTCTGCCTTATGAATTGCCCTCTCAAGGTATCTCCGCCTTTCCGCATCCAGACTCTGGTTGGTGGAAGCGGTTTCCGCCTCTGCGATTACCTTTGCGTACTCTGCTTTTTGCGCGGCCCGGAAAGCCGCTTCACCACCAGCTGCCTGTACGCGAGCAGCATATGTGGCTTCGGCAGCTTGTTTGTCGGGCCGGGCAGCTGCTTTCCAAGCCTCTATACTTCCAGCTTCTTCAATCTCCTTTCGCTTGCGCTGGTTGTAAGCAATCTTCATGGCGGTGTGATCTTTGATATTGGGCAGGTTAAAGCGGTTCCGAATTTCCTGCAAGTCCTCGACGGTGAAACCGGCTTCTTTGTATCTCCTGTAGGTTTTTTGTTTGAGGGTAACGACTGCTTCTTTACGCTCTTTTGCTCGGATGAAGGCTAATTTGAGGCCTTCCTCCTCGCTGTCTACAAGACCTCGGGTCAAGTACCGCTGTGCAGCCTTGACAGCTTTGAGGTATTCGTTGGCAGCAAAGGCTTCGGTTCCCTTCTCATACTTTTCAAGCAGCTCAGTCTCAAGTGAGGGGCTCTCAGGTGCGTCAGCTTTTTCTGGTGCCCACATCTGTTGCTCCTCGCTTTCCGGAAACTTTTCGCTTTCAAGTTCAGGAGTACCTTCAGCTGCTTTGCGTGCAGCCATCATCTGAGGAGTTGGCCATTGCTTGTCGATGGTGGCTTGGTCAAGTCCCAAAGCCGCAGCATCGGCTCGCAATCGTTCAATAACCTCTGGCTTCTGCATGAGCGTCCAGCGTAGTGCCCATCCCATGGGCCCAAGCTCTTTGATACGTGCCACATTGTCCTTGAGTAGATACTCGTCCAGTCCACCTTCACGGTCCATTGTCTTGAGCACCTTTGCTGTAATGCGCAATTTTATCTTCTTCTTTAATGCAACCGAGTACAGACTCTTGGATAGGACGTTTGGCTGCCATTTCCGCCGGGTCTTGGTCTCGGTATCCTTAGAGACATTGTTGCCGAACCGTATCATCTGCTCGCCATAAAGACCCTTGTTTGCTTGCTTGAACAGCCTGTGCTCGCCATATGGATATGCCGGAATGTATGCATCTTTGGGAATGACATTTTTGGGAAGATGGGAGCCGAGATCACCGCCGCGTCGCCGTTGGAGAGGGTTCTTCACTGCGGGCGCGGGCGCGGGCGCAGTGGTTGCATACGTTCGCTGCGCCTGGTGAGCAGAGCGGCCAACAGCTCCTGCGGCCGGAATGCGTCCGGAGAGCAATTGACACCGGGCATGCATGGTAAGTGTGACGGGGAGCATGCGAAGTGCCCGTTGTGATGAATGATTGATGTGCTCGGTGGTCCGCAAATTCGAGAAGCCCACAGCACGGACCCCAACTTCACTTTCGTCCCATGTACAATCACAGACGGAGCAAACCACTGGGACGACACAGCGGACACACAACAGCTCATTAGGAACAGCTGTATATACAAATTCCACGCGTTTACACTGATAGGCGAATATGGCAAACATGTCAGAATCTTCTCAACCGTCCACAGCCAACATTGCAGCTGCGTGCGCCATCCTCGCTGGTGTCACTGGCTATATGCTCGGACAGGCAAAATCTCTCGGCTTCTTTGGCGGAAGTCCTATCTCACAGCCAGTAAAATCGAAGAAGGAAAAGGCAGACGACTCGGAAGACGAATCGAGCGACGACGAGAAGGACAGTACACCAGCCGACTTTCCAGGCCAGGAAGAATGCAAAATGGTCTTGGTAGTACGAACAGACCTCGGGATGACAAAGGGTACCGCTATTCTCCACTACTCCTAGGAACTATCGCCTGACCTTTGACACAGGCAAGATTGGTGCGCAGTGCGGGCATGCGACACTGGCTTGCTACAAGCACTTCCTCCGAACCTCACCAAACTCCAATATACTCAAGCGTTGGGAGCGACTAGGGCAAGCCAAGGTCGCGTTGCAGGTCAAGAGTGAAGAAGAGCTAGAGCTGTTGCAGGCGCAAGCACTGAGTCTTGGCCTGGTAGCACACATTATCCATGACGCTGGGCGAACACAGATTGCAAGCGGAAGTGCGACTGTACTAGGCATTGGACCAGCGCCAAAGAGTGTCATAGATCAGGTCACCGGGCATCTCAAGCTGCTGTAAAAGTGCTGGCTCCGAAAGGCATGCAACACAATATTGGGACCTTAAAGTGGAACGGGAGAAAATGGCGACGTGCCATGTCTCAGTGATGCCTCATGCATACATGGCGACAAGAGCTCAAGTAAAGGCTTTCGGAAAAACCCCCACGGGCCATGGGTGGAGCTAATGGTATTCTTTACGAACACGACCAAATCGCAGGAATTGCATCTGAAGCACCATTGCATTTGCAATAGCGACTTCGCGAGCATCCAAAAGAAGAAGAAAAATTATTCCCTGCAAAGGTTACACGGCAGCAAGGTGAAGCAAATGTGGGCCTAGCAGTGTGGTTTCCGTCGCCTATGAGAATGTTGGCAAGGACGCAATATGCGCTGGCTCTTGAGTGACGTGTGCTATTCAGGTAAATCTGTCGGTAGCCATAAGGTGGATCACAGCTGCTCAACAAATGCCATTCGCCATGTGCGGGCACTAGACGGGTTTCCGCACTCCTGGAATGCATCTTCTGATATAGGGGTATTCGCCAATTGGTAATGGATTGGCGTGACAGAAGACGTATGGTGTACCGGGAACGATGGGCAGAGAGTTGATGTTGTGTCAAAGAGTGAGAGACTTGTTTGGAGGCAATACACATAGCATCTCGTACTATGTGCAACGAGCTATGACTTGCATACGCAACATGTGTACCTTGGCAATGGCAGTACACAAACCGATGAGACGCAGCCAAAGATTACCGAGTCGGAAAAGTCCCCTCACGTGGACACTGATGTGTTACATGGCAACCTTCCTTGACCCCGTGACACTGTGTTGGCTGCTTGTTATTCACAGAGTAGGACCAAAAGTTGCGCTGCATCAAAATAGGAATCAAGCGATAGAGATAGTCGTCATATCATTACTCTATTTGCATCAAAGCCGCACAAGGTCATGCAACGGCAACACCTTTCCACCAGCTCGTGGCGCCCAAGACGAATACCACCACCATGGCGTCGCTCACAACGGTGCTGTATATGACGCTGTACCTGCCAACCGTCCGAACATACCCTGCATACGGCTCGGGCAATACACTCGCGACCGTGCTGAGCATGCCACCTCCTTGCAACTGGCCCTTTTCGATGAAATAGCGTGAAGACTGTAGGATAACCTCGAATGTAGCGAAGAGATAGAAGAAATGCGCAAAGCTGTCGGCTGGCGAAGACTGCGTGGTCCAGTCATCGTCGGACACATTGTCGCGTAAGAATTTGGATCCGGTAAACGGCGTCTGTAGCACTATGTAGACAGCGAGTCCCAGGGAGAAGACGGAGTGGACCAGGCGCCAAATCCAGGCTGAGGACTGATCGGGCGAGGGCTCAGGAACAGCACCACCACCTTGCATGGCCGAAAGCATGTTGGCAAGGCCTGGTGGTGCACCTGCCTGACCAGAACCTCCAGGCATGCCAGGCATACCACCCGCACCCGCGCCCATCATCTGTTGGAGCATTGCCATCATGGGGTCCTGGGCTGGGTCAGAGGCCTGCCCTGGGCCAAAAGGACCTGCTTGGTTGGCCTCGGAAGCAAAGGGCGAGGGCATTCGGGGACGAGATATGGGCGTATAATGGTGTTGTGATATGTCTACCTCATCTGGGTCCGGAGTGGCTGTTCCAGACCCGGAGGGTGTGCGTTGGGGAAAAGAAATTGGGGGAGGCTTGACTGGCATGCGGTTAGCCGTCTGCTTTGTGGGCTCGGGGGAATTCTCCGAACGAGGAAGCTGAACACACCCGGAACATCCTTCTCAACCTCACTGAGGTCCCTGGGAGGGCCGCCCTGCAGTGCCGTGATCTGCTGCAGACGAGAAGCGCCGCTCTTTGCTGCAAGACGCTCTCTGCGTAGTCTGGCCTTTGTTTGGGCGGGCGACTCGCCAGGCAGGGCGCCCGTTGCGGCGGAGGCAGGCGAGTCGGCCATGTCCAAGTGGGATGGCAGGCGAGGAGAGAGGAAACTCGCAACGATATCCTGACTGTGCTGGCAGTGTTGGCAACAGGATACGGTCGTGTGTTATGGTCGCAGTGGATAGTGCGAGGGGCTGAGGTCATGGGCCTTGGCGTCTCTCACTAGCGTGTATGCAGCTCGTCCCTCCTTTCACCTCGCCCCAAGCCCCTCCCCCTTCCCCGCCAAGTGCCAGCCGTCTTCTTCTTACCTAACTGCCAGGGCCACCTGTACACTTACGACATGACTGCCCCGTCGCTTCGTTGTACACGCGGTACGGGCCGTCATACTCATATCTACCCTCCTCTCACCGCGTCATCTTGAGCCGCCCCTTTCGTACTTAGCATTATTGTATCACTCATCATTGTCATAACCCCCTCAGGGATGGTCGCATGCAGTGCCACCCCAACGCTACCTGGGTCTTCTTCCGGGAATAGCTTGACCCGACGCTCAGGCTTTTGGGCCACGGCAGATTATCCTGGCTACCCTGGTGTGCATGTTAGCCTTTGGATGCAGCTGCTAAAGAGCCTAGAGCTGGATACGCCAGCTCCCTTGGGGCCTTGATCATCGCAGCCACATCATAATTATCTCCTACCTCCATCCACCAGCGCCATCAGCTCCTCAACCCAGCGCTTCTAGCGGCGCGGTCGCACGGGAGCGAAGCCGGTTGGTACTGCCCCACGATCCTTCGGATGCTGGTTCTGTGTTCCATCATCTACATTCAGCTCCACATTGTTCCTTCGCCCCCTGATGTTGCAACAATCTATGTTTACTTGTTATCGGCTCTAATCCTATCACATGCCACAAGTCTTCTGGATTGCACCTTGAGTCTTCCTACAGGGCTTGTAAAAAGGACACAAATACTATGTGATGGAAGACAGTCTTAACGTATACTTCCATGACATCGTTGACAGGAGATTGGTGGCGCTCCACAATGTGCCTGCGTGGTTGGAGAATATCTGACATTCTCCGTAGACCCACACTGGGTCCGGTAACCCGGCTGCAACCATCCAAGCTGCAAGGACGTGTATTCGTTGTATCCACATTACCACCGCGCAGGCAACACTCCGCGCGGAAAGCTACCTGTCGAATCTCTTACATGCCGTGCAACGACGCATTAGGTACAAAAAAACAAATGTAATATCCTTTATACTCTTCCTTCCATCCCACTTTCACACATGAAGTTTCTATCCCAGATCTTGTCTTCTCCTCTTGATACATGCAAATATGTTCGCCCCAAGCATGAAGTCCAAGACCCAATCCCTACGCCTACACACCTTTCGCTTGGTGCGATTGTCACACCAATACCGAGCCCAGTCGAGTTTGAGCAATAATAAGTCCTACTGGAGACACATCCCGTCTTGGAAAGACGTTTCCAACGATGAGTTTGTGTCATATCGGTGGCAGGTATGTGATTTGCAGCATCATATCAATCTCTAGCTATACCACGTATATCTTCTTGAGTAGCTAATTCCTTTCCCGTAGCTGCGAAATACTGTCTCGGACAAACACAAACTTTACAAATTCCTTGACGAGGTTCTGCCGGAGAGACTAGGCCCTACCGAGAACGAACAATTGAAACGGATCAGGACAAAAAGCAACTTTATCGAAGATGCTGTACGTGAGAATCCTTTACCCCGTTATCTTGAACTATTCGCTAATGCTAATATCATGCTAGATTGCTGCCATCAAGTTGGCACCAATGGCTATCCGCTTAACACCCCATGTCCTCTCGTTGGTTGATTGGAACAATCCTTTGGACGACCCGATCCGGAGACAGTTCCTTCCGCTCAGGAGTGGTATCATCCCGGACCATAAGTATCTCGAGTTGGACTCATTGCACGAGGAGCAAGACAGTCCTGTTCCTGGTCTGGTACATCGTTATCCTGGACGAGCTTTGTTTTTAGCCACATCAATATGCCCCGTCTACTGTCGCTTCTGCACCCGATCGTACGCAGTTGGGGGTAATACTGATACGGTATCGAAAAAGCCACAAAAACCTAGCCGGAAGCGATGGGAGGTTGTATTCGATCACATTGCCAACGACGAATCTCTTCAAGATATTGTTGTTTCAGGCGGAGACTCTTACTTCTTGCAGCCAGAGCATGTCATAGAGATTGGTGAAAGGCTGCTGGATATCCCTCACATCAAGCGCGTTCGCTTTGCTTCGAAAGGACTAGCCGTTGCGCCTGGTCGTATTCTCGATGATTCGGATCCCTGGACTGACAGTCTGATTGCTGTATCTAACAAAGGCCGAGAGTAAGATGCTACATACCCAAGTCAACAGATGTGTTATTGGCTAACTCAATTCTCCAAACTTACAGAATGGGAAAGCAAGTTTGCCTGCACACTCATATCAACCATGCAAACGAAATCACCTGGATAACAAGGCTCGCTGCAAACAAGCTATTCAAGCACGGTGTCATTGTCCGGAATCAGTCAGTCTTGTTGAAAGGGGTCAACAATACCTTCCCAGCACTTTCCGATCTCATCAAGTCGCTGTCCGATATCAACATTCAGCCGTACTATGTGTATCAATGCGACATGGTACAAGGCATTGAAGATCTTCGTACGCCCCTCCACGAGACTGTTGACCTGGATAAACAAATACGGGGAACTCTTTCGGGCTTTATGATGCCATCCTTTGTAATCGATCTTCCTGGAGGTGGCGGAAAACGGCTTGTGTCCACCTATGAGAAGTACGAACATGGTATTGCTACATACAAGGCCCCTGGTCTCCCTGGTGTCAAGGGTGAAATGACGTACACCTATCATGATCCTAAGCCTGTCAAAACAGCCGTCCTCGAAGAGTTCCAGCAACGCCAACTCGAGGCGCTCGAACGGGGAGAGACACTAGAACAATTCTTTGCTCAATCAGCTGATCGCTTACCGCGTCCACCTATGTCGAATCCTTCATCGAACCCGAACCCCCTGCGCCCACAACCTACATCAACGGACATCGTCCCGGATTTCTGGGCTCCGACTCCAAAGCCAGCTTATGCCTACTCTCAGAGATTCTGATTGCCTATCACGCTCAACCACAAAGATACGAGCCCCCCACGGTGACCGAACCGGCTTCTCCAACGGTTACCACTACGCCGACACAAAAAGAGAAAAACACCTTTCTGTTAGAATTTAGATTGCATCCTCCTTTTTCACAACCGGAAACAAAATGTACAAAATGGTGAGACGGCCGTATGGGACTTGTTCATGTACTTGTACATACACATGTACATTGAGTCTTTTGTTTTTTTGTTTATTCCCCCAATATCCTTTCCAACCTACCAGCCCTCATCTATCTGTTCATAATTTCTCTCTCTCTCTCTCTCAGACTTACGAGTAAGAATGCCGCCTGTTATGGCACCCCTAAAATGTTTCGGTTCCTGTCCTTGTAATACATTCAGCACAAAAACTACCTCAAGTAGATTTTACAAACGAAAAGAAGTATTATATATGCTTGCTCAAACTACTTTTCCCCCTTATGATCAATCTAACTGGGTGTATTTCCTCCATTTAAGCAAATCCAGCTTCATCACAAATAACGAGTAAGAAAAAAAAAAGAGCAAAGCAGGATGATAAGCATGGGAACGCGCAATTTTGAAAAAAGAAGTCATAACGTCTTGAATTTCCATATCAAAAAAAAAGTTAACTTGCACATCCCTTCTTCAACCCTCTACATGCGTGCATGTTTGCACTTCCCGACAGCCGTTTAAGTCATGTCGACTCACATCTTTCTTTCCCAACATTTGGCGACGAAAAAAAGAAGACAAGGGTTTTGTCCTGCCACCACCTCCTGCCCTCACCGCTACTATGGCCATGCCGCATCTTTTCTCTCTCTCTCTTCCTTGGCCGCTGCCGTCACCGATATAGTACAAAGAACAGATTATGTGACCCAGGTGGAAACATCTGAGCGAAATAGAACAGCGCGTGCGAAAAAAAAAATCCAAACAAACAGACAATAACAGCAATAACAGTTAGAGTGGGTGATGTGAATAAAGCACAAACACACAACAAGAAATGACAAAGATGCCCCATACGCCACAAAGATGAGACAAGAGAGAGAGAGAGAGAGAAAAAAAGATTTGCGCAAAAGACAGACAAGAGCGGCAACACAACTACCAAACCAAACAACGCGAATTCCGCCCAAGAAAAGATAAAGAGTTGGAAAATGGGGTAATAAATGGGTAGAGAGAGATCTAACGCCGTTGAAGGACTTTGCTTTGAGAAGCAAACAAAAAAGTTTGGGAGGGGGCAACGCCGCGCTATACAAGAGGTGGTAGAGGGATGCGATAAACGTGAGCGGAAGCCATGAAAAGCGTCGCGAACAAGAGCGATGCAAACACATTAAATGGAAGACCAAGAGGGGAGGAGAGAGAGAGAGAGGGAGGGGCACCCTAAAAAAGAAAGAAGAGGAAGAACAAGGCTAGATAATTAGTTGCCTGCCTTCATCCTCTTGTTGCCTCCTCCTACTCCTCTTGGGCTTTGCTTAACTTTTGCTGCGCCATTCATTTCTCCGCCGTCATCCATTTCCATCTTTGCTGTACTTCGCCGCCGTTTGTTGTTCATGTTGGGCGATGTGTTGACGCTCATTGTGTGCGAGCTGGTGCTTTGCTGCTTCATCATAGGTTGCGAATGAGGTGATGGCGTATGGTTGAAATGAGGCGACCCACTCGATCCGTTAGGAAGCAATGAGTTTTGCATCGCAGGCGACATGAACATTTGGCCGGGTTGGCCAGGTCCCGATGGTCGTGCTCCTGGTGGCATGTTAGGTTGCATACCTTGACCAGACTGCTGTCCTTGATTTGGGCCCTGTGGGCCTTGCAGCATTTGGTTGTTGGACATGGTTGCGTTCCAGGACTCGAGGGCTTCGCTTGGTTTCATGTGAGGGTTCTCGAGATAGTGTGCCATCAAGCTGGTCATGTGATTCATAGGCTCGTATATCTAGTCTTGTCAGTGTCAATCTCAATGGAAACAATGCAATGCGTAGTCTTACCTCAAGATAATTTTGCAAGCCGTGTGGTAAGCCATAGTCTGTAGCACCGGCACTGATCAACTTGTTGAGTGGTAGGTACGGTTCTGGTGGTTCTTGTCCGGCTCGTTGTAGTGCTTGTTTCTTGTTCTTCATCCTCGGAGATTGGGTCGGGTTCATTTGATTAGGCGATGGCTGCACAAACATCTGTCTTAGAGCGTTGAGCGGCAGGAATTGTTCGTGGCCAGTGCCATCGAACATTAACCATTCCATCTTGTCTGACCCAGACCAAAAGGCAGTCAGCTTGCCGTGATAAATGACCTGACACGAGTTTTTGTACGTGTAGATTAACTTGGCTCGGTCACAAGTGACCTTGACCTCGTTAGGCCCAACCTTCTCGTTGGCTCCGTCCAAGGTGATCTGCAGATTTGTGACGTCGGTATTGAAGAGAGTGTAGAAGTACCGCGGTAGCGCAGCGTATACAATCTCAAACTGCTTGGTTCTCTCCGTACTTGATGAGCAGACCACGTGAATGAAGGATCCGGTTTCCATGAAAAACTTGTCCACAAAGGCCTGCCATCTCTCTACGTTGTTGTTCTTCCTGTTCTCCTCAGGTGCCACGTCGAATCTTCCTATTTGATCCGTAAAGTTCAACAACTTCAGCGTACCCTGGCCAAGAGCTTGCTTGTTCTGTTGCATCAATGCCATGTTACGAGCGTGGTTTTGCTGTGCATTTACTTGAGCCTGGGTCTGAGCTTGTTGCATCATCGCTGGATTCCGTACTTGCAGAGTCGCTTGCTGAGGTAGACTAGGCGGTTGAGTGGGAGCGGGAGTCTGCTGTTGCGCTGCCGGACCGGACTGTGGCTGTTGTTGTTGTTGAGCCGGCTGCGGTTGCTGCGGTTGTGATTGTTGTTGCTGTTGCTGTTGTTGTTGTTGCTGTTGCTGCTGTTGCTGAGCTTGTTGCTGAGCTTGCTGTTGCTGCTGAGCTTGCTGCTGAGCCTGTTGTTGAGCCTGTTGAGCCTGTTGCTGCTGGGCCTGTTGCTGCTGGGCTTGCTGCTGCTGGGCCTGTTGCTGGGCTTGCTGCTGAGCCTGTTGCTGAGCCTGCTGAGCCTGCTGCTGCTGTTGCTGCTGGACTTGCTGTTGCTGCTGTTGCTGTTGCTGTTGCTGTTGTTGAAGTTGCTGCTGTTGCTGCTGCTGCGGTGGGGGCTGTGGTTGCTGCTGGGGTGTGGGCTGGGGAGCTGGCGAAGACTGCCCCTGGTGGCTTCCTATTGCTGAAGGGGGACGAAGAGGGCCTTGCTGGGGCTGCGAAGTCTGCTGGGGCCCTTGATTTCCTCCCTGACTGTGGTTGCTTGATTGTGATTGAGCATGTTGCATTGCGATGGCCTGTTGCTGTTGCATCTGCTGGTGCTGCTGAGCTTGTTGATGGGCTTGTGCCATAGCAGCCTGGTGTTGTGGGCCTCCAGGCTGTCCCATTTGCTGCTGCTGCTGTAGCAGGTGTGGTGGAAGATTGACAAAAGGACTCTGGCCTAGCTGTCCGTTGCGCATCGCCTGCAACTGCTGTGCTTGGGCTGGGTTCATGTTTGCCATGGGATTTTGGAACCCCATGCCCATGTTACCTTGTTGGTGAGCAAGCATTGCTGCTTGTTGCTGCCGCTGGCTATGCATAAACGCCTGCTGGGCATTTCTCTGCTGTTGCATGAGTGCGGGATTCACTGCGGCTCTTGTCAGCCAATTTTCAATATGAAAAGTAGTAGGTGGGGATGTTTACTCATTTGATGTTGCTGCTGTTGCTGTTGCTGCTGCTGAGGAAACATGTGGGCTTGCTGGGGCTGCAAGTGTGAGAGGGCATGAGCATTTGGTCCACCCATGCCGCCGGGCTGCATGCCACCCATCATAGGCCCTGCCTGGCTAACAGGACCATTGGGGCCTGAGACGTGTTGCATCCCCGGCGGCATTCCAGGTTGTCCAGGGTTTGGGCCTGGGCCTCCCATGCCTGGGTGCGCATGAGGCATGCCTTGTGGGTGCATGCCACCATTGTGTGGGTAGCTCGTGGTCATCATCTTGGTATGTTTTTTAATGTGGGCCGCGGCCTCGCAGTCGCGGAAGAGGACCTAGGAATATGGGGTACGCGCAGTGAGAAGCTCGGAATACAGGATGGCAAAATATAGATAGAGTGACAGAGCGGATAGCAAGATGGGCAAAGCAACGCTACTGGTCCTGGTTCATACGTGCTCTGGAGGTCGCGTCAAAGGTGTCGTAGGGCGTGATGGGTCAGAGGTGATGAGTGACAGTGTAATGGTGTCAAGGGAGTGCGAATGGAAGACACGGTGCCGAGATGTGGCAGGGTGACGGGGTGTCCGCGCCGAAGTCGCGATGGGCGCGACGGAGGCTGCTCGGGCGACGGTCGGTCCTAGGCGGAAATGCAGGCGACAGGGCGAGAGGAGCAAGTGTCGTCGCGCAAGAATGTAGCGCGATACTCACGAGGGAGGGGCGGCGGCGTTGATGTATGCTGCCAGAGCTGGCGCGGTGTCGTGTTCGGTGATATCGTGTCGCATCCGTCCCGCCAGCACAGCAGTGGAGCGGGAACGAGAGGGAAAGAGAGGCGGTACGAGGGCAGCAATGGGCGTGGCGGCGATTCTGTCTATGGATGTCGTGTTATGCGACGGTGCATCTGGTGTAGGCTTGGATGTTTGGATCCAGGGCCAGGGACGGTGCCAGGGACGCGGGCGTCGAGTGGTGGAGTTCTGGTGTGGTGAGAGGTGATGGGCGCATGGCCTCGCCGAAGATCAGCGCTGGTTAGGGGGCCGTTTCGGTATCGCGCGAAAAGCTGCGTGGCTGGGCACCCAATCTATCCGGCCGCCAGTGCAGTCAGGCTTCAGAGGCAGAGAGAGGGCGCACTGGCACAGGCACAGGCACTGGCACTGGCACTGGCGCTGGCACAATCAAAACGAGGCCGCACGGCTGTTCGCGTCTTGCTGTCTGCTGATGCCAGCCCGGTGTGCGCGATAATGGCCTCTTCACCGGCATGCCGCTGTCTCGCTGGCGCCCTCTTCTCTCATGACGCTTGCTAATTCTCCCGCTTACTGCTTCTGGCCCATCACGTGACGCTGCAAATCTTGGCACGCTAGTTGTGCGTCGCACTTTTCTTCCCTCGCGCCCTCAGTCTTTTCTCGCCCACAACTCTCGCGCTGTTTCCCAGCGCAGTGAATGGCGTGCACGCGTGTGCGCATAACCACTGGCTCCGGGCTGCGACGTGCAATATCACGAGCCCCCGGCGCCAGACTGGGTGCATAATGTAAGTCGTCTCCTTTTTCTTTGCTTTTTTGGAGTGATTATAGCCTCAGCAACTTCTTTTCCATACCGATTCGACCTTGAAGAAAGCGGAGCTGTCCGGGTGCCTTCGCAGGGCGCCTGCTACTTGCCAGTACTGCCGTCTGACCTTCCCCAATCCCATCGATCGAGCTAGCCTTCTCTCCTTGCTTGATTGCTAACATTGCTCAAGTTTAGAGTTCGCCATGATTATCCCGACGCATGCCGGCCCTTGGTGCTGACTGGCCAGCATCCACGCTCATACACCAGACGCTTGGTGCGACACGGCGCCCTTGCGGTCAGCGCAAAGCCTAATGGGAATAATGTACACATACATAATGCGGCACTGCTCTGTCGCGTGTCTGGTCGCGCTGCAATTCTCAGAGGTGAGTTAGCCCTTTTTCTTGCACGCCCTTCACTCGCCCCCTTCATGATGAAACATTTCCACATTCGCAGTTTCCACGCTAGCCATCAATTGAACCTACAACCGATGGACAATGAGCGCGAATACCTTCCTTGGATGTCTGATCCTTCAACCCATTCTGTCTCGTACTTGTTCAAATGTTTTTTTTTGCGCAACGACTGACAACAATCAATAGGCTTTATGCATTAATTCTTGAAGAATATTCCTTGACGTGACGGGTGCCAGCTGGCTCAGAATGTACATAGATATGTAGCAATTATATCTCTTGTTGTAGTGCAAGTCCAGACTTAGGTACACTTCCATCTGGTGACGTGACGTCGGCTATCGACAGCTCCTTGTCGCGGTCGGCGACAGGTACTGGCTATACTAGACGCTAAACCCAGGCCTGTGACCGTGGGCACTGCATTCCCATCTCATGTGACCTCGATCCCAGTTGCAGCTACCCAGGTAGCTCACCAGGACTTTGTTTTTGAGCGCGAGCCTGTATTAGCGCATGTATGCCGAGCTGAATGCATATCCGCGGATACTACACGCTATGCCACGGTGAATGCTACTGAAGCTGCATAGTAAAAGCACCATGGTAGGCTTCGGCATGTATGTATCTGCAGCCATTGTGAAGTGCCAAGCGCTAACAGCCCTCCCCCGGCGTCATCTGTCGCATAACGCTAGAGCACCCTGGTCAGAGCTTCCAACCCACTTCGACGGCTTGACCTTCAACTTCGTCACCCAAACGATCTCCGAGGCTACAGACCGACCGCGGCCCTCGAATCAATCCCGAGCGATACTACATATCCAACGAACCGCTCACCACCGCCATCATGCCTGAAGTAGTGGACCCCCGCATGATTTCGGTGACGCCTAGAATACGATACAACACCATCGGCGGCGTAAACGGTCCACTCGTCATTCTCGACAATGTATGTGGCTCGGAAGCATAGCGACGCATGAAAAGAAGCTTATGCACGTGGTGGACAGGTCAAATTCCCGCGATACAACGAGATTGTATCTTTGACGCTGCCTGATGGCACCGAGCGCTCTGGCCAAGTCCTCGAAGCTCGAGGTAAGCTACCCCAGATATCGACCCTGTAGGTATGATGCTGATCCAAGCTGCAGGTAATCGCGCCGTTGTTCAGGTAAATTTTGGAAAGCTGAAGCTGCGCGACAGCCTTTTCTGACTGCGACACAGGTCTTCGAGGGTACATCCGGTATCGACGTTCAGAAGGTCATTACACCTGCCTCCCACATAAGATGATAGCTGACTGTCGCAGACCAAAGTCGAGTTCACTGGACACAGTTTGAAGCTCGGTGTGTCCGAGGACATGCTGGGTCGTATCTTCGATGGTTCAGGAAAGCCCATTGACAAGGGCCCCAAGGTCCTTGCTGAGGACTACCTCGACATCAACGGTAGTCCCATCAACCCATATTCTCGAGTATGCATCTAGTTCCTATTTTTTGTATTTTGCGACTGACCATATTTCAGGTGTACCCTGAAGAGATGATCTCTACTGGTATCTCAGCCATTGACACAATGAACTCTATCGCCCGTGGCCAGAAGATTCCTATTTTCTCCTCCTCCGGTCTTCCCCACAACGAAATTGCTGCGCAGATTTGTAGACAGGCAGGCCTAGTCGGAAAGCCTACCAAGGGCGTACACGACGACCACGACGACAACTTCTCCATTGTCTTCGGTGCCATGGGTGTGAACTTGGAGACGAGCCGCTTCTTCACCCGCGACTTCGAGGAGAACGGCAGTATGGAGCGTGTCACATTGTTCCTCAACTTGGCAAACGACCCTACGTAAGCGCCCGACACTCTTGCGACTCTTGCTTCTGGCTAACCCAACATAGTATTGAGCGTATCATTACTCCTCGTCTCGCTCTTACGACCGCCGAATACTACGCCTACCAGCTCGAGAAGCACGTATTGGTTATTCTTACCGATTTGTCTTCCTACTGCGATGCGCTGCGTGAAGTCTCAGCTGCCCGAGAAGAAGTCCCCGGTCGACGTGGTTACCCCGGTTACATGTACACTGATTTGTCCACCATCTACGAGCGCGCAGGACGTGTCGAAGGCCGCAACGGATCAATTACCCAGATTCCCATTCTGACTATGCCTAACGACGGTGTGTATTGCAAAACCATAAATACGGTTGCGTACTGACAATGATAGACATCACACATCCCATTCCTGACTTGACTGGTTACATTACCGAGGGTCAGATCTTCATTGATCGTCAACTCGACAACAAGGGTATCTACCCTCCCATCAACGTCCTCCCATCGCTTTCTCGTCTTATGAAGTCTGCCATTGGTGAGGGCCGCACACGGAAAGACCATGGTGATGTTTCCAACCAGCTTTACGCAAAGTACGCCATTGGTCGTGACGCCGCAGCCATGAAGGCAGTCGTTGGAGAGGAAGCCTTGTCTTCCGAAGACAAGCTATCCCTCGAGTTCCTCGAGAAGTTTGAACGTTCCTTCATTGCGCAGGGTGCTTACGAATCTCGTTCCATTCACGAGTCTCTCGACCTAGCATGGTCGCTACTCCGCATTTACCCCAAGGAGCTTCTCAACCGTATCCCAGCCAAGGTCCTTGACCAGTACTACCAGAGGAGTCGTGGTGGTGCTGATGGTGACAAGAAGAAGAGCAACAAAGACACTAAGGACAACTCTGGTGAAGGTCAGCAGGGCGAGAACTTAATCGATGTTTAAGCGCGTAGTATGGTGTGTTTGAGTCGTCCAACGATGGTCTGGTTTGCAAGTGCCCAAGCGGTTGTGAGATACTATATTAAATACATGAACGTATTGAATCTGAGCTGATTGTCGTGCTTCGGTATGAGAGGATCAATTGCTTACAAACAATGATATGTGTGATGTGAATTGTTGTAATTCGGCATGGGAGGATGAGTCCTTGACAAGCAATGCAATGTGTGATGGGGCACCGTTCTTGGTGATGACGAAGACTTCAACGCTGTTGATACCTTTTCGGTATATCGCCACTAAATCACAGCCCTCATATTCAGAGTAGAAAACTTCATTTGGCTTTCGTATCTATATGTCCATGTTCTCAGTGACTCGTATGCGGATCCTACTGAATGGTATCCTTGTTCTCTGTACGATGGACATCACGTAGACTAGAAGCATACGACGATTTTTGAAGCCACCATGTCAATTTTTCTACAATATCGTAACATTCATGCGCTCTACACAGTGCGGGTGACGGATTGTAAATGCAAACCTTTTCACTCCTCGCTTCCCCGAAAGGGAAATCATGCAAACGCCCGTTCGTTCACCATCGCCCCTCCCAAGGTGAGCTCATGTTTTGATCGAGCATCACACATCACCACACGAATCCTCGCTTCGACAACAATAAGTTCTCACTACCTGGACAAATACCAATATCCACTTCTGGCAATTGGAACACCAACTTCGCCCACTGGCAACTGGAATACCAACATCCAATACTGACACTCTCTGACGCCACGGAACTCCAACTGCTACTACACCAAGGTAGTAGCTTTCACACCAGAGATATCAGAGACCAGAGATATCGGAGACCAGAGATATCGGAGACCAGAGATATCGGAGACCAGAGATATCGGAGACCAGAGATATCGGAGACCAGAAAGCAAAGACCAGAAGCGAAGAAAATGGCAACCAGGTAGGCACACCCCCTCTACATTCCCAGTTGTGGCCACCACCACGATTGACCTTTTGTTCTGGGCTATTTCAGCGTTTCCTATTTATTTCTTTTTTGAACGAGGTAAGGGGGAAAGGAGTCTAAAGAGGGCGAGGGTAGGAACTGAACGGCCATCAATTGGGTGTTGCCGCAACCGACAATCAGGTTTGGCCGGCTGGGGCTGATGGACCATGGGATCTGGTGGCAAGACAGCTCGTAGATGCTTGTAAGTTCCCCAAGACTGACAATAGAGAAGTTCCTACTGACGAGTAGGCCGCATCTGCCTTTCGAATACGTTTTGCTCCAACTACTATCCGGACAATTCAGCTCTGACGCTACCGATCAATGGGCACGAAGAAGGTTGCCTGAAGCGTTTGCATTCTTCATGCAATACTGAGCCTATGGGCAGTCGACGCATTCTGTCCATTCATATTCGTTGGGCAAGGCAATCGTAAAGACACACGTGTGTCTGAAAGATCGGGATTTAAGAGATTGGATACAATTGGCTTCGAAAAGAAACCTATATGGCCTACTGCTCCGTCCTTTGGTGATTATTTACTAATCTAGATATACAGATACAGAGTTTACAGCATGAGCTTCGCCCATGGCATATCCCAGGAGGAGCAAGAGGGTATCTACCAAGATATCTGCAATAGAAATGATCCCACATCATTGATTGAGGGGTTCACTTTTGGAAGGGAAGATCCCTCGAGCTTTCCTCGGGAGGCAATAGGCACAGAGGCCTACGTAAAGAAGGGGTGGCACGAACCAGGCAGATGTCCCCACTTTACTGTAGAGCTGCGCTACGTGTTTCTACAGTAAGTCATTTCTCGAAGCTTGTTCAACCCGAACTTGAACCTGGTTATGACTCGGGCTGATGCGTGCGTGCTTAGCGGTGATTACAAGCGGGTGGCGACGGCCCATGTCTACAAAGACTGGTCGGAGACAATAGAATTCGCGGCCGATGAGTGGTGGTGAGAATTTTAGTTTCCAAATGCGTCGCTGGCTTCTGACTGCTCCGTAGGTCACGCTGGTACAAGAAGTATCGCGATCAGAAATACATATTCTGGGACGTAAGTGCTTGTTGGTGGCTGTGAAGAACAATCAGAAAAATGTCTGACTCTGGCTAGACGAGGTTTCCGCGACCTGAGAACGTCATGGAACCACCTGGGGGACCGCTGCCTCGATATGCCTTTCCGGTACGTCTTCCCTGTTTACGAACTCGTAGAGCACAAGCTGTATTTGAAGCCTTGAACACCATTTGGGCTTCTTTACTGTATTTTCATCTTTTCATGCGCTGATAAATTTTACTACAGCGCCCTCATTAAGACCTACTTCCGCACGTCCGCTGGTGCCATCCCCTCCCGCTTCTCCTCCTGTGGAAGTACCAGCCTTCGGGCACCCCTTTCACCTCCGGCGTCCTTCATAGAGTCTTCAGTATGTGTATAGAATCCTCCCAAAATCCCCCACATTCTTTGTCTTAAGCCCTCGAATGGTTGTTCTCCTGGCCTTGGGTTCATCGGGTCCTTTCTGAAATCGTGGAACAAGACGCCATAAACGACGATGAAGCTGATCAGACTCCACTGCACCACTTTGGTCCATTTGTTCCACAATGGCCGCTCAGACTTTAACTTGATGCGCCGCTTGAATTTGCGCTCGAATCGGAATTGTTGCTTTTCCGTCAGGGCGCGAAGGTTTGGCGGCCATTTCTTCTTGACGGGGTACTTGTTGCGCGCAAAGTCAAAGGGCGGCAGTGTGTTCTCATGGCGGCCAAGGAGACGATTGATAAGGCGCAGCATCTTGACTGGCCTTGCCGATGCGATGACGGCGGGATGTTGGCTTATGCGACCGATTTTCGAGCGACGCAGATTTTTGGATCTATCTCGATCGTCAACTGACGTTCTTTACAAAAGCGCGCACGGTCCGAGTTAGCCCCACAAAAACCACACTCTTGGCATTCATCCCGCACTCGGATTTCCTACCGGATGACTCCATCACAAACAAACTCGCCTCCGCCACCACCAACCACTTTTTCTTTTCCCTTCTTACGCTCCCTATTTTATTTCCTGGAGAATTGGTCATGGCCGAGACCACAAAATCCAGCGAGGCGCCTAAGAGCGCCGTCGCCGCCACACTTGAGCAACTCAAGCCCCAAGAGGCTGAGTCAAAGACACTCAAAATTGAAAACACCGACAAGCGTGACACCTTGATCGCAGAAGAGAAGAAGTACCAGAAATCATGGGAAGAGCAGGGCGTTTTCAACCCCGATGCCCCCTCGCTTGAGGAGGAGCCGTTTGACACTACCACACCAGACCAACTGCACGAGAAGTTCCCCAAGTGGCTTGGCTGCTTCGCTTATCCCTACATGAACGGAACCCTTCACGCTGGTCATGGCTTTACTGCAAGTAAAGTTGAGTTTACTGCTGGCTGTATGTTTTACTAGATGATCACGTGCAATACGGTTACTGATACTTTGACAGTCCAGAGGATGCTGGGTAAGCGAGTGCTTTTCCCATTGGGATGGCACGTAACTGGTATGCCCATCAAAGCATGTGCCGATAAGCTCGTCAGAGAAGTGGAGATGTTCGGACAGAACTTTGAGCGTTGTCCAGTCGAAGACGTCGTTGAGACAACCGTATCAGAGCCCCCCGCCCCCACACAAGCTGAGACCAAGACCGACATCACCAAGTTCAAGGCTCAGAAAGGCAAGGCGGCCGCCAAGACAGTCAAGACCAAGTACCAGTTCCAGATCATGCTTGCTCAAGGCATACCTCTAGAAGAGATCCACAAGTTCTCTGACCCGTATCACTGGATAGAATTCTTTCCCCCGCTCGCAAAGAGGGATCTCACAGCATTTGGCGCCAGAATTGATTGGAGGCGTCAGTTTGTTACAACGGACGCAAACCCTTACTACGACAGCTTCGTTGCTTGGCAAATGCGACGACTGAAAGCCATGGGCAAGATCATTTTCGCTAAGCGATACACTGTCTACAGTCCAAAGGATGGCCAAGCCTGCATGGACCATGACAGGCAGTCTGGAGAAGGAGTCACTGTCCAGGAATACACCGCCTTGAAGATGAAGGTGGTTAAATGGGCTGATTCCGCCAAAGCACACATCGCTGGTCTCCCCGAAGGTGCCTCCTGCTACTTTGTACCAGCTACACTCCGCCCCGAGACTATGTACGGCCAAACTTCATGTTTCGTAGGTCCTTCGATCAACTACTCACTGGTCAAGATCAACGACAGTGAGTACTTCGTACTGAGCGAGAGAGCCGCAAGAAACATGGCATACCAAGGCACCACCGCTAAATGGGGAGAATACTCGATCATCGCTACATTCCCTGGTAAGGATGTCATTGGCACCATCGTAAATGCTCCTCTCTCCGTTCACAAGGAGGTTTACATTCTCCCAATGGAGACCGTCAAGGACACAAAGGGCACAGCCGTCGTTACCTGCGTACCATCAGACTCGCCAGATGATTACATCACGTCATTTGACCTGGCTAAGAAGGCAGAGTATTACGGAATTCAAAAAGAATGGGTCAAGTTCGACAACCTGCTTGGCATCATAGAGACTCCAACCTACGGAAACCTCACCGCACAGAAGCTGGTAGAGGAGATGAAGATTCAATCGCCCAAGGACTCCGCGAAGCTTGCTGAGGCTAAAGAGAAGGCATACAAGGAGGGTTTCTACAAGGGTAAGATGGTGTATGGCGACTTCGCTGGTAAGCCAGTCGAGGAGGCCAAGCCACTGGTTCGTAAGCAACTCATCGACTCTGGTGTCGCTTTCCCCTATGCCGAGCCTGATGGCAAGGTCATTAGCCGTAGTGGAGACGACTGTGTTGCGGCCCTGCTTGACCAGTGGTACATGAACTACGGCACAGCAGCCAACGGTGGAGATGGCGAGTGGGCCGAAAAGGTCCGATCCCACATCGAGGGCGAACTCAATCTCTACTACCCCGAAGCGAAGAACCAATTCTTGCGAGTTGTTGACTGGCTCGGCATCTGGGCATGCGCTCGATCCTACGGACTGGGAACCAAGGTGCCTTGGGACCCAAGTGTGATGGTTGAGAGTTTGTCCGATAGTACCATCTACCAGGCATACTACTCATTTGCTCATTTGCTGCACAAGGACATGTTCGGCAAAGAGCCAGGTCCTCTTGGTGTCAAACCTGACCAGATGACGGATGAAGCCTGGGACTACGTCTTTGCCCTCCGCGACCGAAGCGATGTCCCGCAGTCGACAATCCCTAAGCAGGCTCTCGAGACTATGCGACGCCATTTCGACTACTGGTACCCGCTTGACCAACGTTCTTCTGGCAAGGATCTCATTCAAAACCATCTGACGATGAACCTTTACGTACATGCCGCAATCTTCCCGAAAGAGAACTGGCCACGCAGCTTCCGTGTCAACGGCCACTTGTTACTCAACGGTGACAAGATGAGCAAGTCTACTGGTAACTTCTTGACCATCGCTGGTGCGGTCCAAAAGTTCGGTGCAGATGCTACACGTATTGCTCTGGCTGACGCTGGAGACGAGATCTCAGACGCCAATTTCGAGGAGACTGTCGCAAACAGTAATATTCTGAAGCTGTTTGAGCTCCGCAAGTGGTGTGAAGATCTGGTGAATGAGGCCATCTACGTCCCTGATGCGGCTGCATACTTGGAGAAGAGGGCAAACGAGCGCGTAAAGAACGCCGATGTGATCCAACGACAGAGCGGTAGTGAGCGCCTCCTTTTCGACAAGATGTTCGACAACGAGATGAATGTGCTCGTCCACGAAGCTTTTGGTCACTACTCCAACACTTCCTACAAGCTGGCACTCAAGTCAGGATTTTACGACTTCACCAGCGCGCGTGACTTCTACCGTGAAGCTACCAAGGCGGCAGGTATTGGTATGCACCAGGATCTTGTCAAGAAGTTCATTGAGCTACAGGCCCTCCTCCTTACGCCACTTGCGCCACACTGGGCAGAATACATCTGGCTCGAGGTACTCAAGAACAAGGAGACCATCCAGAACGCCCTCTGGCCAAAGGTCCCCGAGTCTGACCCATCACTCACCGCCGCTCGCGAATTCGTTCGCACCACACAAACCAACATCACATCGGCCGAAGGCAACGCTATAAAGAAGCTTTCAAAGGGCAAAGCCGCGACTTTTGATCCCAAGAAAGAGAAGAAGATCATCATCTTCTCTGCCCAAGAGTGGCCTGCCTGGCAAAAGAAGTACATTGACATGCTCCGCGACGCAGCTACGATTGACATCAAGGCCATCAGCAAGTCGATCGACAAGTCTGAGTCCAAGAAAGCCATGCCCTTCATCAACGGCCTCAAGCGTCGTCTTGACAATGGAGAGCCCAAGGAGGTAGTCTTGAACCGCGAGCTTGCCTTTGACGAACTTTCAACCCTGCGCGTCATGGTTCCGGGTCTGAAGCAGACCATCCAGAAGTGCGTCGACGTAGAAATCATTGTTGTCTCAGAAGGTGGAAAAGATGGTACAGTTATCAAGGAAGATGGCAGCAAGGGCGAGACCCGATCGGAACTACCGCCTCAAGCTGCAACGGCTGAGCCTGGTTCGCCCAGCTTCGCTTTCGAGAACGTTGAGAGTGTGCCTATCCGGTAAGAGGCGTGAAAAAGTTCCATTGCGAGTTTGGTATCAGTGGACTGTGATGGAGTTATGCGACACGACATTTCATGATGGACGAGAGGGTATGGGTTGAGGCATGTCTGAGATGACTGTGCAAGTAGAGGAACCTCTCATGGTATGTGTTCTAAGATTACTACTAGAATACGACTCTTCACATGTCCGACTGTGAATGAACTTCCGACTTTTGTTCGTGTCCAGCCTGTCTTTCAAATTCCAAATTGCCAACTCTGACGCTGAGAAAACCCATGATAAAAGAAAAAAGTTCCGCCAGACAAAACATGTGTCGACTGTATGCTGCGGGCCTTGCTGGCACTCCGCGCCATCTATCTGCATAACATAAAGGAAAAACAACAACTCATGATGACATAGACATGGGAAAAATTTGTGAAAAAGAAAAGCAAGAAGAGAAGAGGAGAGGCTCAGCCCGACCCAATGACCAACGACGTTTACCACTTGAGCTTCTTATCCTTGCCGATAAACTCATCAATAATATCCATGTAGTAATCCTTGAGGTCCTCAACCTTGGGCACCTCATCGCTCTTGCTGTAAAGATCGTAGGGATTAAACGCCTTGACCGCCTCGAGCATGCGCTCATCCTTCTCATTCATCATCCACCTGTACGCGCCCTGCGAGTGCCACGGATAAAACGAGTGATACCTAATCATGGCCAGACCCTCATCTGGGATGGTGGACTGATCCTTCATGATATGGTAGAGGTACTCGTCGTGGCCCCATGACAACATGACGTTGTCCATGCCGCAGCCGGGGGCGTAGATGCCGTGCTCGGTGCTGTAGATGTCGTCGGTGTAGTCTGGGTTGTTCTTGAAGGTGTCTGGGTAGATGATCTTGTCCGAGTAGGCGCAGCCGACGGGGAAGGTGTCGCCGACGACGTCCCACTGGCCGCGGGCTTCGTAGAAGAAGAGCAGCTTGCCTAGGTCGTGAATGAGGCCGACGAGTTGGAACCAGCGTGGTTTGCCGTCGCGGCGGATGGCTTCGGCGGATTGGAGGAGATGCTCGATTTGGGAGAGGGAGGTGTCTGGGTCGGACTCGTCGATGAGCGTGTTGAGTTTTTCCATGGCTTCCCAGACGGTCATCTCGGCGCGTGTCTTGCTGTGGAAGGAGTTACGGGCTTTGAGATTGTAGGCTACGGTCTGCTTCTCGTGCTGCTCGCGGTAGAAGTTCTTGACTCGGTCACAGGCCTCTTCGTACTGACGGAACTGTGTCTTGTCCTTGTCCGCGTCGAATTCTGACTTCTCGTAGATGTCTTTTTCCTTTTGTGAGGCTGTGCCGTTCTTGACTTTCAGAGCAGCTTTGAGGACATTAACGTCGTCGATGGCGTCAGAGGTAGCCTCGAGAGCAAGTCCATCACGGTGGTTGTTGAAGTCCTCGGCCACGTTGGGCGTCTCGAAGATTGCACCTGGTGCCATTTTTGAAGATGTGTTTGTGTGTATGAACAGAATGGGGTATCTCAGAACAAAAATCAAGTCAAGACAGAGTGTGTGCTGTCAAAAACAAATTCAAGATACCAGTGTAGAGTGAAAAGTTTGGTTGATGGTAATGTGGTGGAATCCGACGAGAATTAGCTAGTACTTATCCTCTTGTACCCCTCACACTACAAAGCCTTGAATTGCCAGAATCAGTAAAAAAAAGATTGCTACCGAAGAAAGTCCTGAACGATTCCTGGTGAGGCAGAGTTCTCGTCGTCTCCATTACTAAGATCCACTCTTGGATGAGGAGTCTCCGCAATCATGAGCTAAATGGGGATAAGAAGGTCCCACAGGGTAACTTTCGCCGTCTACCAAACTGCCGTTGAGCTGCCACGAGCAGATCTAAGGGTCTCAGCATGGGCGGCTAAGGGTCCCCGATGGCAGTCCGGCGACTGTGGTTGGGTGCTGCGGTTAGATCTGCCGCTGTTCGGGTGGAATGTCTTGTTGACATGTCATGGTGCATCCTATGGGGTAACAAGAGGCAACAAGGCCCGCACCCGCCTCAACACGGTAATTTTCGGCGCACCGTATCAAGTGCCGGCCCACCTTGTTCTGGACTGCTTGCAATACGAGACGGAAAAGAATGATTGATCAGGCGGAGATGCTGCATGATGACGACCAAGCGTCTGCCCCGCCATGCACGTGATACTCGGCGTGCTCTTCCCCGACCCAACCCCACGAACCGTCGCCAACGTCTGGGCCACGTCTACTTATGGAACATGCTCCCCCCATCCAAGACTGCTTTCACGTGAGGCTGGGAGAGCAACGAGAATGCGCACTAGGAGTATTAGTTACCTCTTCTCCGGCCGCGGGCCGAAGCTACTCCGGCACAGCTGCTTGGCGGGGCAGCAGCGGAGTTCGGGAACAATTATAGAGTCAATCACAGTCGACGTAAGTCTTTGACCATACCAGAACCGTCCAGGTACTAGCTACAACATGGAGGCCCCCCTAGCAAAACCTACGTAGCCCGTCCTTGTCAACCACCCCGCCGGCACAATTGCGCACATATATATCGCAGCACCACCCCGGCCCTTTTACCATGAATCCTGCCCTGTCCAAGTTTATGCTGAAGAGTACACCAAAGAGTATCCTCGACCCTCAGCCCGAAATGAACACTCCCATCCCTCTCAACACTGGCGCCACCATCCCCGCCCTCGGTCTGGGAACGTGGAAGTCTGGGCCTGGTGAAGTCAAGAAGGCTGTTGTCCATGCCATTGAGAGCGGCTACAGGCACATTGATTGCGCCTTCTGCTACCAGAACGAGGACGAGGTTGGCGACGCCCTTCAAGATGTCATTTCACGGGGCGTTGTGAAGAGAGAAGACCTCTTCATTACTAGCAAGCTCTGGTGCACATTCCACTCGCGTGTCGAGGAGGGTCTGCAAAAGAGTTTGGACCTGCTGAAAACACCTTATGTTGACCTGTTCCTTGTACACTGGCCGGTACCCATGAACCCCAATGGTAGGCTCCGCAAAGGACTTTAGCATTAAACAAGCTAATACAGACACAGGCAGCCACCCTCTTTTCCCAATGCTTGAGGACGGCTCCCGCGATATCGACCGCTCAATTACCCACCAAGACACATGGAAGAACATGGAGAAGCTCATCCAAACACACCCTGAAAAGGTCAAGGCCATTGGTGTCGCCAACTACTCTGTGAGGTACCTGGAGAAGCTCCTCGCCAAAGCCACCATTGTTCCAGCCGTCAACCAGATTGAGAACCACCCACTGTGCCCCCAACAAGAGGTTTACGATTTCTGCAAGGAAAAGGGCATCCACGTCTCGGCGTACAGCCCGCTTGGCAGCACTGGCTCGCCGCTGTTCAAGGATGATGTCATCAACGAGGTCGCGAAAAAGCACAGCGTTGGACCCGCAGTTATTCTCCTGAGCTACCACCGTAAGTCTTTCTATACTGCTTTCGCCGTGGAACATATTAACTTTTTTTTCAAGTCGCCCGCAACTCATCCGTCCTCGCAAAGTCCGTCACTCCCTCGCGTATCGATGAGAACAAGAACCTCATCTCGCTCGATAGCGACGACATGGCGAAGCTGGATAAGATCCACAAGGACAAGGGTATCCAACGTTACGTATACCCACCCTTCGGTATCGATCTCGGCTTCCCTGACAGGCCTGATGGCGTTGACCTCAGTGGCCCTTGACTCTCTGGGAAGGTCAAACTGTAGGAAATGAATTAGAGAAAAAAAATTAGAAGCTATACCCAAAATAATATATTATGAACACGACAGTTTTATAACTCTTGATAGACGTTGTATTGTTTCATATGAGTGAAAATTAGAAAGATCGATCATACTCAAGGCGTTCTCTACCCTGGCTTCTACAAAATTACCTAGATTTTACCTACCCATCCAGCCTCCGTCGACTGTGAGAACCTCACCACTGATGTATGCACTCGCGGCACTAGCCAAGAATACCACGGCGCCCTTGAAGTCTTCGGGGCTTCCCCATCGCCCAGCAGGAATTCTGCTCAGAATACTCTCAGCCCTCTTTTCATCCTTGATCAGCGCCTCATTCATATCCGTTGCAATGTACCCAGGCGCAATAGCATTCACGCTAATACCCTTGCTCGCCCACTCGTTCGAAAGCGCCTTGGTAAGCTGACCAACACCACCCTTGGACGCCGCATATGCAGGTACCGTAATGCCACCCTGGAAAGTCAAAAGCGACGCAACGTTGATAATGCTGCCGCGTCGTCCAAGTGGCAGATCGGCGTTTTGAGCGAGCATGTGCGCGCCTACATCGCGCGCGAGTTGAAATACAGAGGTCAGGTTGACTTGCAGTACGGCCTCCCAGTCGTCGTCTGGGAATTGGTGTGCTGGGTGGCGTCTTTGGATTCCGCCGCAGTTGAGCAGGATGTGGATCCTATGGCCGTCTTTGAGGATAGTGGGGAGGAGGGCGGCGACAGAGGATTTGGAAGCGAGGTCCGCGGTGTAGATTGTTGCTTTGCGACCGAGTGATTCAATTGCTTGCTTGGTGGATTGGTTGGAGGTGTCGCGCTTGGCTTGGGTGTTAGTGTGTCTGTATCCTTCGAGTTTGTGAACGTAAAGGGCTTACTTGGACAAGAAGAATGTCTGCTCCTGCCTCTGCGAGCGCAATGGCCATCGATTGGCCAATTCCTCGCGTTCCGCCTGTCACTAAGGCGGTTTGTCCCTCGAGAGAGAAGAGCTGATTGACAGATGTCATGGCGTGTGTGGATCTTTGCTCCGTGGTGGGGATTCGGAAAGCTTTGGTGGATATATGGAAGCGAATAACGGTGATACCAACAAGTCAAGGGCTTTAGGTACACCAGTAACTAGCTATAGTATTTCCTGTACCAAGAGAAAATGCCTCAAAAAGTGTTTTGGGATGCACGGAAGAAGACGACGGCGCTCAATCCCAGAATCATGTTTGGTAGCTCGGAACAGTCTCGGAACATGACCCCACCCTTGGTGTCGGCATTTGTTGTCCCGCCATTTCAAACGCCGAAGGTCGGAATTTCTCTCCACAATGAACCATGTGCCATGGGGGAATACGCGCCGAATGTTTGGTCAGTAGTGGATTCCGAGGCGCATGCGATGACTTGACTTGTCACCTGTCTTCCTGGCACTCGTTCTCTCCAATTCACACCCCAGACTTCATCGGGTTTCCTTGTTTGCATTAATCTAAAAGCAAGAGATTGAAATTATGGCTTCAGAACAAATATCAGACGTCAACCAGGGCGCGAGGCAGATCCGTGCCTCGGTTCTTCATGGTGCAAAGGACTTGCGAATCGTACGTCAACATGGCTCTTCACACGCGTGGTCATACTGACTTCAATCCTAGGAGAACCGCTCACTCCCCCCGCCTTCGCCAACAGAGCTCCAGATCAGCGTTCGCAGCACCGGTCTTTGCGGTTCCGATCTCCACTACTACCGGCACTATCGCAATGGCGATATCATTGTGCGAGAGCCCATGTCGCTTGGGCATGAATCAGCTGGTGTGGTAGTAGGCGTGGGTTCAGAAGCCTCCGGTTTCAAAATCGGAGACAAAGTTGCGCTGGAGGTCGGACAGCCATGCGAGAACTGTGATAGGTGCAAAGAAGGACGGTATAACATTTGCAAAGGCATGAAGTTCAGGAGTAGTGCAAAGGCCTTTCCTCACGCCCAGGGAACTCTGCAAGATCGCATCAACCACCCAGCTGCGTGGTGTCATAAGTGAGTTACTGGAGTCGCACAAGGATATTGTGGATGCTAATAGTAGTCAGGTTGCCCGACGACATGTTGCTAGATCTGGGAGCCCTCCTTGAGCCCCTTGGCGTAGCTATCCAAGCATCGAAACGAGCACAACTAGCACCTGGCTCAACAGTGCTGGTATTCGGAGCTGGTGCCGTTGGAATCCTAGTAGCAGCCATGGCCAAGATCTCCGGTGCAGGCACAGTAGTAATAGCAGACATTGACTCTGGGCGCGTGCAATTCGCAGTCGACAACAAGTTCGCGCACCGAAACTTTACCGTACCCATGAAGCGTGGAAGCACCATAGAAGAGCAGCTCGACATTGCCAAAGAGGTAGCTGCCGAGATTGGCAAGATCACAAAAGAGAGCGGCGGAGAAGTGGGTGAGGTCGATGCAGTTTTCGAGTGCACTGGTGTACCGTCGTGTGTGCAGGCATCGATATTCGTAAGTCCTAGTCTAATCCCAGCTTCAATCAATGACTAACAAGAAACGCAGGCCACGCGGCCTGGCGGCAAGGTTCTCCTGATTGGAATGGGTACACCGATTCAGACTCTCCCTATATCCGCAGCTGCTCTTCGCGAGGTAGATATCTTGGGTGTCTTCCGATACGCCAACACTTACCCCACTGGTATTGAGGTTGTGTCAAAGAAGGGAGACGACTATCCCGACTTTGGCAAGTTGGTGACACACAGATACAAGGGCCTCGAATCGGCAGAGGAGGCATTTGAGATGGCTGGCAAGACCAAAGATGACAAGGGTAATCTTGTCATCAAGGTTGTACTTGAGACTAGTGATGATGCATAGGCGGGTCTTGGAAAAGTTTGTGTCAATTGAGGAGTTTAGCATTCAGGGCGCTGTAGTAAGAAGTTCAATATGTTCATATCATGATGCTTTCTGACACTGCATGCGTAGCCCATAGAAAGATCTTGAAAAAGCCGAGATGCTATCGCTTTTATTATGCACACCCAATATCAAAATGATGTAAAGTCTGCGTGAAACACCTAGACGCCCTATTGGGGATACACGATGAGGGCCGCTTGCAATTGGAAAATTTCGTTCAACCTCAACCCCTTGAATTTTCCCCGATGCATTCCGTCCAGATCACGAAATATAAAAATCCATATTACGTCGGAATGGGTACGCGATGTGCTACTGCAGCTTGTTGTCGTAGTTGTCGTTGTTATTGTTGCACGGAACCATTAGCTCCAGTTGCCAAATGGGGAAATTTCCCCCATCTGTCCTACCCCAGAGCTGCCTCTGGCGCAACACAACTCCACGCGTTCCCCACACTTTCGTCAACATCATGTATAGTTTCGTACTACAACTTTCGGTCCTGTGTTTTTTTTCTCGCCCTCTTGTGCAATTGGCCTATCTAAACATCGTGAGCTGCTTGTCGTGGAGAAACTTGGCGCGTCGTCTAGAAACGTAGTCAGGAAGGGGTTGCCGTAGTTCCGAGTACAGTGGTCAGAATTCGTTTGCATGTGTCATAGAAAGATGGAATAGGTGATGAAAGAGATGAAGATTCTCTCATTGATGCCTCTTAGGACGGTTTTTGGACCCTGAACAAAGCTTTGACCAACATGTCTTACGACGATTGAAAGTCGATTTATTCCCGTAGACGTTCAAACTGACCCCTATTTTGCTGGCTGTGAAGAGAGCAACCTTCTACATTTCTCTGAAATCTCTCTTTGGCCAGCTCTTCACATCTCTCCATCTGAAAATTCCTTCACAATGACCCCCGCAATCCGCAGACTCCGTGTTGCCGTCTCAGGTCTTGGCCGAATGGGTGCCCGTCACGCAAACCACTTCCTTCACCGCACGCCCAGGGCCGAGCTTGTGGCAGCATTCACACCAGACGAGAAGGAGCTTGCTTGGGCAAACGAGAACCTTGAGCCATGGGGTGTCAAGATCTATACCGACTACGACGAGATGTTGAAACATGAGGGTCTTGAGGCTGTCTGTGTAGCAACCGTCACCACAGTCCATGCTGAACAGACAATCAAAGCAATTGAAGCTGGCAAGCATGTACTGTGTGAGAAGCCCCTCAGTACTAAATTGGATGAGGTGAGTACTCCTCTACCTCACTGTTTCCAAGGGCATGCAGCTTACAATGGGACCTAGTGCCGCAAAGTTCTCGAGACCGCAAAGTGCTATCCCCAGGTAAAGGTCATGTGTGGCTTTTCTCGTCGCTTCGACTCGTCCTACTTGAACGCGTACAATCTTGCTTTGAGCGGTAGCATTGGACGTCCCACTATCCTGCGATCACAAACATGCGACAAGTATGTAGCATCTCCAAAGTCCCTACGGTTCGCACACTAACACATTCACCCACAGATACGATCCCTCAGGCTTTTTCGTAGCATACGCTGAGTTCTCTGGCGGCATCTTTGTAGATTGCAACATCCACGACATCGACCTTGCCTTGTGGTACTTTTCCGCTGAGTCAAAGGGCAAGGTCCTGCCGAGGGTCAAGTCTGTCATGGCCGTCGGCGTCACAGCACTCGAGCCCGACCTCGCAAAGTTCGGCGATGTAGATAATGGTGTGGGCGTTGTTGAGTTCCACTCTGGTCAGATCGCCTACTTCTACAGTACGCGCATGAACGCCCCTGGCCAACACGACACAACGGAGATTATCGGTACAAAGGGTAAACTCGCAGTTAATTCCAATCCTGCGACAGGACTGTTGGAGAATCACACGGACACAGGTATTGTCAGGGAGATTCCGCAAAACTACTACGAGCGCTTCGAGCAGGCTTTTGTGGAAGAGGCGAGGCAGTTTACCGATGTGGTGCTGGACAACAAGGAGGTGCCGGTCGATCTTGAGAGCTCAATGGAGGCAGTCAAGATTGGGGTTGCTCTTCAGGACAGCTTGAAGACGGGTAAGAAGATCTTGTTTGATCAGCAGGGAAATATGGTGGATGCTGTGAGAGCGAAATTGTGATGAACACATGAGGGCATGCAAGGACGCGAGGAGAGGTGTAAGGGCACAATAATGCTAGAAAGGTATACGGTAGTGCGTGATGGATGTGCAAGTCGGAGCGATGTTTAATACATGTCTTTTCTGCGTTGCAGAGAGTAATAGCTTTGGTGAGATGGGTGACGCGTCTGACACGTGGTCTTGCCCCTTTCAGAAAGATGTTATGTATTTGTGTGAACATCCTAATTTCAAACATACTGCAGTGCCTATATAAAAGGCGATATTCTAAAGACCGCTCTTTGGGGCAAAGCGAATGTTTGTCCATAGCCTAGGTGGTGGGACTGATGTTGGTTAAGGATGCAGGAATTTCGCTTCCCCAACACTGCTGAATTTCCGCGCAGATTTAACTCTACAACATTACTCTCTCCTCATCTAATATTTCGTATCTTCTTAGGTTCTTTCTTCTCAATGGCACTAATCTCCCGAGCTCAGTGCAGTCATATCGTGAACCTTATCCCTTGTCTGCCTACACCAGGCGAAAGAGGTCTATAGATGAGTACGTACGTACCTATGCACCACGTGTCTCCAAATCATCTACAAGCCACACTTGCAGCATACGTATGTAAATGCAAGCTCAGCCACAAGCAGCATCCAACACCTTCCCACGCGGTCGATCCCTCAAGGTCTTATCCCCGGAAGCCTCCGGCATCCTTCACCAGCCACACCTACACCCCTCCCCATATCCGCCATGGCTTATGCGCAACATAGTAGTGTAGAAAGTGGGGTCGATTATGCCCTCCCCCTCCCCCCCCCAAAACAAAAACGGAACAAGGATGATGCCTCCGTATTACGAAAAGACAGAGTAGGCATGAACATGTGGGATCCAGCGGAAGCCGATGGAAACGCTGCCGCAACCCAAGCCCCTTCCGTGTCATGTGTCAGAGATACGCGCGTAGATTGATTAGAGTACACGAAACCAGCTCAGCCACGAACGGCCGGGGACGGATGATTTGCGAACTTATCAACGGTCAGAACACACGGACCATGTAAGCACTCAAATTGTACATGCTTTCCCCTTATATAGAGCGGATGAGATGCGATATAGGTAGGAGCATGCAAGGCGATGCAAGGCAAGGCGATGCGGTGTGATGCGACGCGACTTGGGACGGGACAGGAGTGGTTTACGGAGATAAAAACACGTCACGTGAGTAGAAACAGACGTGCAAGGGAATCCCGCCCGTCGGAGCTTTGTCAGAGAAGCTTCGACTCGACCTCATCCCAACTTCCTCGACACAAGTGCCCGGCATCAACACCATACTACGCGACTACATGCACATCGGAACCGCAACAAAGGGCAATGGACTAATACAAACCACATGGAATTTTCAAACAAAGCAGCTGTCATCACAAGAGCAAGGAACCAAGAAAAGGGGGGCACAACAAGTCATCGTAAGAAGTATTATCATTGATGTACTATCTACAGGTCCCATGTCGGGGTATCAAATCGAATGCTCAGACTAGCATTACTCAGTCGTCATAATCATCATGCTCTCTCGTCAGTGTTCATTAGGAGAGAAAAGAAACCAGCCCACCCATCCACTATCCAAAGGCCACCTTCCATTACCGACCCACAACTCTGATCATTATACACATTACTCCACTAGGTGATGGCCTTTGGTAAGATATGATGTGATGCGCTTAGAGAAGAAGCCAGGCGGCAATACCGGCACCAGCGGCGATGGACATGCCAGTAGCCTTGGGGGCGGCACCCTGGGCCTGGGTGCTGGCAGCAGAGGAGGCAGCAGAGCCAGCAGCCTCGGTAGCAGAGGAGAGAGCCTCAGTGGCGGAGGAACTATGCAATTGTTAGTTGGTGCTTGGTGGATGTGTGAAGGATGTCAACTTACAGGACCTCGCTGGCCTGGGACTGGAGGGATGAAAGAGCAGAGTTGGCCTCGGAGAGGATGGAAGAGGTGAGACCAGAGGCCTCAGATGCAAGAGAGCTGGCGGCGGAGGTGACCTCGGAAGCAGCAGATGAGGCAGCAGACGAAGCATCCGAAGCTACGGAAGAGGCAGCGGATGAGGCCTCCGAAGCAGCGGAAGAGGCAGCAGATGAGGCCTCCGAAGCAGCGGAAGAGGCAGCAGATGAGGCACCTGAGGCGACGCTGGAAGCAGCGCTACCGCCAGAGGCAGTGGCGCTAGCAACGGCAGAGGTGAGAATGGGAAGAGCGGCGGGCTGTTCGCTGGCAGTGGCAGCAATACCGGCGCAGCGAGCATAGGCCCACTGGACGGCGCTGGCAGACTGCTCGGCATCACAGGCCTGGCGAGAGCAGTCACGGATACCAAAGGCCCAGTTGGAGCGGCTGCAGAAGCAGGCAATGTCGTCGCCGCAGGAGAACTCAGACTGGGCAATGCGGGCCATGTTGTTGACACAGAGCCTCTATGCGAGAGTCAGCATTCATGAGTGGGTCAGTGAGGCATGAATTGGTAAAAGACTTACAGCGCAGTCTCCAGTGGGCGTGTCCTGGGCGAAAGCGGCACCAGCAAAGGCGGCAGCGAGGATGGCGAAAGACTTCATCTTGACTGTGGGTAGGTGGAGGGTTGGAGGGATGTTGGGATAGAAGCTGATATGAGGAATTGAGGAGGAATTGGAGACAGACAAGTCTTTGCAGAAGCTGAAGATGCAGTGGTGAGAGTAGTGAGGAGTGAGAGCAGAGGGGAGCTCGGTGAGGTTTATATCAGTGACAACAAACCAAACGGGAGCGTGGCTGGTACAAGAAGGTACTGCCCAGCTTTCACGCACAACGGGCTCTGCAGTGGCAGGGGCCACCCCAGCCCCAGGGCACGGGCCCATGATCCGCACCCATGCGCCTATCCAAGGAACGAGAACTGGCAGGCGCGACGCTGATTGGCCGCCGGGCCGGGCGCTCATTCCCTATGATGTAGCTTGACTGCAGCACGACGGCCAACTCACGCGCTGTCAGTCATGGCACTCACTGCACACTGTCCGTGTGTCCGTGTGTCCTTGATGCTTGCCTGCTTTACCTGCTGGTCGGCTTGCTGGCTTGCACTTGCTCGCTTCGTCGCTCGCTCCCTCGCTCGCCTGCCCGCCCTCGCTCCACTCGTCATGGCAACCATCATGCATCATCATCATCATCACCGCCAAATCTACCCTCGCTCGCTCGCTCGCTCCCTTGCGCCCGTGCGACCGACACCAAGCGGGAACACGGCCAAATTGCTCAAATCTTAATTGCTCCCACCACAGCCACTTAGCCGTGACGCCGTAACCATTGGTGTTCTTGCTCTGCCTTGATCAAACATCTGCCGTGCCCGCTGCCCTGGCCACCAGATTGCCCCTCGTCTCCGTTTCACACAGACGACGATGTGCCGTCCATCCATGCTCCCACGCACCCATGCCTGGGAAATCAATCTTGCTTCCCCACGACGGCCACCCCAATTGCTCAGATCTAGGCGCCGCCGATCTCCACCCGCCCGCCAATCACTAGTCCCCCAACTCCCTTCCAACTCACCTACACCAACCAGAGGGTACATGCCGTGGGTACATGGACTACCATTTGTGGCGCAGTCTAACCAGCCTCAAGGGAATTCCCGCCCCTCTGCATCCCCTCTGCCTCTCCTCTGCGTCCCCTCTTTCTCCCGCTCCCTTCTCCTCCTAGGCCCCTTCGCCCTCACTCTGCTCGGCCAGATGCTTCTCTTCCGCTGACGTGATGCAATGCGTGTTCGCGCCTGTCCCAACCCCCTCCGTTAGCTAATTGCGCCCATCGCTGTCCACATGGCCACACGCCATTAATAAACTCACCTAACTTGTTGATAGTCTCCATCCACTCATCGTATGGGTCCGAATCAAACACTATGCCTCCCTGTGACAAATCATTAGCTCGCAATCAACCTGCCCGCGCGGAAAATGTCCTCGGACTTACCCCTGCTTGGAGATAGGCGATGCCATCTTTGACCAACATTGTCCTTAGCGCAATGCATGTCTGCACACATCAGCCTCCTGTCAGCCTCAAGCAACGCAGTGCTACTCACGTCCATGGCCCCTTCAATTTCTTTATCGCCATCAACACTGCCGTAGCCAAAGTAGCCCACTGCGCCGGCGTACACACCGCGTTTCTCCCTCTCCAGCTCGGCGATGAGTTCCATGGCGCGAACCTTGGGCGCTCCGCTCACCGTTCCTCCGACTCGTTAGCCCACTTTCAAGTTTTTTTGGTGGCGCTACTCACCAGCGGGAAATATCGAGCGGAACGCGTCGAATCGCGTCTTGCCAGGTCGCAGTACGCCAGATACCTCCGACACCAGGTGCTGCACGTGCGAAAACTGGTTTCCATTTTGTTAGCATCGTCATTCCCACTTTGGCTCCATCGCACCCTGCTCTCATCACACCACGCTCGGCGATCACGGTTAGGGCGGAAACGCTTTACCTTTTGCACAACCATCAACTTGTCCACCCTGGTGGTAAGTGGGTCGCACACACGATTGACGTCATTGCGAGCCAAGTCCACCAACATGACCTGCGAAAATACTGGTAAGCTTCAACGTTGTTGCATGCGGCTTGTCGTCAGAAAACCCACATGTTCTGCTCGGTCCTTGAGCGACTGAGAGAGCTCTTCCGCAAGTGCGGCATCCTCCTGCAGTGTCTTGCCCCGCTTGACAGTCCCGGCAATCGGGTGCGTGATGATGCGACCCTGCTCCTCCTTGACCAGCAACTCGGGACTGGCTCCCACAATCTGGAATTCGTCACAGTCGACAAAGAATAGGTATGGCGATGGGTTTACGCTTCGCAGGTTCCTATACACATTGAACGGGTGCAATGAGGTCGGTCTTGCGAATCGCTGCGATGGCACTGCCTGGATAATGTCGCCAACGCTAATGTGCTTTTTCAGCTCCTTGACGTGGTTTTCATATCCCTCTCGTCCAATGTTCGATGTATACTCGTTGCCCAACTTGATCGGCCCTTGCTCGGGCAACGGAATGTCCTTGTCCTTCAGTATTGTCACATATCTTTGCAGTGTGCTCCTGGCTTCTTCGTACGCCGCCTCGAGATTGTCGAGGCTATCTGGAACCTTGACGTATGTTATGACCTTGACAACCTGCGCGAAATGATCCAATGCAACCACTGTATCGAAGAGCATGAAGAGACTCTCGGGTACACCCAGCACATCTTTCATGTCATCTCGTCTTGTCTTGGGCTCAAAGTATTTGACACAGTCATAGCCAACGTATCCAACAGCGCCACCGGTCAGGGGAGGTAGTTGTATCGAGGGTACAGTCGCAACACGGCTCTTTGCGAGCTCCTCCTCGAGTAGAGGTAGTGGATCGGTCTCTTCGCCATGGCCGGGGCCCGTCTTGATAACTTTCCGAGGGTCTAAAAGCTTGCTGTTAGCTGCCGTGTCTGAAAAATTTGCTCCACAAGTACCGACCTGCACCAATAAAGCTGTACCGTCCTATGGTCTCGGTAGTTGCGGCGCTCTCGAAAAGAAACGACAGCCTTGACTTTGATCTGAGCCAAGAAAGTCAGCACAAAGGTCCTCAAGCCCTCTTCTATCATCGATTATGCCTCATGCCCCTCCATTCTACCCGCCTCCTTGTCCTCTATGTGCGCTGCCGTTCCTTGTGTTGCCCGCTTTGATATCGCATGAGTCATACTCACTTTGCGGAGATCTTCAGATATATGCTCGACGGTGTGAGAAATTCGGCAGGAATCGACGAGTACACGGGCACCAGGTTTGGTGGATTGGGAGACTTGATTGATGTGGCCAATACTTCTCGAACGGTGTCAAGCGATGGCTGAATGCCTAGCTGTTGTGGTCACGCGCTCAGCTTGGTGTCACTTCATTGGCTTGATTGTGAACATACCTGTGGCGCCATAACTGCTAAAATGTAGAACGAACGCTCTGTGAACCTTGTGAACGTATAAGAAGAGGAGTGTATGTGTCACAAAGAGTAGTCGCAAAGTGTACTGAAGACACAATTGTTGATGGCCTAGCCAATCGGAAGGGTCAATATCCCGAAGTAAATTGCTATCGATAGAGGGACTCAACCCACCCCACTTCGCGCGGCTGAGTCGCCCAGGTTTCTTTCGAGGCCACATGGGTGCCGCGGCTATACGCACGTCACTTAGGGCGAACCCTATTCTCTCTGCCAACTCCGACCTGTCCAAGTTTCACGTTTCACCGCACATTGCACTTTTTGGCTGGCAGCATTCTTGGGAGTGTCGGGAAAGTCGTGCAGATTTATTGCGGAGTACAAGAGAAGTATGCGGCTCTCGCGCCGCTGCGATAGCGCCATGGAAATTCCACGCAGCCTGGAGCGGCCATGGACACCGCCAGAGATCGAAGACCGGCCATATGCTCGCACTCGCCCAAGCCATCTCAACCTATATGGAAATCCACCCTCGCGATATGTTAGAAAAGAGCAGCGTTGGCCAAACGATGCTGACCTTGTACACGAACAACCCTCGTGGATGACCGAAACCTATAGTCCAAGAACCCCGTTCACGGCATCACGACCGAAACTCAGTTCCCGTCTTACCGAACCGCTTCCGTATACGCCCAAAAAACAGTACAACTTTGACGAGCCGTATTCACAACCAAAGGCCGTGCCACGCTACCCCTACACGCCTGATAGCTCCCAAATATTGCGTCGACACACTGTCATCCCTGCTTCTCCTCCGCCATGGGACGACTACTCGGATCCCGCTTTATCGCCTGTTCAGGATGCTTTGTCTGCCTGTATTGCACAGTTTGAGGATTTGATCCAGTCGCAGCAGCCAGATGAAGATCAGATGGAATATATTGTAGGGCAATTTGAAGCCATGGCCATGCGTCTTTCGGCTCCAGAGGCATATGAGAAAGAAACAGGTGCACAGTATCCTTCGTATTTCGACCAGGGAGCTGGTATCATGCACGCGGACGATGGAAAAGATGACCTTGCCGAAGCAAAAAGGGCATACCACCAGTCGTATGTTGCTGAAGTGGGGAACTATGTCAACAGCGTACAAAAATATGTTGACGAGCTGCGAAAGCGCCTGGATGAAGTCAAGACGCTAAATAGCATCCAGCTAGATGTAATCAACGACCTGCGTAAACAGATGAAGACGGTCCGTCAAACCATGCGCGAGGAGCTCGAAAGAAGTGGCGGTGAAACTACCGGCGGTGACACCGGCAGCAGTAACACCGGCAGCGCTGAAAAAGACTTCAAAATCGCAAAGATTGTAGACTTGGAGGATGAACCGAAACACAACTCACCTGCCAAAAACCAACGAGAACAAGAGCCTGGTAGTGACAAAAGCAACGAGCAAAAAGACGACCCCACACCCAGAAAATTCGGCATGATGGACAGCTGGCAGACGCTCGTCAACGACGACTCCGACACCAACAACAACAACAATAACAACCAAGACGTCTCCCAGGAAATCCACAACGAATACACGAAGCTCCTCCGCAGCGCTGTACACAAGCTCACCGCAGAAGATCATGGCGATGATGATAATACTTACCACACCCCCCCTCGTCCTCGTCCGGCTGGTCCTGCTACTACTACTACTACTCCTCCTGTTACACGCCAGACCAAGCGCCGTCTAATCACCATTATCCGCTCGCCCCCTCGACGCAGCTTCTGGGCTTCGATTGGTGAGGCGCTGGATGCTATGTCGGAGTTGTTGCTTGAAGAATGATTGACTTGATTGATTGACTTTGATGATGATGATGATGATGACGACGACGACGACGATGACGACGATGATGTGGGATGAGCATTTGCCAGGGTCACTTGGTATTAAGTTTTTCCTTTTCCTTTTTTTTCCAAGTTGTCTTCTTCTTGTTTTTCTTCTCAAGTCGCGCTTTTTTTTGGCTTTGGTTGTTTTCATTGATAATGTTGGGATGAAAGGTTGGGTAATGGAGATGTGTGGATGATTGGGTTTACGAATCGGTTATGACGATTGTGGCTCAGAGTATGGTCCTTGGGGCTGGGATATGATTGATGGATGTTGGTGCTATTTCTTTTTTTCTCGGCTTCTTTTTTTTTCTTTCGCTTTGTCTGTTTTTTTTTCTTTTTGAGTCCATCTGCATGAGCGTACGTTGGATACCCCACTACTGACGTTTGGATTTCCTTTTTTTTCTCGCCTTCCCCGCATCTCTTCTATGGCTTGTTATTACTAAATTGTTTTTCCAATGGATCTTTTGCCTTCAGCTGCTTGGTAACTATACTTACTCTCGCTGTTTTACTACTCTATGCTCAACTCACGCTATTCCTCGCACTCGGTAACACTCAATCATACAACGCTCAGCCCAAATCTTGGATATGTTACATATTTGTGCATACGGCTTGCGCTATGGACATGTACTTATAGGTTCGAAAATCCAAAATGAATGGATTGGTATCGCTTGAACATCAACTCTCATCATCTGCTCCTCTCTACATGCCAACTCACTCGACATAATCCAAACTACCCTTGCCAACCGTGCCCTTGACTGCATTCTCGCCCTTTTGCTGCTTCAACTTCTCCTCAAACTTGGCAAACTCTTTCATCGCAATCTCTTCCTCCTGATCCAGAACCTGCTGCACCCCCTTGACTTCTTCAATGTAATGCATCAACATACTCTCGATTCCGTTCTTGAGTGTTACTGTACTCGAATCGCAAGTCCGGCACGCACCGCGCAGCTTCAGGAGAACTTGGCCGTCGTTGAAGCCCCGGAATTCAATGTCGCCACCATCTTCTTGGATCGCTGGGCGGACGCGCGTCTCAAGCAGCTCCTTGATCATACCAACTACTTCGTCATCATTCTCATCGTAGGCCAGACTGTCGGCTTCTTGGCCGCCTTGACCTTGCTCTCCGGCTTTCGCAGCCACGGTGTTGACAATTGGTGATCCAGATGTCATGAATTCAGTGATTATGGCGAATACCTCGGGCTTGATGTGGCTCCATGGCGTTGCCGAGTCCTTTGTTACGGTGATGTAATCTGCGCCAAAGAAGACGCTCGTTACGCCGTCAATGTTGAGTAGTTGGGCCGCGAGTGGGGAAGGATGCGGTGGTGCGAGGGTCGAGCGCGGGTTTAAGTATTCTAAGAAAGGCGACGATATCGTTTCGGGGAGAACTCGCTGGTTGGGATTGAATTTCAATGCCTAGCGGCTGTCAGCAGGAGAGTGGTAGTGGAACTAGGTGGGGCATGCATACATCAGCGTTTGGCGTTGGCTCGGTTTGGATGAACATTGTTCGACGTGCAACGACCGCAGAAGGCGTAGCTACTTTCCGTTTCCATTGTTGCGCTGTTGGTCTGTGTTGAAGCTGTGAGGTTGTGATGGGCGATGATCGTTGATGCATGCATCTTGTGGCAATGCGTGGCGCTGGGCTTCGCAAAGGCGCAGTGCGCGAAAGAGCGCGCAGAGCGGAGCGAGGGATTGTGCTTGAGGACATTTCTATAAAGAGCTCCAGGTATTGTATGGCACAGGTAGGTGTGTGTTGTCGCAATGGTAGGGTGCGGAGATGGGAGTCGGAAAGTTTCGCGAATTCGGGCGAGACAAAGTATGACGTTAATTGGATTATTCAGCCACGCGCTGAGTGGCTCCGACAATCCACCAGATGAACACCGTGTAGATTGAATATTGTCTGTTGTCTTCGAGGTCAAAAAAATTAAGATCAAACCATTATCGAATATTTCGCTGGATATGAACGTGGGAATGCAATTGTTAGGTTGAGAAACTCGAATTATTCCAGAATAATATACATCCTCTTCTTAGTCACAGGTTGTGCATATGCAGTAGTTCTTAGCATATAAACATCACCACCATAATGAAAACATGGTATCTTTGTTGGGATATTGTCATTAATTATTAGGTATCATCTCGTCCTATCGTACAAGTTTACATCGGCTATTCCATCTGCCGCCGTGTATCCAATTCAATCTCCGCCTGCGTGTGGTATAGTGTAATGCGTCAAAGTCGTTAAGTACAGTTAAGGAAAATTCGTGCTGAAAAGCACATTGACTAATATTAGTCTAAAGCGACACGGACATCAGGTATTTGACGTGTTTGTTTCGCTTAGTAGTTGGTAGCGGTGTTTCCGTAGGTAGCAGTGCTACCGTTGATAGCGTAGTTGCCAGTAGGGGCGGTGTGGTAACCGGAGCCAACAGGCTTGTGGCTGTCATAGCCGGCGTTGGGAGATGCGACAGTCGAGCCAGTGTAGGCGGTATCGTGGCTAGGGCGGTAGTCGTGGGTACCATTGGGAGCAGCGAGTCCACCAGTGGCAGCAGGTACGGCAGCAACCTCGGGGTCATGGCTGCCAGTGGTCCTGTGAGCCTTCTTGCGCTGCCAGAACTTCATGCCGGAGCCCTTGGTGTAGCCGTTGGAAGGGCCAGGACCGAAGCGCTTTTCCTTCTTGTGGTGGCGCATGAGGGCTAGCTGGAGGAGGGCGCTGAGCAAAAAGAGGAAAGCACCAATGATGGCGACGGCAAAGCAGGCAGTGTTGAGCCTGCAAGTGGTACCCAGAGAGGCAGAGTAGGTGATTTGGTTGCCCTGGCCGTTGGAGCCAAAGCCTTGCTTGGAGCGTGCAGGGCCGTCGCCAAGAGGGGTCTTTACATTGCCAGAGCAGCTGGATGCACCATCACGGGTCAGAACGGCGATGGCAATCATAGCACCGCAGCAAAGAAGGTTGAAGAGAATGGCAAGCAGAGCAAAAATCGTCTATCCAATAGTCAATATACAATCTTGAAAGATGGGGTTTGAAATTCTTACCTTTCCTCCAATGCAGCAAGTCAACAAGACAGCAAAGATGGTGTAAAGGACGACGGCACCGGACAGACCAGTGACGGCCTGTTGCCAGACTGCAATGTTGACATCGCGGTCAGCCTGTACAGCCAGGAAGTAGCTGTAGATGCCAAGGATGATTGCAGCGCAGCAGAACTCGAGAGTATAGATGGCGGTCGAGCCAAACTTCAAAGCAGCACCGCCGAAGCCCATGGTTGCGGTTGTCGAGTGTGGAGAAGCAAAGGGTGAGGGTTGTTTTAGGGTGTAGGTGTTGTTGTATGCAGGGCGTGCGAGGATGAGGGATCAGGCCCAGTCAGGCATCAGGGCGAAAGAATTTATGTGTGTGTTGAAGATGCGTATGGCGATGACGCAGCCCGAGTATGGTGCATCACGTGACGGAGCGCACCGCCATGCTGGGCTGCCTTGTAGGGAGATAAGTCATGTCGATCTCCGAGGCCGTGCGTCACTCCAAGCCACGGCTAGTCTGAGCCCTGCTTTTCTCTTTGGTCCCGCCCAACCAACGTCATGGTGGTCAACACTCAACCCGACCAGAGAGTCTAGCCACGCTGCCGAGTCTGCGCTTGCTATTGCTATCATCCTGTTTTTGCTACCCCTAACGTCACCTGCTCAGGGACCACAGAGACCACAGGGACCACAGGGACCACAGGGACCACAGGGACCACAGGGACCACTGCGTGCCTCGGGTAGCCCTCCGTTGGCTGTGGCTGCCCCTGGACACTCGACAAGCCCCAAGATGGCGGCGCCACAAAGCCACACTCTCCCAGCTGAGGTAATGCAAATGCAGGCTGATGCCCCTGCATGCAGCCACCCGTCATCCCACTCAAGTGTGAGTGTAGTCCACAGGCTGATATCACCATTTCGCAACCCTTCGATGCATGCGACCTACTTTTTCATTGTGCGCCGATTCATCCGCCAACCATGCCGTGATCGACGTCTTTCGACCCGCAAGCGCCATGCGAACTGTTGTCATACATACCGTACCAAACCATTCCCACGCTGCGTCGTGACGCTGACTACCCTCCCCATCATGTTTGCACCAATCTTTGTGTTTGCTCCGAGGCGCACTCGGCTACCAAACCTTAACGAGGACCTAGACATCTTGCTGGCCAGTATCAACCCCCTCGAGCCTATCCGTGTCGTCACACGCACGGCCGATCCGCGCCAAATATCTTGCGCCAGACGGCTGCCGTGCCAGCACACCGAAGCTAGCCTCGTCAGGCGGTGCTGCAGCGACTCAAGATGTTGTGCGTCGACTGGAGCGGTGTAAATCATCGTTTGACAGCTGCGACCCTTTTATGCATTACATATGTCCAATGTCAAGTTGAGCAGATGAAGCGTTCGCCCTGGGCAGCATTGATATTCGACCCACCGACAACGCACCAATTGCGAATTACCAACTACGTTGAATTTTAGCGCTTCAACAATTTTACATCAGCTAATCAGGTACCGTCGTAGTGTGGTCACAAAGGCAACGATGCATGATAGTGTCATGCAAGATCAGGTCATGAGCAGTAGCTTCAACCGTACATCTCCGCCTGGATCATGGTCGACCAAATCCACGTGGACCATCGTAGGAAAATCTGCCATATTCATTCCCTCCACTCCATGGTAGATTGCGATACTTATTTTCCGTGTAATATAGCAGTCCATTCTCTCTTCACCATTCAAATTCGATCGTTTTCAAAGCTAGAGGCTAGTTCAAGGAACACTAAGTACGGTTTGCTATGGGTCTTTGGTATAGCCGAAAGTTGGCTACTATCGTACCACCTGGTCCTTTAAAAGTTTAGCCACGGTTAACCTTGGAAATTGTCATCTTCTGTATCACTTTATGCTGACCTCAATGGTGACTTGGTAGAGCGAGATTTACGCCCAAGTGGAGACCATGAAAATCAGCCATCATGCCACCAAATTCCATTCTCTAATATTGGACCAAACCTTTGGAACTATTCAACTGATCTTGTCTATTTCTTATATCTTTTATACAGCTAATCAGCACTCAAAGGATATATTTTCTAAGCTATCAATAAGATTTCTAAAGTAAGAAGTCCACATTGATTAGTACTCTAAATTTCTTAACAGAGAAGATCGCCTTCGACATTTTCTATGCGATACTTACAACGCTGGTTGAGTTCAACGGTAGTGGTACCAGTTAAGTGCTGAGAATCAATCGATCATATGAGGTTACTCTCTCCTCTCAAATCAAATAAACATTTCGAGAGACTCACGTTTTAAGAGGCTTATCTCTACTGCGTAAAATGCTCCGACAGCTATATACAACTTTCTCGAAACCCCTGCACGTCTCTCATCGTAGCCTCCATTCGACATTCTGCATCGATTTAGCTTCGTAGTTTCTACATCACTAGTGATGCAAGGCCTTTATTAAACAAAGCTTAACAACAAGAATGATCGGTATTAAAGCGTATTGTGCGACACCTATTGATGGATTAAGTATCTAACAAGACAAAGGTATCATTCACAAGAGAGGTGTGTTGGGACACTATCGTAGCATACTTGATGGTTGATTTGAGTATTTTGTGACTGATCATGTTCCTATTAGAGATGTATCTCTGAAACAAGCACTCATGTAAGTTTTGATGCACTGGTAGTTCCTGCCTAGAGCTTGGCTTAAACATAGGTATTCTAATGCGTGACGAGGCTAAGCTAGACTTTTCGTACTGCGATCTGACGACTCTAAGACGCAATTATACTCATCTCAAAGTGCTAAAAGCGAATCTAGCTTCTTGTGGGAATTCCGGCAATATGAGCGCGGAATCGAATACAAAGCCTGATTTCGAAGTATTTGGTCGATGTGAAATAAGGAAGTACTATTTGAACTCTTATTCGCCCTAAAGGTCTAGAAAGAAACTAAGAACTCAAGTCCTCCTAGCTTTTCTTTCAAATCCTCGTCTCAGATGCAGCATGCTTACAATTTATCTATTGTCTAATCATCCTTAGGATTCGCATATCAGTATAAAGTCCGTATCCCGTACTAGATCCCTAGTTGCCATTACTCAAGCTGCCTTTCACACTCCACCTAAGTAATAAATCTAATCTGGTATGCTCATATATTAGGAATATCCGCATTCAGATAGCGCCTAGCCATATAATAAAGACCCGCGACATCCAACGAGTGCCGATGCCATATCACGTGATGTATAACCCCGCATGGCCTGGCTTTGGTTAAATCATCTTGACACTTGCCCACGTACTCCTCACCAACACACCTCTAGTTGGGAATTATACGCATAAATATGGCTGCTCATGGTACCACGCCAATTTGTCCAGACTGGATTTTTCTAGATAACTCCAACGTCCAGTGAGCAGAACATAGGCCGGCCACTTACTTAGACAAGCGCGCTACTAACACTAACCAGTGTGGCGAAAGATCGAGGCTGGTTCATGACTTACACTCCTTTTAATTCCTACATCAAATCTTCTCTTTTCTGTTCCCCTAGATATCTGCCTGTGCTAGGAGTTGGTACTGTGAGGATTCCAACCAAATGCTCGTCAACCCAGTCTGGTATATCTAATCACAGTTATCTGCGTCTGGAGCAGGTCTTGCACGTGCCCGGCTTCATTTGCAACGTCATTTCAAGTTCAGTCATGATATCCGATGGCTATAATATACAAAAGCATGTTAGCAGAAGGTCAAAGGGAGCGGTCAAAGACAGGTCGGGCAAACAAATAGCGTTCTTTAACCGTAATACACCGCACTACAGTATCAGAGTCAGAAGCCGGCCTGAAGGTCCGAGATTGGGTCCGCATGTACTTCGAAAGAATGGAATGTACATGATCAGCTGTTATTGGGTACACAATGGAGAGCAAAAATGTCATTGGGAACAGAGTGAAGAGCAAAAATGGCTGGACTATAAAGCCGGAGATTGTGACAAATACTCGAAATCAGTATCAGCAATCGCTACTGGTACCAGTTCGTCGGACACAAACGCCAATCCGCCGTACACAAAGGCCGAGAAAAGGTTCCTCGAGGATAGCTGTGACGGTGAATATGAGTTCCTCTTCAACCATGGTCTCGATTTCTACAATAGCGAGGACCGCGAAAGAAGCAGATTGTTACTGCGGGCGCTCATGCGTAGAGAAGGCCTTGACGGAGAATGTGCGGACGAAGAAGAATCCGATGATGAGGAAGAAGAAGAAGAAGAAGAAGAAGACGAAGAAGAATCTAACAACGAGGAAGAAGGATCCAACTACAGTTTTGACGATGCAGAACTTTATGACCCTGCAGAGTTTAGTAGTGAAGAGCTTAAATGGGTCCGTACTCACTATCGCGACGTTGATGCGTTCATGGCAGCATATGGGCTGAATCCCAATTGGTTTTATGATCGCATGGATGCAAGGGGAATGGTAAATGGTCTTTTGAAGGAAGAGAAGCTAGCAAATGCCGTAGACGAATAGATGTCAGTATATAGGCTTCACTGGGCGAAGCATCCAAAAGAACTGGGGCCATATATCTACCAGCCAAAGTGCCTCTTCTATCAGCTAAAATGTCCTTTATGTTCGGTTGAGTGATGTAACAAATCCTTTACGCTGAAATATTTTCTAGTCAACCTATTAACAATGTATATTTTGTTCAACATATCCCAACGGTTACCGTCACATCAATTACTCACACAATGTGCTACATGTAATCAAACCACATCTCTCTCCGACCAAACATACAATTATTTTAAAGAAACAGTCTATCTCAATTATCTGCAGAGTTCCCACCACCCCTTGAGCTAACCCTTCTTCCATACTGTCGGTAGAATTCCCAGTACCGAGAGGAGTATCAAACGAACCTGCTACGCATACCAGCCGACAAGAACATGAATAGCATGGAAAAGATCTCATAGAGAGATATCCAACGCCTATTCAGTCAACTTCAACTTTGAATTCATGCTTGCGGTAAGCAGTACTGATGCAGTGTTTAGATATCAGCTCTATTCATCATCGCAAACCCAGCACAAAGAGACGACGAAAAAGAAAAATTACCGAATGTGCATGTTTAGATGTAAGTGGTGGGAATCATACGGTACATGGCGATTTTACATCGCAAGGGATGAAGCTTGAGTGGTATCGATGTATGATGGAGATGAGTAAGAGTCATGCCAGAAGTAAAGGGCAACGTATGGAGAATGTATTAAGATGTTTTTTGTATGTAGTAATGTCTACTTCTTCATGGCTGAACCAACTGCCTAGCATATATATATATATATATATATGCCGTTTGGTATCAGTGCTTGCTTTATTTATTCTCTTCTGTTGTGTCTGGTGCTTGGGGGTTCTATGCGCTCATACTACTTTTATAGCTCACATACCACTCATGGCTAGTTTATGAGCTTGTTACTTTTCAAAAAAAACCAGGCTGTGTCTCGCTCGGTATACATATATATGTGTTGGAGCTCTACCGTATTATCACCGAAGAGTAGCAATCTAATACAAATATAACATGACAGCACTTGTACAAAAATTGGGTTGCAAAGACGAAATGATAGACATGTCTTGAAAACAAGATGATTTCTACATTCATCTGATATTCTCAAATATCTACGCTGCCCTCCGTAACTTAGCCAAGGTAGCCTTGCCAGCTCTACTTTCATTCGGTCTTCCCAACTCCTCGGAAATCCACTGGCCTACTTCAGCAAGTTTCTCAATATCCACACCAGTGTTCGCTCCCAAGCTATGGAGGCAGTGAACAAGATCTTCCGTGGCAACATTTCCAGTTGCACCGGGGCTATACGGACAACCTCCAAGACCACCCACTGCTGCATCGAAGGTGCGAATTCCATGCTCAAGAGCTACGACCGAGTTGACTAGCGCCTGACCGTATGTGTCATGGAAATGGAGTGCAAGGTCATTCTTGTCGATACCAGCAGCGTTTAGTGTTTTCAGAAGCTCCATCGTCTTAGGCGCGGTGCCCATTCCCGTAGTGTCTCCTACTGAAATCTCGTCGGCGCCCATCTCCAGTAGACTCACAGCCAGCTCTGCCACTTTGTGGGGATCGACGTTTGGACCTTCGTATGGGCAACCGAGCGCAACCGAAATGTACGCGCGTACATTTAGGTTCATTTCCTTTGCTTTAGACATGGTTGGCTCAAAACGCTTCAGCGATTCTGCTATGGAGCAATTCGTATTCTTCTGGGAAAAGGACTCGGTCGCCGCTGTGAAAATTGAGACTTCGTGTCTAGGCGATGATGGCGAAGCTGATGCTTCAGATTGGGAGGACGAGTTCGAATCTGGTCCATTAACCGGACCCGGAGAAGGTGGGGGCGTTGGGTATGCATCTTGGCTAGGCTGGGACTTGGATTGCCAGGTGGAGAGGAAGTTGTCGAGTCCTTTGACGTTTGGCAGAAGCCATTGGTATGTGATTGGTTGCGGCGAGGGAGGGGGACGAGAAAGGACATGTTCGAGTATCTCTGCCGAATTGGCCATCTAGCTTCGCGATCAGTAAAGCTTGAGCAATTTTCAAGACGCTTCTCTCTTACCTGCGGCACCCATTTTGGCGCAACGAAAGAGCCGGCTTCGATGGTTGTCAACCCGGTCTTTGCCAGCCTCTCTACCAAGTCTATCTTTGTGGCTAACGGCACCGTCTGCTTCTCATTCTGTAATCCATCGCGTGGCCCAACTTCTACGATGCGAACGTGGTCGGCGCGGCTAGAGGCGGCTGAGGCAAAGGCTCGTCGATGACACGGATAGCGCGCAGCAAGACGCGCAGAGCGGAGGCAGAGAAATTTGGAAGACATGAGAGCAACGGCGAGGTGTCGACACTTGTATTAGGTCAAGCAAAAAACGATGCAATGACGTGCATAGCTGTTAAACTGTTTGTGGGGTTGATGTTTGCGGGGATGCTTTCACCGAGGCGAGGTAGAGCGAGCTTGCGCATGGACCATGTGTCACTCTCCCGAGTCCCTCTGCCTCATGCCCTCCAAAGCTTACTGGAGAAGTTGCACATGGCTACCATGACAGAGCATCTGCGAAGTCCACACAGCCTACGGCCTTGCAGCGTCTGTGTGTATGCACACATGCAATGTGTCATGGATTGCCGCCGCCGAACCCACTGGCGCCATGCAGCCTGACGTGTTGACAGACTGCAGCTACAGACGATTCCGTCTTACTGTGTATTACCATATTCTCCCTCTCCTTCAACTGCATCGTTGAGACGCATCACTGGGCCCGAATTGCGTGTAAAGGCATAATTTGCGGAGACCGAGGCCTCCGTTTTGACCTGAACAAGTTCGTCTGGCCAAATTGACCCCACTGTCTACCGCCTGCTCACACTACACAGTCGATGGCGACATTGCAGTTTCCACAAAACACGAAGCCTTGAACGCTTTGAAGTCGAAATTACCTGTGCATGGTGGGCGCAGCTAGAGCCCTTTGAGCTAGTCGCCGAAACTACCTGCAGCGCCATCAGCCGTGTCCAATAGTCCCTTTACGAGCCACACATATGCAACTATCTAGCGGATCTTCACACCCAAGTACTTAAGTAGGTACATATGTAAGTATGTCAGACCCTGGCTAATAGACTGGCCCTGCTACTAGTACATAGTAGTATATCGCTTCGACAGCTTGTCGCATGTGCTTATGCGCATTTTCGGCAGCCGAAGGCATTCAGCCCTGGGACATGACTGCGGCTGGAGCCCATGGCCCAGTTGCAGTGGGCCCCATGGACGGTCTTGTCCACTAGCTCAGGAAGCATGCGGACAAACAGAATAGAGGGCTCCTCGGAGCTTTGGCTGACTTTTCTTACTGTAGCCGCCGGTTGTTCAAGATCCTACGCTTAGTACGCTACCCGTTCCCACCAGGGGACCACTATGGCGAAGGCGATGCTGATCATCATGCTTAATTCAGCACGGGAGTATTTCTCAGCCGAGTCAACCTCGGCTGGCGTATGATTGTGTAGCTGTTTGAAGGGTCTGTTGTCGGACCGGGCGTAGTGCAAACAAACCTGGCGGTGGGAAGCGAAAAGCTAAGATTGTGAACGGCGCCGGGAGAATTGTTTCGGCGGAGATTAGAATTGTAAATAGGTGACCGTGACCCGCTCGGTACGAGTCTAGTCCCACAAGTTGGTACATTTTGTCTAGTCGCAGGCTACGGACGCGCTCCGACCCCCAAGCATTTTAGGTTTCAAGTTGCTGGTGGCAGGCGGTCTTTTTTTTTTTGCAACACGGTAGCCCGGGACTCTTCTGCCAGCATATCTAGTCATTCCAACAGCCGGGCGTTGGAACTGCAAGAGTGATGGCATGGCGTGGAATCAATGGGCCCACTAGGAGTAGTGGGCACCCGGCCGTAGGAATGTAGCTGTGTGCATACTAAGTACATACATACATAATTATGTGAAGGGCGACAGGCGGGCAAAACAGGGCAGACAGCGCTAGGCGCGCCGTCAGAGGCAGCGAGCAGACATGGAGCAGATAGTGTAGCAGAGTAGAGCAGACCCGCCCAGGTCAAGTGGGCAAACGCGGTCTGTGGCATCGTATCCCCCCATACTCTACCCCGCGTCGCGTACGGAGGCCTGGGTGGGCAGGCGCATTGACGAGGGACATTTGGCCAGGCACACAAGGGGCGACTAGCGACGACTGGTTTGTGAGAGGCCGCTTGGCTAGTAGGAAGGAAAGCCACCAGGTGATGGCAGTCTGGAGTTGCTTGTTACCTGAGACAAATCGTTGAGTGGTGGAGCGAAGCCAACAGGCCAAAGGAGCGCATGTCGCCGATGCATGTGTGGCTTGGCACTCACGTGCCCGGCTGCGCGACTAGCCTGAGGCAGCCCATGGTAATCGGTCAAAAGACGCAATTCGCTGTCGCTGTCGCTGACGCTGACGAACAAGGCTGGCGAACGGCATCTGGGAACAGACGGGCCAACGTTGTTTTGACCTGCGAGCCACCCCCCGCTGCTTATTAGCAGAGAGTTTCGGCACACGTGCAGCGGGCGGGATGGAAGAGGGCCGGAGCCAGGGCGACGGTGTTTTGCACGGAGATGGGTGAAGGGTGAAGCATGATGGACAGAGAGGGGCAAGGGGGGCAGAGGGGCAAGGGGGGGCAAAGGGGGGGGGGCAAGCACGTCAGCGCAAAGTCAGCAGGGAGCGGGGTGGCAGTGGCCGGCGGTGTTTATTTTTTGGGGGAGTTTAGTTGTGCCTGACGACAGCGACAAAAAACGATGATGTTGGTGGAGGATGCAGAGGCGGTGGCCGTGGGGGCGGCAGTGCGGCAAGGCGGAAAGCCGATGGTCATATCGCACTCTCATCAGGCCCGCATGGCTGTTATCATCTCATCTCACCACGACGGGGCCCACCAGAGCGGTTTGTGCCAAGGCCACCGCCAACGGGCCTTGAATTGCCAGCCTGCCTACAAGCCTGCCTACAAGCCTGCCTACCTGACGAGCGCCAGACAGCAGGCGGACAGCAGGCGGACAAACAGCCACTTGCGCTGGCTCCATCCACCACTCCATGGCACCCCCGGGCATTGCGTGCAGCGCTGCACCATGCCATGATGCACACGACCGCACGCCCACCGTGGTCCTCGATGTCATTGCAATATCCGCGCCCGCCGTTGCACGTCTCGCTTTGGGCCCTCGCGTGCACCAGGCCTCAAATTGCACCACTCGAGCGGCACGCCAGCCAGCAGGCGAACGAGAGGCCGTCTCGTCTACGCACATACACACTCTCTCACACACACTACTGCCCTCATCCACCCAGGTGCCTACACCTACGCCCGCGCAGCCGTTCACGCCCTCCCGCTTGGCGCAAGGCTTCACCGCGGGCGGCGTCTGCTCGTCCACCCGCCCTCTTCCACACGGCTTCGATGCGTCTTCGTCGACACGGCGGCACGCTCGATGGCTGGCCTCGGTCGGCTCCGCGACAGCGCTTGCGCGAGGTCATTCGCCCGAGTGGCCGCGCTGGACCTGACGCTATCAGCGCGCTGGCGGTGCAGCAGCCGGCAGCACCACCAGCCAGGCCACTCAACGCCTTGCCCTCACCCCCTCCCCTCCACCACCCCAGTCCGCACGATGTGCTCTCTCACTGGTTGACGTGCCCTGGCTGCTCCGACCTTAGCGGCCGGTAGCAGATCGGGGGGCCCTGCCTCTCTCATTGGTGGACCCTCCGTGGCGTCCAGCCCTCTCCGTCCTGCAGCAGGCCTCTGTCGCCATCCTCCGTCAAGCTTCTGCCGGGGTGCCACCATCTTTCCACGATGTAACCCGACCTGGCTGTCCCCGTCGCTGCAATTCGCCGTCCCGGTGTGGGGTGTGGTAGGGGTTGCCACTGCCCAAAGCCTTGCGCCCGCTGCCAGAACATGCGGGCACCAGGCCTGCTCCCTGCAGGCCACATCCTTCATGCACATCGCTCTCGAGATGACCACCTCTGGTCTTAATATCCTAGCGTTCACTATGCCGCGGCATTTTGCATCCTTCCCTTGGCATACCAGAGCCCTGTCCGCTAGGGCCCTGACCTTATCAGACGGGGGACCAAGCTTCCTTTACCCAGACCTGTCGAGGCCAAAATAATACTTACCCACCGTGACGCGCTTCTTCTATGCTCCATTGAGCATTACTGCACCCCTCGCTGTCTTTGTCTATTCTGTTTCCACTCCCACTATACTATACTCGCTCCACATACTGCAGATGCAACATTGCAGAGTACCGCAATAACACTACCTTTTTTTTATATACCTATTCCACCATGACCCTCTCTCCGTCCGCTACTACCGCTACCGCCACCACCCAGCCCGTCGAGGCAGACAAAGTCCAAGGCACCACCACCAACACTTCCACCACTGCCGCCACAGTCAACAACTCCGCTGCTGCTGCCCCAAGGAAGCGAAGAAGAAGAGCTCCTGCCACTGGAGCCACCGAAGACTGCTTTGCCTGCAAGAAGCGTCAAGTCAAGTGTGATCGACGCCGTCCCTACTGTGGACAGTGCGTCGAGATTGGAAAAGAATGCTCTGGTTACCGTACCACTCTAACATGGGGCGTCGGTGTAGCTAGCCGTGGAAAGCTTCGTGGCATGACCCTGCCCGTTGCAAAGTCTCCTCCCTCCACTGCCACACAGGAACCCAAGACACAACGGATGAACTCAATTGCTTCGACTAGCACCTCATCTGTCTCGTCAAGTTCCCACCAAGATCAACATCACTTTGGCCACCGAGCCAGCATCGACTTTGGCGCCCACTCTCCGAGGAGTCCTACCAGTCCCATCTACTCGGCGCCACAGGAATACCAATACTTCAGCCCCACCAGCCCAATACCCATTCCCACCCCCTCTACGCCAATGGGTTTCCCCATGCAGCAACATCGAGACCAGTTTGAATTCCTGCACCCACAGGCTTCCAAGTTCAGGCATCACCAGCCTCATCGAGGTCCCCTTCAACGGTTACAAACCACACTGCATGTTCCTTTTGAAGACAACGGCATGTCGGCTTCATCCGCCTCCCTGGGTACCTACAGCGACAGTGACTTTCCCTCACCAAGCGAGTTCCCAAACACCCCAGTCGACGAGTACCCATTTGCAGACCCCTCGATGCCACGCTACCCATCATACGACCACGCCCCCATGGGCTCCCTGGACAACTACTTCCTCAACGAAGCCCCTCGCTCATTCCCCACTGGGGACGACATGAGCTCCAGTGTAAGCTCGGATCAAAGTCTACAAGACTATCCCGAAGTCAGCACGGCCCCGCAAAGCATGGGCCCTATCGTCTTTCAAGATGTTTTTACCGAGGGAGAGATGAGCTCGAATTTCAATGGATTTCAGCCTGGCTTTTCCTTTCTCCCGTCGGAGGGTATGTCTTCCTATGGCTCTGGCCCCCTGTCTCAAGACGTACTGTCGCTCACCACTTCTATTCCCCAGAGTCTTACCATCGCTTCGCCTCTTTCCCCGCGGATGCTATTCCTCCTGGACTACTACGACAAATTTATATGCCCGGTGTTGGTGGCTTTTGACAGTCCACAGAACCCCTACCGGATGCACATAATACACCTGGCGATGCAGAACGAGGAGTTGCAGAATGCCATCGGCGCTCTGGCTACGAACAACATGCGCATGCGCGGGGGTATCGAGGGACGCCGCGTTAGCGTGCTCCACGACACACGACTGATACCAGATCACGCCTATTCACAAATGACGGCCAAGGAGTTGCGCGAGATGCATGGCGAAGCGACCGACGAAGAGAAGCACTACAAGGCCAACTCTATTACTCTGCTCAACAAGAAGCTGATCGACTTTGATGGATCGCAGGACGATTCTGTACTCGCCACGCTTCTTATTCTCTGCCTCTTTCATGTTTGCGACTCTGGCTTCACAAAGTTCAAAACACAGCTGGCAGGCGTGCAGAAGCTTCTGAGCTTGCGCGACCGGAGCATCCAGTCGGAGTTTGTCGGATGGATTGAGACCTTCTTCACTTGGTTCGATGTCATGACGGCAGCGGTGAACGACCGGGAGATTGAAGTCCGTGGTGACTCGCTTGACATGATGAATCTGAGCGCCAACCTGGGTGCGCTTGAACACCACTCTGGCTGCGAGGGTCGACTCTTCAAACTCATTGCTCGGCTTGGAAGGCTCAACCTTCTCAGCCAGAACCGGCCTGTACGCGACAACGACGACACGCCTACATCATCACCACGGCCTAAGAAGGCCAGGGACTTTTATTCTTTTAGTTTTGACAACATGGATGGTAATGGTTGGGGCACGCCTATTAACGAGCATGTCGATCCCTTTGCATCGGCTCGCGACGATCCTCGCTCTGCGTTCTGGACTGAGTGGAACGACCTGCGGATCCGGCTGCAAGAGTGGGAGTTTCCATCACCTGGAGAAGTGCATTCGAATTCGTGCGACGCAACATCGTCGATGCTTGTCATGTCTCCAGAGCAAGCTGCGTTGCTCCACATTAGCGAGAGCTTCCGCTACGCAGCACTGCTCTACACTGAGCGCCTTGCGCAGCCAACGCTTCCACCATCATCACTGAATTTCCAGAACTTGGTAGCGCAAGGGCTCTATCACATTTCGCAAATTGGCATGACGAGCTGTGTCAACAAGTTTCTGCTGTGGCCACTGTTTATCGTGGGCACAGAGTGCGTTGATCCCGAGCACCGCGCCGTTGTACGACAACGATGCGTGGAGATTCAACGTGAGAGCGGCTTCTTCAACAACCTTAGTGGGCTAGAAGTGCTAGAGCGGGTATGGCGCGAGGACGACGAGTGGTCAGATGGTGATGTCCACGTGCCAAGGCAAAACGGGCCTTTTAGTACAGTGCAGCATCCGTTCCGATGGAGGAGAGCCATGGATCGCGTGGACGGGGAGTACATTGTGATTTGATTTGGGTTGAGCTTGCTGGACACAAGCAGTACGAAGGCTACGACGAAGAAACGGGCATGAAAAACATTATGATTGGGGGCTTGGGCATGCATGGACTGGGTGGAAAAGGTAATAGGTTTTCGGCTCTGTGAGGAGTTTGTTTTTATTGTCATTTTTTCCTTTTGTATTTTGCGTGTAGCGATATTCCAAAGGGCGATTATGTTCGCAGGCTCAGTGTTGCAAGCCGCAGTGCATCGAGCAAAAGCTTGTAGATGCATACCCAGATACGTAGTAAACGAGTTCAACAAAATGTATTACTAGTCAGATCCCACGTTGGAGATGAAGGGTGGTTGTGGGTTGTGCTGGGATCGCGATTCTGGACCAGCATCGCATATGCAGTCCCCACGTCGATGCGAGGCTGTGCAAGTGATCATGGCCGACGCGGATGCAGACGCAGCGCCTGGAGATGCACACGCCCTGAGCGCAGCGGTCCCCAAGCGCAGCTACACAGGATTTGCGCAGTTGCCGGTCAGCCATGGTGGTGCATGACGACGCAGATCCGCCGTGTTGCGTGACGGGTGTGGATATGTGTATGGGTGTGTGCGGATGCTTGTGAGAGTGTGAGACTGACTACTCTGCTAGACGGGGCGCCACATGCAACGTCCGATCTGCATCGAATACAGCCGTAGCCGTAGCCGTAGCAGTAGCAGTAGGACCGCGTGCCCTCGTCGTCGTCGCTTCTTGGCTCTCTGCATCGTCATGGGCTGGGCCGGCCAGTCAGGATGCACAGAGGGTAAGCAGGCAGCTCCAGCTGATGGCGCACATCATGTCAGCTACACTACTGCTCCTTAGGAGTAGGCGGCGCACCAAGGTGTTCGCGACGATCAGGGTTTACGGGGAGGACGCATATCGGTTGCGTCCACCCCTCTTGAACTCTAACGCTGATTGCTGACAACCGAAGTTGCTTGGCCTGGCCAACCCGCCAATCCCCCCCTATAGGCGAGAGGCGGGGCACGACCTCTATCCGGAGCCGCCCATGAACAGTTTCCACAGTACCCAGTCACACCCGTACGACAGGGGAGGGGACCCCCTCCCACCCGGCCCCATGTCGTGCTTCTTCGAAACTTTTTTCCGGTGGTTTTGTTCGGAAAATGGTAGGTTTGCCGCCTCTCCAAGCTGCTGTTGCTGAGGCTGAGATGGATGATGCCACATGCCCCAAGCGTACCGTACCACAAGGCTGAGAGTGAGGCTCGCACACTCGTACACGCACGCACGCACGCACGCACGCACCTACACTACACAGGCTCGCGCACTCCGGCTCAGCTTGCCCGCAAAAAGAGATCTACGGTGATCTCTGCCAGGTACCGGGCATCATCATCATCATCATCATCATCATCCACATCCACATCCACATCCACCAATTGATACTACCACCTGGAACGATCTTATTTCGGGCTAGGCGGGGAAGTCGCCTCGGTAGCACATGCAATTACCTCATTCGCTGCGACTGTCGTCGGGTATATCAATATCGACTCGTAGCGACATATAGCCCGGATTTGGTTTTTGCGGGGGTGGGAAAGAGTTAACGATGCATCAGTACTAGCACACGGCACCCTGCTTCCTCCCAAAGAAGATACCAAGGGCTATTTGATTCATATTGACGGGGCAAGACACCAAAAGAGAAAGCAAGCTGATGGCTTACACGCCCTCCGCGCATCTCACTGCCTCAGTGATGGTTGCGTACCCCGCTGTTGTACATGGCCAAATTTCAGGAGAAGGGCCTCCTCTACACCATCGCATTGTTGGACTAAGTGGTCCAATCTCCGTGGCGGACGGGTTTCAGCCAACGGGAAACGTCGTTACGAGACAGCTATCCAAGGCCAAGATGTTTCGCCTGGGTGTTGCGCTCGGTGAAAGCGGAATTGCAATGCCCGTACTAGGCGGCCAATTGTATCCCAGAACGTGTGACGCGCTTGTCGGCCAAAGCGCGCCTTAAAAATAGTGCGAGTACGTAGGTACCTGGTATTCCAGGCGTGGGGGTTAGAAAAAGCATTGAATGCCGTACCGGCATGACCGACTGGCTGGCCCAACGTGCAGCTTGGTGGTTAGCAGTGAAGATCACAATGTTAAGGGAACGTTACATGTCTCTGGCGAGCTGTTATTTGCGTATACCACCAGAGCCACTACGAGGTTAGCAATAGGCCTAGCTTAAGCGCACTTGGGTACGCCAGGCGCTCAAAAGGCTTCTTGGCAGCTCCGCACCGGCCGTCAGGCCCAATTGTGCCATTGCTCTAGTGCCAAAAGGGTTCGTCCTTTGGGCCTTCAATGTCTCGCATGGCAAATCCGGGGAAGCAATCTTGTACGTAACGCTCCCTCTTTGCTGTCATGTGGTACTCGCTACATAACCACCAAACAGGCGTATGGGTGCGAATAGCCGCCACAGCGTGCATGTGTGCCCATTCTCATAGTACTAAGTAGTACACTACCGAGTCATCACGTTGCGATCTGGCGTGGGGCCACTTGCATGTCTCATAGAGCAAGATCTCGGGGCGGGCCATTGCAAAAAAAAAATCTACAAAAAGGCCCGACGGCAGCCTTCGGCAGCTGCCTCTCTGTCCTCGAGCCAGCCGGGCGAAGGATGCAGCCGTCAAAGGGGTCATTTACTGAATTGTCTGGCTGGCTGCAGTGACGCAATGGCCGCAGTGGCAAAATAAATAAATAGCAGATAACGTGAAGGCGCGTCGCCGGCGCATAATTATCCAGAGCCAAATTTGACAACAACGCGTCCGGTCTCTCCGCGACAACACCGACCAGAAATTGATTCTCTCTTGGTATTCCTCTACTTTTGGCAACGCATCCGGACTTTTCGCATTTGAGCCGGAGATGGCGAATTCCGCAATATGAGAAAATGGGCCTATGTACTATATTACATGTCAGGTACTAGTCGTGTTAACTCGCGGCAATATTGTTCCGAGTCTAAGGTCCCTTAATGAGTCGGCAGACAAGACAACACACAGAGCGCATGTGAAGATGCCGTTTGCAGCTTCCAACACCCCTCCCCTCAGCCAGGGCACACGATGTCACCACATCTCGGGTCAAAACAAACATGTCCGTGCAATCATGTCGTCATGCCAGCTGATGAATTGAGCACAGACTGCTTGGGAGATACCTTTCCCTTCAGAAAACGAAGATGCCAAGCACACGACTCGACCACACAAAGCGTATTTTTTTTTTAGAATTAGTGTACTGATTGTCAATTGGCTACTCGTTTGCTGGAAGACCAGTGCATTGTAACTCCCTCTTCCTCGTCCATCGTGTACGGACCCAGTGTACTATACTGTGCAGGACAACGGCAGGCCTCCAACCTCCTCTAATCTCAAGTGCTGTCAGCTAGATACCGAATCTTCTCCGTCACTGGGCCAAGACAATTACAATGGCATCATTTTCAACGCGCACCGATAACAGAGCAGAGAAAAAAACTCCCAAATGGTTGAGCTATGGCCTGCCGCTTTGCAACAAGGCCGTTGAAGCTCAGACCTCTCGCGTAGATATTTGCGGTTCACTCTCCGTCATGCCCATCCTTATCAGTGGTGGTCCTTGCTTCTTACCATCCCATCTCAACTTGACCTACATACAGACATATGCAGGTTCTGTACAACAACCGGTTCATTCACCTCTGCCTGTATACACACATGCGTGTGCCGTGTGCAAGAGTCGCGGCTATTGTCAGCCAAGCTGCAAGCGCAAATGCACCTAGTAGTCCTAATGGGGCCGGCATTCCAGACAGCCATTACTTCGCGCGGCTCAAATGTCTTGGAAGCCTACCATCCTTGGTCTGCGCCCCAACCGCCGTAGCCTTCTTTTTTTTTACGCCCGTAAAACCCATTGCTGTGAGATCACGCCACACCGCCTGTTGTTGTTTAGGATAGCCTTAGGTCCCCACATACGTTTTGTTGCCAAAGAAAATGGTCACGGCCTCTGGGCGGGCGACCGGCGCAATAACATTCCGCCCGAATAACTAGGACGGCCCCTTGTCTCTGATCGCGGCCGCTCCAGCATAGCCCGTCAACACCTCGCTGGCCAATGCAATCCCTTTCTAGACGCGATTTTGTAACTCCAGGATAGCTTGCAACACTAGTGCACCGAATGTTCGATTCGAGAGCCCACATACATGGTACGGGCATGAAGCTCAATTTGTACAAGGCTGTGCAGATAACGTGCAGATATGTAGCCGCGGGAGGTAAACCGCTTGTGGAAAGCTTCAAGTCGCTGTCTACTCAGCTGCACGCAGAGAGCCACCTCTCTACCATAGACGAGGGCTAGATCTCCGTGCGCTCGATGATCGACGAGCTCTGATATTAACTCTAGGCCATAATGTCCAAGCAGTTACCTTTTGGCGTCTCGAACGAAGTTCGGAGAAAATGATTACACGACAACCATTGACTGATCGACTGGTTCGACTGACTGACTGACACACACATGAGACCCTGCGCGAACGCTGTCAAACTTGTCAAAGGGGTCGTCCAGGCAGGCCTTGAGACCTGCACCCACCAGAACCAAACTTCTGGAAGCCCTCCAACTGGCAGTGATTGGCGGATGGAAAAAAATAGAATACACCGTGAGAATGCCATGACGTTTGACTAACGGATGTACAGCAGAATACGAGAAAATCCTACCAGAAACCCCCATAGCAATACCCACAGATAAGCGTCTTGTTGCTCAAACACCATGAAATCCTTCCGCCATGTCATGTCGCCATATCCCCTCATCAACCCCGTCATTCGCACTTTTACGAAAGAAAAACTTGGTACCTGAACCCATACCCATCAAAGTAACTTTCCAGACGGTCTTGTTTTCGCACGCCACCCGCGATTACGTCTTACTCACCTTCTTTCTTTCAACCATGTCCTCCGAACATGTACTGGGAGAAGGCCGATTACCCCCCACACACACACAGTAACACAGCCATTCACGACTCTACGCGCACCTACATCGGCACCATCCTACATCTGCATCAATAGCTTAATCGATAGCTCCCTTTATGCAATGTGATTGTGCCTGCTTCACCCGCTCACACCTCCTGTACTGTACTGGCTTGTCTCTCTCTCTCTCTCTCTCTCTCTCGTATGGTACACTCGGCAGCCAAACTAACGGCGCCCCCTCCCCCTCCCCCTCCCCCCTTCACCCACACCTCGCTTTTCTGCTTCTATGTACACGCACGAATGCACGCACACATCCCGTAGCCCGCCCCTCCTCCACCTCCCCCACACGCCTACACACCCCTCTCCTCCTCGCCCAAACGACTCATGTACTCACTACTGCAGCAGGTGAGAAAGCCACCATCGCAAAGCCGCTTGTACGAGTGCCGCCATGCCGTCCCCCCCCCCCCCCCCTTCCCACACCCTTCTCCCGCCTCTTCCATCCGCCATCCGAGCGTGGGGGATGCACATCCGCGATAAAGAAGAAGAAAAAGAAGGAATATGCACGGCATGCTGCGGCAAGCACCGGGTGGTGCGGCACAACAGCGGCTTGGGCACTTTTCCATGGCGGTTCTGGAATCTTGTGGTGTGCGTCGGTGGCTTGAAGCCACTGCATTCTGTGCATCTCCCTTGGAAAAGTGAGGGGAAGTGAGATAGACGAGCGTAAGGTTCAACAACAACAGCAACAACTACCAACTACCATCATACATACAAAAAAAACTAGTAAAGCAAAGAAACATGTACATGAAGGCCAATCAAAATAAAAAAAAAATTATGCGCCTAGATGTACTTGAAATTGCCCTTTGGCAATGTAAAACCCCATTTCATGCGACTTTCTTGCATTTCCCCACCCCTGCAGTACACACCTTACATACAGACTACCTTACAACTCACCACATGTGGGGCACCAGCAGCAAGACACAGACAGACAGTGCCAGCAAACCTCCCCCCCCTCCCCAAAAATCCCAACCTACTACTCGCGCCTTTTCCTTTACACCCCCAAACCCTGGCCCCCCTGACCTAGCCAAACGAACTCCAGTTCACCAGCGCATTCCACACGCAAGCGAAACTTGACTATGTTGGGAAGGTGCCTAGATAACCAGACACTTTACTTTCTCTCTTTCTCTCTCCGTCTCTCTCTCTCTCCCCCACGCCCGCACACACACACGCGCGCGCGGAACGCATGGGAAGGGCAAAGAAAGATAAAAAAAAACATATGGCACACAAGAGATAGGGTACGCGCGGGTTTAGTTTGACAAGTTCTGACATAGCATTGTAAGGAATACGGAAGGAAGAAAATAAAAAGGGGGGGGGGAAGGGTTGGTGGTGGTGTGGGGATTGCATGAATTCGAGTGTCAGGAACGGGTGAGATGCGAGATGCGAGGCACACACACACACACACACTCGTTCGTACTTACTCACTCACACATACACACGCGCATAGCACACATGACTTGAGAGGACCACAAGCGGCGTGTTTTGGAGGGAGGGAGGGAGGGGCAGAGTCCCGTAATGGTGTGTAGTAGTGGGTTAAAAGGGCGAAAGGAGGGGTGTTGCGGGGGAAGGGGGTTGGACGGCATAACGGCCTGAAGCGGGAAGGGAAGGATTGAGCAGGCAGGGCAACACATTGTTTCGGAGGTTTTTTTTCTTGTTGGACCACCTAATTTGAACAAGTACCGCGCGCGCACATACACACACACACACACACACACACACACACACACACACACACACACACACACACATGCATGTTTCTGCCTAGTCTTGCTCTTTTCGTGTTTTTTTTTCTCGGACGAAATAAGATGTATGTACATGGTTCCTTTCCGCCTTCATCGTCATTTTTTTTCAATAGTAATAATGATCCATGACAAACACCCATGATCCTCCCCTCCCACGGAGAACAATTACCCAAAATGTGGCTTATTCCTATTGATGATGTATTCGTCTTTGGCATTATTTTCGGGCAGTAATACATCTTTCCTTGGAACTTTTTAGCTTCTTACCCAAGGCTACGGGCCTATCTCTCGTCTGTCTCCTCCTCCTCTTTGTAGCTAATGCGAGCCGTAGCCCTGGCAGACTTGTTCCGTGTGGGCGCAGGCCGTGCGTTTCGCTTCTGCACGGCAGGAGCATCGTCCTCGTCTGTGCCTATGTCGCTAAGTGGAGGTGTGCTAAGCTCGTCTTCGTCGTCCTCGTCAGACGCTGACGGTGTTGGCGCTGATTTCGGGACCGTCTTCTTCTTGCTAGTGGTAGACTTTGATACACCCCGCTTAGCCTGGCTCGTGGCTTTCTTGGCTGCCGTCTTCATGGGCGTCTTGATATCTTCAGGTGGAGCAATCTCACTCGTTACAGACCCCGCGTCACCTGCCGTCTTACGCTTCTTCTTCGCGGGCGTGGCCGCGCCCTCGTCCTTCTTCTTGATGATGCGTTTTGGGGGTCTGAGCCAGTCCTCCATTCCTGGAGGCCAGTACACTCGTCCCTCTGGTCCTCCCATGCCTACCTCCTCCTCTGGAACTACTGGCGGTGGCTTGTCCTCTTCCTCAGCGTCTTCAATCTTTGCATCCAAGTCGTCAAGATCGTCTGTCTTCTTCTTTCTCCCCTTTGTCGCAGCCTTCTTCGCCTTAGGTTTCCATGGTCTATTTTCATCCTGTCGTGTGTGAGGTAGGATGTCGTTGAATGTGCCAAACCCTGGAAGTTTGAAAGTCCGCATAAGCTCAAACACTGCCTGCTCCTTGTCCTTTGCCTCGATCATCAAGTCCATGGTATCTGGACAAGGAGGCAAGGTCATGACACGCGGTGAATGCTTCCTTCGTGTAGTGCGAGTGATGGCTGCAGGCGTAGGCTCCGAGTAATGCATCTTGGGTGTGATACCTTTCCTCTGCCATGTCTTGAGTATACGCGGGTAGAGTTCCATGATATCCTTCGTGCCCTCGCGGATCTGTGTCTCATCGAAAATGATATTGTGATGATGGTAGTCCAGCACAAATGGAATGTTGAGCTCTTCACATAGAGGGAGCAGCTCATGCACCGACCAGACAACGTCGTCGTTCTCAAGCACAAGTCGATTCTTAACGCTCTGAGGAAGCTTCGCATAGTTCTCCTTGAACCTCTCAATCGCAGCTGGCTTGTCACCATAGGCTCCTCCAAGATGCAGAATCATAACAGCGTCACGATTCTGTTGCTCTGGTAGCTTCAATAAAGAAAGCATCTCATCATGATACTCAAGATCCCTCATGGCATTGTCAATGACCTGCTTTCGCGGCGACCCCAGCTGAGTGAACTGTCCTGGATGTGTAGTTACTCGATGGCCTAGCTCAGCAATCACTTTGCCCACTTCTTGAAGTGTATCAGCGGCGAATGGCTCAAGCTTGTAGCCATACTCTTCGTGGCTCGCAAAGGGAAACATCTCGCTGCTTAGTCGCATAAACTTGATGCCATACTTGTCATTCCAGCGCACCATCTTGCTTACGTCTCGCGCATTGGCGAGTCCTATCTCTTCGACATATTTCATACCGCGCTCGATATCCGCTGGCTGGTCCTTATCAGGGCGGTTCTTGGTGGCATGCTCCGGCTGAGACGGGTCCTTTAGAGGATGACGATGCTCGATAATACTCGCAATACGACAAGTTCTGGAGCTGAAGACAGGAGGATTCGAGCTTCGAAGGTACGTATTGAGACAGGCCTGTACAGAAGTCTGTTAGCTTATATCAATTAGTATATGTAGAACACGTACATAGCCCAACCGTCCTTTCCATGGAAGAGGAAGATATGAAGAGTTAACCGGTGGAGGTCTTGATAAAGCCTCTTTAAACTCTGCCTCCTCACCCTCTGCGCCTTCAGCATCTTCAGGGTCGCCAGAAACACCAGCATCGGCTGCAGGATCAACAACGCCATTAGACACCTTGACACTGGTGTCTTCCTCTTCCTCCTCAACCTCGACTTTCTGCGAACCAGCCTTCTTTCTCTTGTTATTCGTAGCGGGAGCTACCGGCGCGGTAGTCGCAGGAGGCTTCAGAACAGAGTCTATTGGTGCGTCTTCATGTCCATCGGGAGATGCTCGTAACGCAGCAGCTCCATCAAGAATCTCGGGATTGACAGTAGGATCAGTCTTTTCAGCTTTAACGCCACGGGACGATTGGCGACGCGGTAGCTTCGATACATTCGGTGGCAAAGGCACTTCTGTCTTGCGAACTTGTGATATATCCATGGCAAACGCAGGACTGTCCACAGAAGACGGTGTACTCGCCACGGCAGACCTCTTCCTTTTAGGAGGCATGGCGGGAAAAGGAGAAGAGATTACGCTTGAAAACTGTAGGTAGGGTGGCGCACAAAGTAATTGTGTAGTTCGGCATACGACACGAAGGCTGATGCTGCGGTGAAAAGAGCGTAGCATGTGCCTGGGATTGTTGGTGTACTTCTGTACTTTAAACAGCAGATGCGAAAAGGAAGGGGCTGAAACGAGCAATTTTGCTCTTTCAGCGCCATCATGGATGGGCTAAACGCGTCGAGCTCGCCACGACGTCATCGAATTGATGTTCGCGTTATGACGATGGTTCGTCTTGCGAGATCGGCTTCGGGGCGATCGGCTACGATTAGCGCGATCTCATCTGGATTCCGTTTCCATCACCCTTGCCCTGACTCCACAACATCGAGAATCTGATCTCGATGCCGGGAACCCTTTAAATGTGTTTGTACTTGTACATTTGGGGCCAACCTTAAGTTGTGTAAAGTATTTATCAAGACTCCATTATGCAATTTCGCATACCATACATAATTCCTAAACACTACACATTCGAGTTTCATAAAGTAGACCCAACAACCAAACAACCACTAAATGCTAATGAAAAAGCTTTTCTCGCCCTCCTTAGGCTCCACCCACGCGCGCTTCAAAATAGGATCGGCACAGCTGATCCTAATACGTTCGGGCGTAGCCGGAGAAACAAGGTGCAGAACAGAAGTCTCGCCAAACTCTGCGCGAGCAGACCGAAGAGCATCGCGGATTGCAAAGAAGACACAGCTGCCCATGAAGAGTGGTGGTTCGCCTGTAGTTCGTCGCAGTTAGCAATCCGTTTCTGAGGAACTCTGAATCATAGAAGAGAGAAGAGAGAACTTACCAACACCCCTACTTCTCTGAATGGTCCTAAGGTTCTCCCAGTTCACATCCTTGAGCAAACTGACATTGAACTCCTGCGGAATATCTCTGAATCCGGGGATCTTGTAGTTACCCGGCCCCTTTGTTGCAATATTGCCTGTTCCCCTCAGCCACAGAGACTCCTCCGTCGTAAACAATCCTTGACCCTGCACGAAAGCGCCTTCGATCTGGCCGTAGTCAATAGCTGGATTAATGGAGCGACCGACATCCATCTTGATATCCGCACGGCGGCACGTCCAGTCACCGGTCAATGTGTCGATTTCGACTTCGGCAGCAGCGACACCCTGGGTGAAGTAGAAGAACATCTGTCCCTTGTTCTCGCCCCAGACGTAGCCAATATCTGGTGTCTTATAAAACCCTTGGGCAGAGAGATTTACACGGTCGAAATACGCGGCATGAGCGAGATCCTTCATAGTCGCCTTGGGTCCTAGCTTTTCCTTGAATGGAGCCAGGCGCTCATTCAGCTGTACACACGCGTTGTGGATCGCGTATCCGTTCAAATCAGAGGATGCTGAAGCTGCTGTAGATGAAGTGTTTGCAACAGTATTTGTGGCGGTCTCGCTGATAAACACATCCTCTAGTGGTACGCCGAGCGTCTGAGCAGCAATCTGTACCATCTTGGTATGCAATCCCTGACCCATCTCCGTACCACCATGCGCAACAAGGACACTTCCATCGTGGTATATGTGTACAAGTGCACCAGCTTGGTTCAGGAAAAGCGCAGTGAATGAGATACCAAACTTGGTCGGTATAATTGCAAGACCCCGCTTGTTCCACTTGTGCGTCTTGTTCCACTCTTCGATTTCTTGACGGCGCTGTGCGTAAAGGGATTCTTCCTGCACTTGCTTGTACATTAGAGGCACATACCAATCCTTAATCTCCTGGTTAAAATGTGTGACCATGTTCGTTTCCGGTGAGTACATGTTGATCTCTCTCAGTCGTTCGACTGGAATCTTGAGATGGTCGGCAATCTCTTCCATGTATGTCTCAGCAATGAACATGCCCTGCGGACCACCGAAACCACGGAACGCTGTGTTAGAGACGGTGTTTGTCTTTGCGACACGGCCGCGAACGTGGATGTTTGGTATCGAATAGACACCATCAATGTGAGAAAGTGAGCGCTCGACAACTGCACCAGAGAGATCTTGACTCCAGCCACCATTGCAAATAACATCTGCATCCAGTGCTTGAATCTTGCCGTCCTTATTGACACCAACTTTCCATCGACCAAGGAAGGGGTGGCGTTGTCCAGATGTCGCAATGTCCTCATCTCGATTAAGCATACAGCGTACAGGCTTGCGGACCTTGTTTGCTGCACAAGCCACGATACCAGCGAGCTGAATCGAGCGTGTCTCCTTGCCACCAAAACCACCACCCATGCGCTTGACACGGGTGACAATCTTGTTCGCAGCGACACCAACCACTTTGGATACATAGGCTTGAGTCTCAGCAGGATTTTGTGTACTACTAAAGATTTCCATCTCGCCATCCTCAGGCTTAGGAACAGCCAGACAAGCCTGGGTTTCGAGGTAAAAGTGCTCCTGACCACCCATACGCGCGACGCCAGTGAAGACATGATCAGCCTCGGCGAATGCCTTCTCAGTATCACCCTTCTTAATGTGACGGAAGTGATTGAAGAAACTTTCCTGTTCAACGGCTTCTTCGATTGTGAAAATAGCTGGGAGCTCCTCATACTCAATCTTGACTGCTCGTGCAGCTTGCTCTGCGTGCTTAGCTGTGTCGGCAACGATCATACCAATGGGCTGACCTGCAGTAAACACCTTGTCGATCGCAAAGAAGGTTTCGTCACAAGCCGGTGCTCCCCACCAGTTGGCTTCAGGCGAGGCCAGGTCTCTATGGTCGACGTACGCAGCAACACCTGGCAATTCCAATGCAGCATCCGCATCTACCGACAGCAGCTTCGCGTGTGCTTTGGTCGAAAGCACCAAGCATCCGTAGAGTTCGTTCCGTTGCAGAGGGATATCGTCTGTATACTGCGCTTCGCCCGTGCATTGCTTCATCGCAGCAACATGGTTCTTCGACTGACCAACCTCCTCTTGAATGTACGCCTCCGCAGCCTTTTCATCCCTCCTGCCCTTGCTGATATCTCTTTCAATCTCTCCAATAGCCTGAGTATCAACAGCAACTTCCTCAGCATGCAACTCAACCAATACCTCGTGATAGAACTTGTAAAAGAAGCTGAGAGCCAAAGACTTCCTGTATGTTGCCATACCACCTGGCACACCAAATCGCAGGTCAAAATCCTGCTCCAGCTGATCCATGACCCCTTCCAAAGTCTTGAGCTCTGTAAACTTCTTACCCTGGAGGAATTCCATTGCTTTGCGCGCATGTGTTGTCGTTGGTGCCATACCGCCGTATACAAGATCCACGCTCTCAACCATATGTTGTTCATCCAGGGAGATCCTCAAAGCAGCATTCACAATTGCGATATCATCATCCTTTCTCTTTGCCTGCTTGTACGCGCGGATGTACTCACCCTTCTCCTTTGCAATCGGAATCTTCAAGCCTGCAATAACTGCATCGGGTGGTAGCGCAGTTTGCCTGTAACCCTTGAAGAAAGTCGACATGGGTATCTCTTTTGTCTCTTTGAGGCTCTTAGCAACAAGTGTCGCATTTGTAGCGACAAACACCGGATTGAGATCCGAGATGGGACTCGCCGTGGCCAAATTTCCTGCTGGCGTACCCACATTTCTGATTTGCCTTCCAGCAAAATACCGGATCTGCTTCAGAATTGTTGCAAAAGGCTGGCCCCGGGCTAGCCCATAGTGTTCAAGAGCTTCTTTGCAAATCTCTTCAAGATCCGTTAGGACAACGTTTCCGCCAATCTCAAGGTGGTCGTCATTCAACTTGAATTGACGCAACTCTGGAATATCGCCAACAAACACTGACGAATTGTAGTTCATGCCCTTGAACTTGATTTCAATCTGCGTTTCAGTCGAACCACCAATGAGCTTCGCTGACGGATAGGCATCCTTGATTTCCAGTAGTTGCTGTAGAGTTGTCGGCCGGAACCACCTCTTCTTCTTGTTTCCGAATGCAAGCGGCTTGAACTCGTGTTTCCGTAATTGTGGGGGGAAGATCAACTCTGTGTCGGGCTTATACTCGATGAATCCAGGTGGTGTGAACCTCTTGATCGGCTGCTCTTCTCCATCTGCTCCATTTTTCTGGCAGCAACCTCCACCGCCGCCCCCATTCTTCTCCATGCAACAACCACCGCCCCCATTTGCTTTCGCCTTGCCACATCCAGACTGTACACTGAAGCTTTGTGCTGCGTCTAATATTGGCCTGTATCCTGTACACCTGCAGAGGTTGCCGTCGAAGGCCTCTTCCACCTCGAGCTCGGTGGGTTCAACATTGTTGCGAAGCAGAGCATACAATGACATGACGATGCCCGGTGTGCAGAAACCACACTGGCTGCCATTGCCCTTTGCTATCCGTTCTTGCGCTGGATGTGGTCGCTTTACATTTCCAATTCCTTCGACAGTTATTACGTGTTTGCCGTCTACGCTGACGAGGGGTGCAAGGCATGCGTTTACGGAGGCGTGATATATCTTCTTCGTGGTTGGGTTAAACTGTGACACAACCTAGCAAACTGTTAGCTCTCTTGGTAGCTGCCAGCACTGGGTTCTCGAAATCTTAAAAGATCTCTAGAGTAGGCTCTCCTCTCTCTTTTAATACCAACAAAACATACCACTGTACATGCACCACACCCACCCTCTGCGCATCCCAATTTTGTCCCCGTCAATCCAATCCCCCTCAGATACTCCAACAGTGTGACTTCGGGGTCCGCACTGTCCAGTACAACTTTTGTTCCATTCAGGTAGAATCGAAGAGTATCATCATATTCTGCGGTAACCTCGTTAAGCGACTTCGTTGCCTCGCTCGACACTGCAGGCTGTGGTGTAACGATTCCCGGTGCCATGGTTGCCACGCTGCACTGGTGTGGCAAAGGAAGAGGGGAAGAGGGGAAGAAGAAACGTCAAAGCGCAGAGGTAAACGGAAAGAGGAAGAAAAAGAAAAAGAATAACGGAGTAAGTAAACGCAAGCGTATCACAAGGTCAATCGCAGACTGGCCCAGCTAGTTACAAGAATGCCTAGGGTCTTCTGTCCTGGCGATGTGGGGAACGAGCGGAGAGCAAGTTGGACAATATGGCCCTGCAAGAAACAGTTACCTCGGCGGGCTATATCAAAAGCTAAAAGCAGTCAGTTGGGTAATGTAGTCCATAAATCACCTAGCAGACGCACGAATCAGCGCCGACACAATTGTGTCTTATCTCAGGACGCGTTCCAGCTGCAGAGGGTCCACGCAGGAGCTCGCCGATGGCCGTCGTTCGCGCTTCTGCCCCTCCATCCTTGCCCCACCCCGCGGCTCAGCGACATTGCACGTGAGCAATGACTAGATTCAGTATTTGGCTTGTTGTGCCGTTACAAGAGGCGAAGTCCGCCCATAATAATTTGGACCGGATTGCCGGCGAGGATTAGTGTGTCACTGTAGATATCACATTGGAAAGCATAGGAGGATACGAAGAACGATTTTCGTGGAAGAGCTAATTGCACACCGCAAGGGCTCCATTTTTGATAGTATAATACTAGTACTGTACAGGACAGAGAAACAAGAAGGCCTATGCAGCTCAGGTATATGCACCACGTGTTCGCACGTGTCGGTTGACGGCTCGAAACCAACTCCAAAGTCACACCCAGTGATCTGCAGAGGGCGATCGAATGCAAGTCTACGTACGATGAGGTACGTGCATTAAGGCAGCAAACGCTTTTGTTGATAGGAAATCCAGGGGAATATCGCGGGATGTCCTTGTAATAATGGATGGGCGAGGGGCGAGGGGCGAGCTCATGGTAGACGCAATTAGACAGCAGACGTATAGGTAAACGGTGGGCTTTGCAAGATACTCTTGGAAAACCGCAACGACGCACCGTCGATCATCATGTGGAAATGATAACATGAACGCACAGCTATTGGTGCAACCCAAGGACTGGGGAGCTCGCAACAGTCATCCATACGGCAGGCATAGATCAATCGATGTTCGGCTCACGCAAAGCAGCGACGGTAACGGTGTCCCTTTGTAAGCATAGTCAAAAGCCACACCATCGTAGATAGTATGCTCGAGGACAGCCAGTGGTTGGAGGAGCATGAAGTGCAAATGTGTCATCCGCAAGTCATGAAAACATCGGGTATGCGCAGATCAAGAAGTCGAAAAAAATAGGTCCAGAAAATCGGGTATAGTAATCATGCCAGGCAGCAAAGATCCAAGCATTGGTCATGCAAACATGCAGGGCTCGGCGAAGTTCAGCAAGATGTGCATCGGTCACAGCGACTAGGTGGCGACTATGCGCCTGGGGGTCCTTGGGCACCTTGGCCGCCTTGTTGTTGCTGAGCAATGGACGCATACCACATTGCCAGGTAGTTCTGATAGCCGCCATAAACGGCATACGGGTCAGCAGCAGCGCCACCTGCAGCGGGGGCAGCGGCTTGCGGAGCTTGTGCAGGCGCAGCAGCCTGTCCATACGACGGTGTCTGTTGATGTGAGTAGCCATTATCCTGGTTGCCATTATCACGTCGGCGCGAATTGTTCTTTTCCCGCTGAGTTCAGTTAGTATTGTATAAACATGACCAAACTCGGAGCACACATACCACTTGATCAACCTTCTCCCAGATTGCTCGCTTGGCATCATCGATGGCTTGACGTGTTCCAACAAGGCCAATCTCGCGCTCGATATCAGCGCCAGATGCTTGCGAAACGTTGATCTTGCAGCCAGTCTCGGACTGCATGGATTTGATGGTTTCACCGCCTAGGTTCCTGTTAGTATGATGATTGCATATCAGATATCAGCACATGTTACCTTTGCCAATAATCATGCCGACAGCGTCAGATGGAACATGAATGCTATCATTGATCTTGCCAGCGCCGACACCACCAGCACCAGCACCGTAGGGATCAAAGTTATCACGTCGGTTGTTGAAAGGTTGCTGTGACGGCGGCTGTTGGTTGCCGGTGCCTTCCATTTGCTTAGTGTCACTATCGACAATTTCCATGATGAGTTCCTTGGCATGGGCAGCAGCAGCAGGACTTCCAATGAGGTTCACAGGACGCAGACCGTTCACGCTCTTGTTTTCACCAACGATGTTGACGTGGCAGCCACTGCGTTCTTGCAGGTCACGAATAGTCTCACCACCGCGGCCGATGATGAGACCAACGGTTCGATCGGGCACCATAATCTGCGACGACTGTTCGCCTTCTCTAAGAGCCGGTTGTTGCTGGCCGACCGTCTTTGCGGTGGGCCTAGCATTGCGGCCAGTCTCACGAGCAGGGTTTCCACCATTCTCTTCGATGATACGGTTGATCTCGCGCTTGGCACTGATACGAGCACCAGGGCTGCCAGTTATACGGCACTCGCGCTGAGGTCCAGATTCGGGGCCGTTGATGAATTGAATACGTGTCTGGGATTCTTGTTCAATGCGGCGGAGACTCTCACCTTGACGTCCAATGACAAGACCAACCAACGAAGAGTCAATGAGAATCACCTCAGAGTTATCATTGGCAGGGGGCGAACGAGCCTGCCCGTATTGCTGGGCGGGAGAGAAGGTGTCACGTCTAGGGGGCGAGCGATCACGTTCACGACCATAGCCGCCTCGGCGCTCATCACGACGCTCATCGCGGTATGGATTGTAGCTTTCACGCACGGGTTCTCGGCGCGCTGGAGAGCGCGAACGCGACCGAGAACGTCTGTAGGGCTGGCGCCCACTGAGGCGCGGGTCTTCTTGGTAAGCTGGAGGCGTGTAAGTTTGCGCTGGGACACCATAACCAGACCAAGGTTCAGCAATACCTGGGCGCGCTGCTTCATGGGCAAGGCCTTTCTGGGCTGCAAAACCGCGCGCCTTTGCCAGTGCATCCTGGATGCTTACAGACCCAGAGCTCACGGGCTTGATAGCACTAAGGTCAAGACTGCCAGAGTGTGTGGGTTGTGGGAAGCTGTAGCCCGGTATGGCTGGCGGGGTGGCAGTAGGCATTGCGCCAGGAAAGCCTGGTGGTAGGGCTTGCGGAGGGGGATGCTGTGCAGGTGGAGCCTGTTGGGGTGTCTGGGATGGTGTGGTCGCCGGTCGGCCGGCGGCTGGGTGAAAAGTCAGTATATGCGCGGGCTGCGGCAACTCCAGTTTGCGAGCCAACGTACCAAGAGCCGCCAGGATGGCGTTGAGATCTGGAGGAGCGGCCATGGCAGGCTGCGCGTTACCAGAAGATTAGTAGTAAAGTCAGAGAAGATGCAGGGACAGGGAAAGCAAGATGTGGAATGGCGAAGGCAAGAAATACGGCAGCTGAGTTGGTCGCGCCGTGGCTGTCTGTCCAGGTAGCAGGAATCTTTGCGGCGAGGGAGAAGAGGAGTCGGGCGCGGCCTTAGTACGCGCTAGTGCCAAATTAGCCGAACCAAGTTTCTGGCCCTCTGGCGACAGCAAGTGAAGGCGCAGTGGGAGAGCCAACCACGTGCCCTCTCTTAATCATTCACAGTCGCTGCATATTATATCTTGCATGTTTGTTTGATAGTATGTTTTTGTTCCATTGATGGTTCCTGGTCAACACATGCGCCAGGCCATAGGACGCTACGAGCAAACACTTCAGTAATACCGCAAAGAACGCCGTGCGTCTGCAGAGACAGACGTATTATGCCACCAGTTCACTTTGCAGCAACTCCCAAACCCCTGCTCCTGTACTCATGCAAGCTATCCAACTCTCTCCATACTCGAACTGCAGGCACTGCCTTCCTTTATGTAACAGGGGTGCGGGCGATGCGGACCACCCGTCTGTTGTGAATCCAACATCGCCCACGCAAGATGAACATCATACGAGACCCTGCCAACGCTATGTGACAGACAGGGCAAACGTGTTTATATAGACATTAGAAACGAATCAAGGGGCGATCGACGCAGTGGAATAGATCTGGTGCCCAACAGCTGGCCTTGGATGCATACGTAGAGCCCAAAATTCAGGGCTCACTTCTTCATCATTTGTGAGATGTTGTTCCACTTTTGTTTGAGTGCCTCGTGTTCTTCGTTAATCTAGACGCTTCGTTAGCTGTGTCTCCGACCCAACCTAGCTGCAGTAGCCTTACCGTAGCCCATTGCATCTTGACATCGACCAATTCTTTCTCCATCTCAGCCATCGCATCTTCCAGATTACGGTTCTCGTTGTGAACAACAATGTTCTTTTGCATCACAGTCTCCATCTCATGTTTCAATCGTGCTTCGACTTCTGCAGGCTGTGTGTCGACAATCTTCTGGAGCTCTTGCACCTTTGTCTTCAGTGTCTCGTTCTCCTCTTCCAAGTTTTCGTTCTCGACCTTGGTTTTGATGAGCTCGGAGGCAACCTGAACGTGCTCCATGTCCGATTGTTCGGCTCGGTGTTCCAACGACCGCACCTTTTGTTCCAGAGAAGCAACCTTTTCTTTGAGCCCTACGAGCTCGGTCTCGCGGTCCTTTTCTATCCGGCGTTGCTCCTTCCACTCAGCGGTATACTGTTTGAGTGTCTCAGGTGCAATCTTGACAGCGACAGCATCTTTCACAAGCGTGTCAGCGCGGTAAATCTCCTTGTCGATACCTGCTGTGGAACCAAAGAAGCCATTCTCAAGAATCGAGTTTGCAGAAGGAGCTTTGTCAATATACACATCAAACAGTCGCTCTTTCAGGAACGTCGTGAGTGTTGCCATATCTTTCATGCCTAGCAGTGTTTCAGCGTTCTTCTGCATCAGGACAATGCCAAACTTCAGGATGGCCAACTCGAGACCTTCGCTGAGTATCAGATCGTAAATACGTAGGACTAGCTGCAGCGGGAAACGGTATGCAAACAGCGTAAGGAACCATTGCGTGGCATAGAGCTGGGGCTTTACATCCCTACGGCGCAAATGGCAGTAGAGAGCAGGTTCGAAATCTTCCAGGAGGCGTTCAAACTGGTAGAGATGCAAGTGGAGTCCAGGCATGTCATGTACAAATAGGTCTCGGAGCCCATATTTGTTCATCAACGTTACGAAAAGGCTGAAAGCCTCTTCTTCAGGCATCTTGTAAAGTCAGTAGTGTAACAAGGGAAGCATGCATTCAGGCTTACATTGAATAGCAGAGGCATGGCGATAAAGTTCATGCCCTGAGCGTAACCAACGGCATCGTCGTACAAAGCGTAAGCCTTGCAAATACCGAAAAGGCCATCCTGTAAACCAGCCGCCATGACATACTTTGAGTAGCTTGTCCGCGCACCCAAATCACGCTTGATAACCTTTTCCAGTTTCGAAATGGCGGCAGTGCTTTGCTTCTTTTCAGCAGCCACTCTTGCCTGTACCTTGATGGGGTCTTCGGAGTTGTCTGCGGTGAGTGGTGGCGAGGCCGGTGCTACGTTTGTGCTCCCAGTCGTAGTAGGGGGGCTTGAGTAGTCTGAGTGAACTGATGAAGAGGAAGAAGCAACTGACTCCTTTCCATTCCCGTTTGTTTGTCCACTGGTAAGGTTGGGTGTGCTAAGACTCATGTGCTCCTTATCAGTGCCACGGGCTACGAGTTCCCGATATGTGACCTCGAGCTCTTCGTTCTTGCTTTGCGCCATCACCTGCCAAATAACACCTCGGATGACTTGGGGAATTCCATTCGCAATGGCATGATTAAGTTCCTCTGCGCTGGTGCGGGCGATGGCAGCTGGTCCTTCATTGACCACAGACTGCCAGAGATCCCAATCTACTGGCTCAGCTGCATCTCCAGCTGGGCCAGCAGCAAATCCAGATGCAGTTCCAGGGGCCAGCTTTGGATTGATGGTGGGTTGTCTTGTAAGTGATGGTGGGCTTCCTGGCTCGTCTTCGGGAACGATGGGTGGACTGATGAGACCGACACTAGTCGGCCTGGTCGCCACAGCAGTTGGGTTGCCGTTCAGGCTGGTTTCGTCACCCATTGTTATGCCGGCTTCCTCCCTCATGCGCAAAAACTTGAAACGGTCTCGAAGATTTCCCTGACTCGTTCGGTTGTTCGAACCAGTCTCGCCCTCACCTTCAGCCCTGCTTGATGAGAGGTCAGGATTGCTACCGATGGTCGCAATTGAAGCCCCTGTATTTCTGCGTTCCGTCATTGTTGTGGATGATGGCGGAGACTCAGATTTCTTGCTGGTGCTATTTCTTGACAGCCACGCGAAAGGACCGGTAAGTTTTCTGGATGTAGTTGGTGGTTTTTCTGGCGCGGTTGAAGCGGTTGGAGCGGTTGAAGCGGCTGGCGCGGCTGGCGGAGCGGGGGGTGGAGGAAATTTGACAGGAGACATCCTTCCGGAGAGGCCTTGGATCGAAGCCGTAGAGTCTTGGGAGTCTCGCAGTGGTGCTTTTGACACGGAGCCTGGAGCTTTTGCACCGTCTGCAGTGAGTCAGTCTCAGAATCGGGAAGCATGTACTGGCACACGTGAGGAAGCCACAAGTTGGCAGGTGCTGTCGGAAGATATGGATACTCCTGACATTGAAATGCAGGCATTCCAATCTTTACATGGTGTTGTTTGTCTCAAACGGAGAGGAAATACGCACCACCATCCAAAGACACATCGTCCATGTCCGATGTTACCGACACTCTGTTGGGTAGGGGGGGCTTTTTGGCAGGTGCATCGTTGATGGGCTTTTCCGGTTCTTCAGCTTCGCTGCCTGTGCCGGACTCGTCTGTTCCGTCGCTTTCGTCACTGCCATCACTTTCATCATCCTCTTCACTTTCATCGCTGTCGTCCTTGCTGTCGTCTTTGGTGCCTTTCGGGGCAGCTGGTACTGCACGTGCAGTCGAGTCCGTCTTGATTTCTTGTACGGTCGATGAGGGAGCCTCCTTTTGAAGTAATGAGCGCGAGCGTGACTGTGATTTTTCAGAGGGCGAGTCTGGGCGAGGTGAAGTTTCCGATGCGTCCTCGAAACTGTCCTGTAGCCGCATGACGGTTAGCAAACTTGCACACTGAAACCTTGGCTATATTGAACAAAGGCATGATAGGGAGAATACGAAGTGCATACCGCGTCCTTGTCGGAACTGTGTGAGCTTGTCGGCCTGTTGTCGGCCATGTTTAGTATGTTTGTGAGGGCCGGCGGTGTGGGTTATTGGGTGGTGCCGAACAGCAACTTGAAGTGCAACTGCAGGCTGTGCAGGATAACTGTTTAGTTTTTATTTGGGGGAGGGGTATAGAATAGGGATTAAGGGTTAGTTATTTTTGGGGGGGTGTTCAACGAAGAAGTCGAGGGGTTCGGGGGTAGTGTGAATGGTTATTGTGAAGATGGGGGGTACGTGGGTAGTGAACGGACAATAGTGGAGCAACCCCGGCGGCGGCGACGGCGGCCTAGAAGGCCAGGGCTTTGCGAAAGCCACGAAAAGGAGCAATCACTGAAAGTTGTTTTTCGGCGACTCGGCGTCGCATCAAGACTGTTCGTCTCGAGTCTGTGTGGTTGTAGGAAATTTTGCTGACAGGTGCGGCTTTCGTCTGCATATGCAATGCGCCCCTCAAGCCAGCTGTTCAGACGGCAGCCAGGGTGGTACAACTGCGGTTAACCTGAAACAAAGCCATGGGCTGGCCTCCCGCTCTGTCTGCGAATCGAGGCTGACCAGGCGTTGACGCACGCCACGGGTACACGACGCGCGCTACCGACATAACGCTATCGTACTACATGAGCATTTGACAGCCGTTGGTGCTTTACTGTGTAGACGTGGCTTTGCTTTTACGAGTACGAGCATACACTACACGCATGCACACACGCACATTGACAATTAGCTTGCACCAAGTATACAACGCCTCGCTCCTTCCTGTTGAGTAAGTACCCACGCGGTGCGCTTTCCTTTTGTGCTTCAGGGGACCACATCACCATCAGAGGCTACCGGGACTTTGCTTCTTCTTCCTCTCAACCTTATGCCACAACCGCCTCCTCATTTCCCGTCCTCCTGCTTCAAACTCTACCCAGTCAACCTGGCTATTTTTACTGCACAATGGCGCTGCATCAATTTGTCACTCGGAACGCACGTGAACTCAATAATGCCAAAAGTAAATTTGTAGATCAATATCTACCCAAAGGTCATATGTACAAGAACACCAACGATTCTTTTTCTCCTCCTCTTCCTCCTCCACCACCACCTCGCATCCCCCCCACTGCGCATTGTGCCAGCTCAATTCCTCTAGTTGATGCACTGCGAGTAGAAGTCATTCTGCTTGACACACTTGGCGGTGCCCTCGCATTCAGTGGGACCATTGTAGTTGATACCGCCGCACTGGTAGTAGAGCTTAGCAGTTCCCACAGAGCCAGTGGGGACGGCATCAGCGGGAGCTGTAACACCAGCAGATGGGCTGGGGAGGGTGGCAAACGTGCTGGGGACAGCCGGGGCCGATGGAAGAGTATCATTGCCAGAAGGGACGGTGGGCGCCAGAGTAGGGGCAGCAGCCTCGTCGGCAATCGAAGAGGGAGCAGGCTCAGTTGAGTTGGAGGCGGGAGGAGCAACGGGAGCAGCGCCACCAGCACCACCGCAAGTAGCAACAGCACCACCGGGAGCCTTGTAGCCGGTAGCAACGTATCCGTTGTAGTAGTTGGGGATGTAGATATCAGCATCGTCAGCCTTGTAGGCGCCGGGAAGCGAGATGGTAGGTGTGCATGAGCCCTTGCTGCCGGTGCCCTTGATCTTCAGTTGCATGCAGCCAATGTAGAATCTTTGACATGTTAGCTGAGACATAGTAAGTAGAGAGAAGATCAACTTACTGCGCGCCACCCTTTGTCTGAGAAGAGTGGAGTGCCAGCATCTCTGAACGGAGCAGATACTCGCCGCTGGCAAGGCCAGTGGGAAGAGGGAATTCGTGCGTCATGTTGGCTGCTTGCATGATCTCAGAAGCCCACTTTCCATCAACAAAGTCCATCTCGTCAATCTTGAACCATCCGGCACCAACACCAGTGGCTTGCGAAGCATCATCGACGGGACCATAAAGCATGTGAGTGATCGGTCCCGGGTGCCCAGAGTTATCCCACTGGACCTTGATCTTGTCACCCTCGTTGGCCTCGATTGTCTTGACACCAGATGGAACCTTGGAGCCGCCAACGTTGCAGGCCATGTCGTTGCTCGTCAAATCGACTACGGGGCTGTTGGAGGGTGGCATCCGGATGCCGACCTGGTATCCGGGCGTGACATCGTTGACCCAAAGCTGGTGGAGGTTCTGGTGAGCCGAGACGGCGGAGAGAAGAGCGCTCGTGAAGACGGCCTTGGTGAACATGGTGATGTGTGTTGGATAAGTGTTATGTACAGTGTTTGGATTTCAAATGTGTGATGGTGATGCCTGATCACAAAGATGGAATGTAAGGTAAAGAATGAACGTGGTAGAAGGGAACTTAGTGAATGTGTTCAAAGAAAGGACTGGCCTGTTGGAATGATGGGAAAAATCAATGAGAGACGACTTTCCAGCGCTTTTATGTATGTCCAAACGCTGATCCTTTGCTTCAATTAGGCGCCTGCACAGGATAGTATATCTCCGAAGACTACGGCGAGCCGCCATGAATCCTTCGCGGCAACAGTTCGCACTATCCCGGCCACTGGGTGCGGGAACGACATTGCCTTGACAGGAACCAAGTCGCGGCACGCCAGCGGCTTGTCTGGAATAAGCAATCAATTTACTCCATGTGGTAAAGTTGTAGTACGCCATTATGCAACATGTACTATCCGAGATTGAATGTTCATGATAGTGGAGAAGCGAGTGTTTCCAAGTCTGCCAGAACGGGCTAGCCGACTTGTTTCGTGCCTGTTTCAAAACGAAAGCTCCTGTAGCGACTCGCCATCAACATGCACAATACGGCTCGACAGCCGTTCCACGTCCAATTTATTCTAGAAGCTGGGATTCAACGGAAGAAATAGCCAGCGAATTCCCGCCAAGGGTATCGGAAATGAAAGAAAGGCATGGTAATGGGTGATGAAGATAACAAGATTAAAAGATAGAAGTGCATGACTCCAACGGTGACGTCGCCCATTACCCTCTTCAGTGGAATAGCATATTTTACTTTCTGGATCCTTTGATGAGGCCGCAGTCCATGACGCGTCGTGCTGGCGCCTACAGTGGGGCAGTTTCGAACAAAAATGTCTTGCTCAAGGTATCCCTCTCGTGATTGTGACGAAGCCTGTAGGCGCCGAGGCAGCAGTTCTCCCCACATCTGATGATATCCTGCCAAGCTCATTACCTACATCAGGTAATCCATCGTTCCCACTAATGGGTAAAGTGTTCGTTGGACTTGGCGTCTGCACAATAGATGTTGTGGTGCTAGTCGGGGCGGCAAAGAGTCTTGTGGATACTGACACAGTCCCCTGCACTAGCTCTCCATGAATATAAACGGTGATCTCCTGTGCGGCAAAGCTCGGTGGGACTGGTCTGACAATTGACAGGAACCGTGCGCCAAATAGCATGGATGTGTACCACATGGTAGTGAGGAAGAAGATTACAAACAGTATCCAGGGGATCAAGACACGTTTTGCGGGTATGCGGCTGTGTCGTGGAGGAAGTGCCGCTGGAAATCCCGGTGGAGTTGAGTTTGCAAATTGCGGATGATTGGGATCCGAGTAGTCGGGTTTGACTTGAGCGCGTTCTTCATCTTCTGGCTGCCGCTTCTCCCATAGTTGAAATGCTGAAGCTGGTGGTTCATATTTGGCAGATTGATGATACGGTATGCCATTGTGAGGCACTGCAGTGAAGCTCGTGTGCCGAGGCATATCCGAAATATCTTGCGAGTCAAAGGTCGAGCTGTATGATGGGGCAGGCGATGGCATATTCTCGAAGTCGATGAAGGCCATAACAGCAGTGCTTGCTTATGGATGTAGGTAAGGCAAAAAAGGGAACTAAAAGCTGGCAGAAAAAAGGAAGTGAACAAGATGCCCGAAGAGAGAACCAGCTTCCCGAGTTGATAACTGAGGAAATGACATTGTAGGTCGGAAATCGTCCAAATTTGTATGCATGATCAGGATCAAAGCACATAAAGCATACGGCTGAACATTACATCGTGACGTGGCAAAGACATAGTTGTTTGGTTGCGACTGCTTAATGGTGTTTCGGGTTTTGTCCATGTCTGCACGAGACTCGGTCTTTGTGGCGGAGTAGTGGTAAAGAGATGTGGGAGCTGACAGTTTAGAAAGTCTAACTTCGGCCATAAACGATTGGTCCACCAGCGTCGACCACGGCTGCAGAGTGTAGGGTCCCGTCCCATTCGCTTTTAGATCACAATATTGTGCTCGCATGAGAACTGAATCAACAAATCAGTTGATCACTTGCTTTTCACAACTCAGCAGAGCTGCAGATGAAAACCGGTGCACGTTACAAGTTATCGAAATTACATTTGCGGGTATCATAGCATAACTCCCCAACGCCTAGGAAACGTACACAAGATGCAGTCATGATCTGCAGGCCTGATCAAGCTTTTGATTTGCCCTTTCCCGTGCCAGCAGGCCTTCCTCGCTTCTTTCCTGCAGCAGCTGGTTGTGCGCGAGCAACTGGCTGTCCATCTGCCCGTCTCCCCTCGGCAGCTCTGATTTCCTCTAGCTCCTTCTCCAGCATGGCTTGCAGCTGCTCATTGCGTCTACCGAGGAGGAGGACATCGTCTGGATTGATTGTCTTGCGTCCGGCATGCTTCGAGAACACTTCGAGATCCCGGGCTGTGTTTGCTAGGAGTACATTAGCAACTCTTTGGTATATGATTTGGAAGGACCAAGGATCAGGGCATACCGATCTGAGTATAGACAAGTTCAGTCAAAGCACCAATGAATTGCGGAGTGGCATTCAGATCGCTTTCCAAAGACTTGTCGTCAACGAATTGGCCGATTGCGTACCAGAGAGCGGACTTGAGCCGCTACAATCTTGTTAACACATGAATTAGGTATAGATACATCGAGATTTCTCTGACCTCCTCGCGCTCTGCTTCGGCATCGTTAGACGCCATCTGCTGCAAATGTGGGTGTGGAGCCGTTGCGAGACTCTGACAATGCGACGGGCAGACGCGACGCGTCCATGGTTCTGGTGGGGCCTGGGTGGCAGAAACCATTTCACCGCCCATGGTTGGTTGCCATCTGGTCCACGTTTTGAGTGATTTATCGCGCGCAACTTGTCCATTGATCAAAATTTCTCTCTACTTGAGATACTTGCGCCTTTCAACCATCTCTGCGACGCATCTACTTGTCTGCACCTGCATCAGCCTCCAGTACAGCGACCAACAGCAAATCCTCCACAAAACATCCTCCAGCGCACACGTCGCTCCCTAAACACATCACCAAATATCAGCCATGGACTACATACTCGACAATGTGGGCGAATGGAAGGACAGGCTTGTAAACAACTCAATCAAGTCGTTTGAGGAAATGACTGCCCAGCGTTGGGTTCGTATCATCGCCATCGTAGGAGGATACCTCCTTATTCGGCCATATCTGCTCAACGCAGCCGCCAAGAAGCAGAAACAACAACTGGATAGAGAGGCCGAGGAACTAGGCCTGGGAAAAAGTGATGCGCCAGACGCGAACGACTTCCGTGGCAAAGGCGTCAAAGTGGCAAAGGGCGAGGTGAAGAAGAAGGAGTAGGATTTGAATGCAGGGAAACAGAACGGATATCACGATAGAGGATGGTAATAATGGGAGGTTCAGGGAAGGAAACTTGCATGGCCGTACCGTGCAACATATGGCGTTTTATGTGTTACGCTTGGGAAATACACAAAATCTTTGAGACGGGTCTGAAAGCATGATTGGATTGGGAAATATGGTGCTTTACGAAGACATTTTGCTCCTCGCCGTGTCGCGTCTACATGGCTTTATGACACATGTAATCATACTCTGGAAAATGGGATGCAGCAACGAAATGACGGTTCAAGATGCTTTCGTAGTCGTACCCCATTGCCTGCGCCTTATTGCTTCACTCAAGCTATTCATTCCTGATTCATCAAACGTTTCCCATTCAACAATCGTTCACTTAGGACCACTGTTCAATGGCAACACCACACATTCAGCTATGAGGCAATTCAATCGGGATAAATACGGTCAGCCGATCGAGTTGTCGTCGCGACATTGGTTTGAATGGACCGGTTGTGACCTCGGAATTGCGTTTGTAGCCTAGCACGTCTTTATATCACCAGTGTGTAGCACGTACAGCGAAATCCTGTTGGCTACCAACGCTTTCACTGTAACTTCATTCACAAACTACCCTTCACGTCTCCCAAACCGACCATAATATTGACATCCAAAACCCCCAATATGTCTTTTTTGCACTACACCAAGAACCTCCAATGCCCGACGATGACCAATTTCGCAAGACGGTGCAAAGCGCAGTCGAAGACATCATTTCTAAACGTTGCGACAAAAGTACGTCTCAACTCGTCATTGAAGCTGTGATTGAGGGTGTGAAGCTATATCGCAGTTACAAGAAGGAAGAGGAGAAGGAAAGGCGAAAAGACAAACAGAAGGAGCACAGGTGACGCAGAAAGAGAGACAGTATGAGTGACGGCCTGAGAGATGGACGTTACCGACGTCACAGCCATGCGCCGTGTGAACGGACTGATGGGTCAAGAGAGAGGCATCAGCGTCAATATCGCGATCGGCCGCGCGGCAGAGATCACGAACAGCATCGTGATAGCTCACACAGTAGGGATCAGTATGGTTCCAACGAGGAGCATTGCAAAGGCAGAATAAGGGATCGTCCAGCTAATCGCTCAAGTAGATATCAAACCCCATGGCAGGAACTGAACAAGGAGAGTGCTCAAACATCTCATTCCCAACGTCGTGACGAAACGGAGGCCTCGAGATCTCACCATCAGTCTCGAGGCGAACAAAGACATCTAGGCGCTCGGGAAGGAAGGGTCGGTGCATCTGACTCTCTAACGCGTCAGCAGAGAGGTCCCGATGGTACACCATTCGGCAGCCTACCCAAGTACAAAGCCAAACCAGGCATGACCTTCGGACTTGGCAATCACTTCATGAATACATACAGGCATATCAAGGCCGAGCACGATGCTGGATATAGACCCAAAGGTTTGATCGAGAAAGCGTTGGATGAAGCAAGGAAGAAGAAGCTAGAGGCAAAGACTAGGGAAGAAAAGATGAATCGTGATTGGAATGAAGAAGAAACCTCGATGGACGATAAAGTTCGGAAGCAGCCCGGGATTGACAAACGGGATGAGCGGCGAATTGAAGTCTATGAGCGGAAGCCCAAAGCTACTGAGGCTGAGGCACGGGGACGCCATCACCGAAATCAAAAGGATCGTGGGCGGATGAGTCAAGAGGGTGAGCAAAGATGGAGAGTGGTTGATCAGAAGAGCAGTCAAGGCGCGCCAGTTCCTGTAATACGTGTCCGATCTGCATCACCTGTTGGAAGCCCCGAACGAACCGTTCCTTCTGGTTATAGAACAAGGCCATTGCCAAAACCCTCAAGACTTCAAAAGTCTCAATCTGGAGCAATATCGCGAGATTATCAACGCAGTCAAGAAGCCTCGATTCCGGGAGATCACGATTACGAAGACAAACACAATGAACACAGACCAATGCACCCTCAGCCAATTACTCTTGATGATCCCCAACGCCATGGTATAGCTTCCTCTCTTGCGGGCAATCAATCGTCAATAGAGTCAGAGACCGCCTCTAGAGCCTCGTCTCCTATCATGTCACATGCGCCTCCACCTCCACCTCCGCCTCCGCTACCCGTATTGAAAGCGGCCGGCAACGGAAGAGTAGCTCTACTTGACCACATCCAAGGCAGAATCGAGCAACTCAGAGTAGTTTATCCCAACAAAAAAGACAAGTCGGCAAGCTCCAGTGCAGGAGTTTTGTATGAGCAAACTGAGCACAGCCAGGAGGTCGAAGAGCGAGAACGTACTCAAGCTGAAAGGTCAAATGATGGACGTGACACTCAGCCAGAACCGAACAGAGCGTTCCGTCAAGACCTCTTAGATGCACTCCAGAGACGGAATACTACGGGACGAGGTACTGTCGCCCATGGCTTGATGGCAATGAGAGAATATTCTGACTAACAACAAACCGACAGCAGGCTCTAGTATATCGGTAATTACAGGTGTAGTCCACAAGCAACAGGAAGAAGGTACATCCCTGCATGAATAGGTGAGAAGTGTGGGCTCACTGTGGTGGCAGAGGATGCAGTGCAACTTTCCAAACGAGAAAGTGGAGAGGAACTATTTTCTACACTGGCAGCACATGTTGCGCGGTCTGACTGGAGCTTTAGCGGAGTAGGAACAACAAATTGACGGGCGGGAACGAGATGCAGCAGGATTGGGGTGGGGCGGGTATGTCGGTGGTGAGGGTGAAAGGGGGCATAAACAGGTGGACTATGCGCAGGCGGGTCCATGCTCCATGATTTCGCGGCTAAGCTCTGGACCGCGCGAAGTGACGCCGGGTCTTGTATCCGCCCTTCATCCCTATTCCTCTGGTTGTAAACTTTCAGTACAGGTGTTCGCATCACTAGATTTTTGACCCTTTTTTTCTGCCGCTCTTTAGCTTTTGGTGTCAACATCGTTCTGTGACGCGCAATCGCATCTCCCCCACATTGATCATTGACCGTTGCCGGACCCTGTGCCATCAGACCAACCGCAAGCCAGCCCGCGCCCGCGCCCCCCAACGGCTTACCCAGTCTAACCACCACACATTCGCTCTATCTCTCTTTCCCTCTACCTGTTCTCCCCGCACACACAAGGCACAATGCGCGTCTCATCAGGCATTCTCCTCGCACTTCCGGCGCTTGCTGTCGCCGAGGAGCAGCAGATCCCTATCCTCGACAAGGTCAAGGGCTTCTTCAACAAGGCGTCTGCTGCCGTGTCCTCTACTATTTCGGCCTCAATGCCATCGGCGCCAGTCGAGGCAGCCAGCGAGGCAGCAGCCAAGGTGGTCGAGGTGATCCAGCACCCGTTGACTCTGGAGAACTGGAAAGACGTCTTGACAGTCGACCCGACCGCCAGCCCGCCCACCACCCAGGACTGGCTTGTCTTCACCACAGGCGGCAACAACACATGCTTCGGCCTTTGCGGAAATGCCACCAAGGCCTGGAATGTGCGTATACTACAACATGGTGCTTCTATGAAAGCGACACTAACATGACCTTCCAGGCCTCTACCCCCTTCATCGCCGCCATGCCCAACGCGCCCAAGCTCGCGTACCTGGACTGCGAAACCGAGGGCATTCTGTGCAACTCGTGGTCCATTCACGCGCCGTCGCTATACTTGTTCCAGATCCCTAAGCCGCTCCCCGACCAGTCGGCGCCTGTCCCTGTTGCTCGCTACCAAGCATTGAACCGCACTACCACCACCGCGGAGACGATCAAGAAGCTCATTGTCGACAACGAGATTGCTGAGATTGAGCCTTACTGGGGCCACTTCCACCCCTTCAACGGTACCATGCAGCAGTACAACCTCGCTGTTCCCTACGGCTACTTTACCTACGGTTTCTCCAAGATGCCCTCATGGTTGCCTATGATCATCATCTCGTTTGTCAGCAGGTCTTTCATGTAAGTCATTGCCTAGTACAGTTGCAGCGCGCATAACGCTAACACTCTTGTAGGGGCAATCGCATGGCCGGAGGACCCACCCCCGCCCAACGAGCACCAGGGCCACGGTAAACGGATAATCCCCCCATGTCCCCGTTGGCTTTCTCCCTCGGCAGAGGGTGAGCCTGAGCCTTGTTTGCGATCCCACACAATACCCTTTGGGGGTCGATACGATATCCATATACCTATCTTGTAATTGGATCTCCTCCTGGAACGAATGACACGTGTCTCTTAAAAGACATGTTGAGAATGCTGGTGTTATAAAAAAGAGGTATATAGGAGAAACTGCAGTGGTGTTGAAGAAAGAATATGCAGTAATCAAAACGAAATTTTCATATGCGATCCATTATCATATCACAAAGTGTGTTCCGAGACATTTGCTGGTCTGCGACTACATTCTCACACATGACAATTGGCGGATCTTGAAGAGCAGAAGAGCAACACTCACAGTATTTCTTCGACCATCACGTTGCCTTCAAGAAATCTTGGATGAAAAAAAGGTAAATTGCCATGCATTTCGTGACGCGATGCTCGAGGTAATAAGAAGCGCAACACGATGTGCCATCGCAGTTATGAACAAGGGGAATCAACAAGCTTATTTACAATATGCTCACACATGCATCAGATATAGCCCAAAAGAGAAAGAAAAAACAACACAAATCCATCATCCTCCGCTTTCAGACTCCAAGCTCTCGCTCTCAAGTCCGCTGCACACTGCTCACAATCGTAGGCCCATCGTCCTTCTTCCTTACCCACTTCTCTTCGTCAGGCTTCCGCTTGGAGTTCCGGTCATTGCCTTGACCACGACCTCCTCTTCCGCGCCACGGTGCGCCACCACCACCACCATTTCCGCCGTTACCACCACCACCGCCTCCGCCTCCGCCTCCGCCGCCAGCCCCTCCACGTTTCGGCCGTCCATCCTGTCCGCCACGGCCACGGCCAACCTGGAATTGTATGCGCGTAAGCGGGTGTTCGACCCAATCGACGCCCTTGAGACCTAGATTGTTCTTTTCCCAGTCACTCAATTTCCACGCCTGGTACAGGCCCATTAAGCGCTGTTGGTCGATTTCCTCTTTACCGGGTCCCAGCGAGCGCGTGAGCTTGAGGCCGCGCAGTTCAGGGACCCAGGCTTTGATGTACTCACCGTGCTTGTCGTAGTCAAGGGCTTGCTTGACGGGGTTGAAAATGCGGCCCTGGCGGGGATCATTGCCCACGCCTGCGACGTATTGCCAGTTGCCCCAGTTGCTGGCGGGGTCGTAGTCGACAAGGAAGCATTCGTACCATTCTGCGCCTACGCGCCAGTCAATGTTCAGGTGAGATGAGAGGAAGGAAGCGACGTTTTGGCGGGCGCGATTTGATGTGTAGCCTGTGACGAAGAGCTCGCGGTTCGAGGCGTCGATGAGGCCGACGCCTGTTCGTCCGGAGCGGAAGCGCTCAAAAACTTCGGCTGTTTTTGCTGGATCGTCGCCTGGGCCATTTGACCATTTCAGGTTTCTCCATTTGTTGTCGCATTCTTTTTGGTCAACGGTCTGGATACCGTAGAGGCTGAACATTTTGTACCCAAACTTTCGCATGCAGAGACGCATATAGTCTCGCCATAATAATTCAAATCGAACGGCTGCGGTGCCTTCGTTTTCACCTTTGCCGTAGCCTGGTACTTTTTCTCCTGGTCCTCGCCCCTCCTCAAAATCAAACATGGCCCAGTGGACTTGACGAGCTGTGATATGGCCTTGTGCTAGGTAGGCGGAGATTTTAGTACTAAAGTCGAGACCAAGCATGCCATTGCGCGTGGCTTTGTAGGAACTCATTGCTCCTGTCTTGACTAAATGCTCTACCCGGGCCAGACCATTTGTTTCCCCACCAGAAAAAGGATGAGCTGATTGAGCGTCGGTCGGCCATACTGGTGGCACTTTCAGGGTGTATGTTGGGTCTTTTAGCAATGGGGTGAGTAAAGCGTCTTTTAATCCTTCCAAAGTTGAGGGTATGGTAAACGGCGATTTTTGCGGCGGTATCCTGGAAGGTAGCGGGGGAAGTTGTGTGGGGGTGGGTACGGTGTTTCGGGGTCGGTCGCGTAGCGGTTCTAGGCCCTTTCGATATGTGGTGTAGACATTGGGCAGTTTGGAGATATCTTCGTAATATGGTAGATCCCGGCTATTTTCAGGTTAAAAAAAAAGGATTACCCCGACTTGACGTCATTCGAAAAATTTGGGGTGCTTACTCGTCCACATAGTACTTCTCGTCGACCCAGACCTTGAAGTCTACACCACGCTGTTCTGCAATCCTTTTCACACTTGCTGCGTCATCCTTTTCTTCAGTTGCATCATCGTCTGTAATCCAAACTCCGCTGATTACACCCTCATTTTCGTCTTTGTCGTACCAATCCAATATGTCGGAGACCACGTCGGGAATTTTTCCGACACGCATTTCCAGGCCTGAGCCACAATTTAACCCCGCAAGCTTATCTTTCAGGTTCCATACCCCATCGGCGATGAATTTTGCACGGTGAGGGCCCGTCCGCCACACTCCCGCCTCCCTACTGCGTGCTTCAGGGTATGGACATTTATCGGACGGCGACGAGAGAAAGCCCGAGACTTCGATCTGGTTGGGGGGGAAGACAAAAACGGGCAAAAGGTGGGTGAAATTTGTGCGGCCGTGTTCCGAAGTTAGCGAATCATCGCGATGCCGCCGATCGGAGCTTGACGAAGATTTTGAACTTGGTCGGCTGGTCTGAAGGGATGCAGCGTAGAATATGGGGTTGTCTGATAGGCGTACATCGCGGCGCAGTATGTACAAGAGAATGCGAGGGACTCTGGGTGTCATAATCGGGGCCTCTTCGCTGTAGGCACTGAATGTGCGTGTCGAGCAGAAGGAACAGAGGAATAAATCGCAGGTGTTGCACGGCGGCCAGGAACAGCTACGTCGTAACATCAAGGTTACGATGCATGGGGAGTCCAGGGATAGCGGGAGTGTAGCAAAGACATTCCAGAGCCAGTAGGCAGAAAAAAAAAGACGGATAGAATTGTGTAGCTTCAGAGCCAGTGGGACGTCATGATCCTATGATGGTGACAATGGAGCTTCACATCGAAATTTCTGGGGCACGAGGTGACGGGAGCACTAGAGGGAGCCCTAAATGTCATCTGTCAACCATGTTAGGACAGACCCCACTGCAAGGGGTGCAGATGGTCGAAACTGAGGAGATCCGGTTCGAGATTGGTGATGCTTGCTGCAGCATCGCTGGCCGGGGTTATGACGTGAGGGCCGAGTTAGCGCGCCGCCACACTCCGCCATGCTTGGGCAGGCCTCTGCAGGGACGCATATCGAGTGACTTGGGACGGGCCGAGCGTTCGTGGGCAGCCGTGGATGGCAGCGATGGGCGTGCTACAATGAAGCAGCAGAGGGATCGCGAGACATTGTTGTGGCTACACCATGCCCGCTCAAGTAAGGCGGCATGAAAAGCTGATAGATGACTCGGTGCCCCGATGCACCGCAGCAGGGGCCGCCAATCGTCCTGCATCTCTCTCCTTTGATCTGATCTCGATATACGTCGATTCAGAGCGGCAATCGTGTGTAAGGTACCACCGCCTGCACGTGGACTAGCCAGATGCGATGCTGGACATGACATCTGCCTCTCTTCCAAGCTTGCCACGCATCGCGCTTCATTTCCTTCTCCCCGCCACAATTAATGCCTGTATAACGCCGTCGTTCCGTTTTGGCTTGCTTGCTGGCTGGCTGGCTTGCTGGCTGGCTTGCTTGCTTGACGTGATGCACAACGCTGTCCACTTGTAAGCAAGGTAACAAGGGGGGCCACAATCACCACACTCACACTCGCAGTATCTGTACCGCCGTTCGAAACGGCTGCTGTGAGCCGTTACACTCGCGGCTTTTCCGAAAATCAGCAACGTACCGTAACATTCGTTGAGCCAGCTACCGAGATAACAGTTTGTATGCATGCGAGCCGTCTAAGGGACTATAGTGTATTACGGCTAGCACACGTTGGAAGACTTCTGGAAGAGCACGTGGGTCTCGGCGACACTACCAGTCACACGACCTACCAGAGAGGCCCAGGATGTCTGCTTCCTAGTGACCAAGTCCTGCTCCTACGGGTGAGTATCGGAATCTAAAATCGAAGACATCATTTCACAAAGTTTGCACTACTTTGTTTTTCACAACGGACACACCTTGATAACCGCCCCCAGTCGCCTCTTGAGATAAGGTGTATCTGCACGTATACCAGAAAAAAAAACCCCTTTCAGATGGAACCTTCATCAACGTCAGTCCGCATGCAACCGTATCACTTGCAGACTCGGCATGGGGCCAAGCTGAAAAAAAGTTCAACTTTACAAATGTGACTTGGTTTCCCCGCACCGCTTTGGGCACCAATATGAGCGTAAACTATTGCACTAGAGGAACAAAGTTCAGGAAGCTTTAAATATTTAGTAAAATGAACGGCGGCAAAGCGCTTAACGTATCTGAATTCGGGTAGCATTATTTTGATCTACGCTGCCTATCCCCCCTCCCCCAAAAGAAGAAGAAGAACCCTCAGTGACCTTCATATGTAATACCAGCATATGTCGTCAACCCAATGGGCTTGCAGCCGTATCGTAGATCATGACACCATTTCCCACTAATGAGCGGGATGCACAACATCTTGGAAACCCTGCTCCTGTTCGCCACTAACACACCGTTCGGTAGACGCCGTCTTTTGTCGGTCGCTGAGCCTTGTGCTTGTGCTCCTTCCTCAAGCCCTTGCTCGCGTGCTGTTTCTCGACGCTGGGATTGGCGCCTGGTTGGAACGCCGCAAGGTCAACGGCATCCGTCTTCATAAGCATTTCCGTCACGCCGCAGATGTCAGTCACAAGCCTGTCGATCATGTCGACCGAGAGAGACTCTCGGACTACTACTCTCAGAATCTCAGTCTTCTCCTCCTTGGGGGGAAGCGGGTAGTCTGTCAGTTCATGGTTAATCATACTTCTCTGGAATATACAGTTAAAGGCGTGGGTGTTCTTACTGGGAATGATGTATTGCTTAGCACGGAGCAGATTGCTAACGGCTTCTTGTTTGACGTGCGGGAATTCTTTGTGGAAGTCATCGGTGAGGGTAAAGGCTACGACGGGTAGACCAGGATTGTAAGCCTCGCTCGTAGCGCCTTCTTCGAATTGCTCCTTGCCCTTTTCGTACTTGAAGTCGCCCTTTTTGCGGTGGATGTCACTGACACAGCGATACCAGCCCTGCGGTATGACATCAGCGGTTGTCTCAAGTTTTTTTTTACAAGGGGGGTGTTCTTACCGTGTGTTCCAGCGCCCTACTCAGTAGACGGGCATTGGCCAGGGTGTTCTCCATAATGCTGCGGTATCCCGAGAAACCTAAATGAATCAGGTTATAGTATTGCGCAATAATCTGGGCGCCCGGTCGCGAGAAGTTTAACGTGTACGACTCCTCAGTTCCGCCCAGATAGTGGAGTTCAAAGATCAAATGCTTTGGTAGGTAGCTCTCATCTCGCCATATGATCCATCCAACACCGGCATACACAAGTCCAAATTTATGTCCACTGGTGTTGATGGACTTCACTCGCGGCAACTCGAAATTCCATTTCCTGCCCGCCTTTGCATGTGTAAAGGGAGCGATGAAGCCACCCGATGCCGCGTCAACGTGAATCGGAATGTCGACTCCAGTCTTCTTCTCGAATTCGTCCAAGATTTCCGAGATCTCTTCAACAGGCTCATAATGTCCGGTATAGGTGGAGCCGAGGATGACAAAAACTCCGATAGTGTTCTCGTCGATATTCTCCTTGACTAGCTTGGGGTCTAGGCGGTAGGATGAATCCTCGCTTACGGGAAGAATACGGGCCTCGACTTCAAAGTACCTAGCAAATTTCTCCAATGCTACCTGAGCATTGGCACCCATGATGATGTTTGGTTTGGAAGTGTCCTTGCCCTCTGCCATTCTCTTTTCCTGCCAGCGGCGCTTCATAGCGAGTCCACCAAGGTGAATGGCCTCACTGGAGCCAGTGGTGGCAGACCCGATAGCCTTTTCGCCCTTTTGCACACCCCACATGTGGGCAATGATGGACACGCAACGGGCATGCATGTCCATCATAGCCGGGTACTCATCGGCATCCGACAGATTCTTTGATATGTTTTCAATCATGAGTTGCTCGCCCTCCCTCTCCATGTAGGTGCCGACGAATGAAGCAAGGTTGAGGCTAGGTCGTCCATCTAGGTCAAGCTCATCTTTGAGCAACTGGTGAACAACGTCTGCCGGGGCACCGTCTTGTGGAATTTTGAACTTGGACAGTTCGGTACCAGCAGCATATCGACTAGAGTAAGGGGTGATGTGCGAAGTTGCTCTGTTTTCGGCATGACGTCCGCCAGCCTTGTGCATAGGATGGTCTTTGAGCGTCGTCAAGAGCTCTTCCGTATCAACATGTCTTGCTAGTCCGGCCATTATGAGAGATTTTAAAGTTGGGAGTAGAGCCGGGGTGCTTCAGGTTGGTTGCAATGTCTGCATCCGTGCAAGACAGCCATGGTAATTATATAAAAAACCACAGCTAGTAGTAGTACATGCAATTGCAATGTGTAGACATGACGACACGTTGTATTCGCTCTTGCTCGCATGGTCACGCCAATAACAATAGGGAAAGGACAGCCCTTTGGAGTCTGAAAGCTTGACAAAAGCTTGTTTTGGCATTCCACGGAGGGTGACAAATGACCTCACAGCCAAATCACACCCTTAGGTCCAAGGCCCACTGTGGGTAGATTTTGTTAGTAACGTCGACCAAAGCTGTGGTCAGCGTTATTGTGGGCATATGGGCAAGCCTAGAGCTGTAGATTTGAGTGACCTCGCCTCGTAAAAAAATTGATGCACAGTGACGAACGTGTGTGTGAGCAACGGGAGTAAAAACAACGTCACCACTAGATGCACATGTGTGTTTGTGTATGGAGAAAGCATCCCCAAAGCTTGGCAGTGATTGTTGCTTGCGTGCGTCTAGAGCAGTGTATGATTGGCGGGTGTATGGCATTTGACAGGAGTGTGAGCCATAGGTTGAGGAATTGGCCGTCCTCATTGTCTGTGGCTGACACGAGCGTGTGAGTACGTACGTATATGTAGTGTACGTAGTATGCGTACGTGGTTTTGATTCAACAGCTTTGGTGTGGAGGTGATGGGCAAGCTTTTGTGCGGGGAACCAATCGGATGGTAAGCTGCGTATGCGCATGCAGCTGCATCGAGTACGTATCTAAGTGGGGTGACAGGCAAACAGCAGCGCGCTTTCACGTGATCTTTCCCATCTCCCATTCCTTCACTCTTGGGTCCAATGCAGTACGGCTCACAACGAAAATGTTTCTGAAGCTTGGAGAATGATAGATGTGTATGTTTGGAAGTCGTTACAGCTTCAACTGGGCCTGCATATATTGAGTGGTGGGCGTGGGAGATGTTGGAGATTGATGATGGTGACGTCACGTCAGCGCGTGGTCGTATTGTCTCATCCGCCGAGAACCGCGGGGAAGCATCGACTGACGCGTCCTTTGTTGCAGCCTGCGACGACTGCGTACATTTGACTTTCTTCACCGCGTGTCAGCCGGGAACTTTGTTTTTTTGTTGACATCTTATCTTCAACTCAAGCATTCCCCATCATTTGCTGCTCTTCCTTTCAGCACGTCCTTTGCCATAACCTTCAACTCTAGACTGCTTGATTTCCTCTAACTTGTGGGGTTGCCGCGCACCAACCAGTCGGCTGAACATCTCAGCGCCATTGCTACGCAGTGGTGGTGTAATCGACTTGTCGTGCTCTTTAGCTCCTTTGGGGCACTACTTGTAACCCTTCATCTGTCTGCCCCTCCTGTCTGCCCCTCCTGTCTGCCATCTGAATTACCCTCCAATTACCAGGCCAATATGCGCTTCTCACGAGTTGTACCACTTCTGCCCCTGGCAACCGCTTTTGTCATTACCGAACCCGATGTCTTCTCCAAGATTGAAAAGTCGGGACGGCGGCTTGTTGACAATGCCCAGACTGTCCTTGATGATGCACTCGGCAAGGTCAAGGATGGAGCACAGGATGCATCTAGCAAATTCCACCATATTGGCTACGATGTCGAGGCTTGGCTAGAGGGCGAGGAGTTCGACGACAAAGTCATCGACCTGGATCACCCCCATGGCCCTCCTCACCATGGCAAACCCGACCATCCGCCACACCATGGTCCTCCTCACCACCCACCGCACCACGAGAAGCCAAACCGAACCGTTTACGAGCTCATCAACGAGAGCAAGTACACTACAAAGCTGGCTAAGCTGATCAACGAGTTTGATGATGTCGTCGAATTGTTGAATGGCACTGCAGCAAACTATACCATTTTTGCCCCCACGGATGAGGCTTTTGAGAAGATCCCCAAGCACCACCCAGAGCCATCAAAGGAGTTCTTGAAGGAAATCCTCTTGTACCATGTCATTGACAGCTTGTACCCTGCTGGTCGTGTTCTCCACAGCTTCACCATCCCTACTCTGTACACAACCAGCAAGAACCTCGGTCACGCTCAGCGCCTGACTCCCCGAGTCACATTCAAGGGCCCCACAATCAACTACTACAGCCGCCTTGTAGCTGTAAACATCTTTGGAACCAACGGCGTTGTTCACGGCGTCGACCACATCCTTGTGCCCCCTCCCAATGTTGCCACCATCATCGATCTGCTCCCTGGCTCCTTCAGCACGCTGGAGCTTGCTCTCACCAAGACTGGTATCTATGACTGGCTCAACACGACCCAGTACGAGCACAACGGTGGCACCTTTTTCGCCCCAAGCAACTACGCTTGGAAGAAGCTTGGTACTCGAGCCAATGCCTTCCTTTTCTCAAAGTACGGCGAGAAGTATCTCAAGGCTCTCCTAGAGTACCACTTGGTCGTTGACCAGACCCTTTACACGGATGCCTTTATCGATGGATCCGGCGACGACGACGATGATGATGACGAGTCTACTAAAGACCGCCCAGATTACTACCACTATGACCTCCCAACTGTCCTGGATGACAAGTACCTCGCCGTCGATGTGACGTGCTATGGACCCTTTGCCGAGATCCGAATCAACCGTTTCTCGCGCGTCACCATCCATGACGGTATCGCTAGTGACGGTGTCATCCAGGTCGTTTCTGATGTTCTCATTCCACCCAAGAACGCTGGTGGCGAGGAAGTCTTCTGGGAAGGCGAGGAGCTTGATGTCGAGGATCTCAAGGAGCGTCTCGAGCCTTTTGTTGACAACATGGAGTTGTAGAGTTGCACATACACCCCACCACTGTGCCTCTCATGTCAAAGTGAAGAAAGGATTATGTAGCCACTGTGGCATTGGACAATCTTTACATACATTTCCATTCTTATATAGCCTTGTCTTCAATCGAAGCAGGTAACCTCACACTAGAACGTGTATGATCTTAGGTAGCTCAACGAACATGAATAGTTTCAACGTAGGGGTACTATTGGTTTACGTGAATGCCATGCTCTCGGTCGATTAAAATATGAATTTTATAGAGAAAAACCAGACAGTCGGTTCACGTCATGCTTGCTATCGTATGGCGCCAATGGAGGAGAATAGCTCCTAGTGATAATAGCTCAGGTAATCTTTGTATTGGATTACTGCTGCATGTCAAATAAAGCAACCGAAGTATGTATATGGTGAGCCTGTGGGCTAGACTCACCACAGACTAGTGCAGAGCAAATGAAGTGTACCCAAACGAACTCGATAGGCAGTAAATTCTCCTGCACAACAGCAACTAATTGAGATACAGGTCTGCACCATACCCTTAAGCCTTACGCCAAACAAGCGTGAAAACGAACTGAAGTTGCCAAGGTCCACCCTTAAGAAAAGTCTTCGCCGCCCTCCTCAATTGTGTTCTTGATTCGCAGCAGAAGCGTAGTCTTCCACTTATCCAGCTTGCTCAGCTGATCGAATTGGAATAGCTACACCGCGCATTAGCACTTCTTCCCCAATCCTTTCATAAACATAGTAATCACATACCTTATCAGCAAACATTTCCTGATCGCCATCCGCCACCGCCGCCGTAAGATCAACAAGTAGCGCATACTCCCTCTGCTGCTGAAAGCTAGGATCAATCTCCCTGTACTTCTCAAGGGCGGTATTAACGCCAACCTGATCGCCTGTGCACAACTGGCAGATACCAGCCTTGAGGAGGTATTCCTTGACGGACCAGCGCATAAGATTGTTAGCGATGGATGCCTTTGCAACTTTTTCGTAGAGCTCAATGGCCTTGTAGTAATCTTTGCCCTCTAGGGCGATAAGGTCGGCTGTCTTGAGCCAAAGCTTGTTTGCCAGTGCCTGCAAGTGAGGGTTAGTCTTGGCCAAAAAGGTAGAGGACGTTTGGGTAGTAATTACTTCTGCGTTGTCCTAGATCCGCGTTAGCGCCCATATTTTTTTTCAAAGCGTTGAGCGATGGGGGTAAATAAGTATATGGAAACTTACGCTCTCGTACCAACCAGCTGCCTCTTCGTAAGCAGCTGCCGCACGCATGTTGTCGCCAAGCTCGACTTCGAAAAGTTCGCCGAGATTCTGCTTGTGAGTAGCTGCGCGGCGGAAGTTGCCTCTGTTGCAGTAGTGTGTAATGGCCTTGTCTAGACACCTTGCTGCCGCCTCTGGGTCATCTTTTCGGTAAGCCTCTGATTGTATTAGCTACGTATACAAATAAACACTCTTCAGGAGCCCTACTGAAGGCATCTGTCAAAGTATTTGCCTCATCGTCAGGCTCGTTCAGGTGTTGGCGTTGAACTGATGCCGCTTTCTCAAAGGCTTCACCGGCCTCCTTGCCTGGGACCAGTCAGTATCTCAGAGTGAGGTCGAATTGAATAGCTCTTCAATCGATATCTTTGGGAGTTTATATCCATACCCATCTTTTGCATTCGGAACGCATTTGCTGCAGCGATGAATTGTTCAGCGGCTGCCTCGTCTGTCACGTGCGTCAGTGTTGCAACACTCCGATGTCATCTGCCAGCCCTTACACTTCTCTTGCTTTCCTCCGAAGAAACTGAAGCCGCCCGACGCCTTCTGTAGTGATGTCTCTGCCTAGTAAAGCACACGAATATCAGTTATCTGCATGGTGGCTGAGCCTGGAGAGGAGGAGGCCCCACCTGTCGCAGCAATGCCCTAGGATCACTGGCCATGTTTGCTGAGTATGCGGTGTGTGGTGTGAAATAGTGGATATGTGAGAGATCTCTTAGAAGAAGAGGAAATTGTATTGAAACTTGGGTTGGAACAGGTGGCTGCGCTTGTTGTCTTCATGGGCGATGACGACCCACGCTGGGCTGGTCCATGCGAGACCCGCGGGGCACCGCCAATGGCGCGCTAGTGCTTTGCAGCTGCCTCAACCACGACTGAACTTTTGGCGACGACACCGTCCGTGTTTCGTCTAGGCTTCAGCTTTTTTTTTCGGGCGCAGATTTCAGGAAACAAAATAAAATTTAACTGGAAAAGTGGAAAAACTGGTTCCTCATAGCAAAGTTCCATTTTACGGAACCAAAACGCATCATGGCAAGTCGTCGCGTCTTTGCGGCTGTGAAGCTTTACAGGCCGACACCATGCTTGCAAATACGGTCATTTGCGCCCTCGACCCTACGGCTAGAAAAGGACTCGAAGGAATCTGCGCACCCACGGAAAAACGTCGGCATCCATCCCAGCGAGCTCGAGCAGCTTCTCGCAGAGCCCACCTGGTCCGTCGAGTCCCTCCTCCCACCAAAAACCCGTGTTCCCGATGCCCCGCAAGTCACTTCGCAGCAGCTACACCACCTGCTGCGGCTATCAGCTCTCCCGCCCCCGGAGACGCCAGAGCAAGAGAAGAAGATGCTAGATACGCTGGCAGCACAACTACACTTTGTGGGCAAGATACAAGAGGTGGACACTACTGGGGTAATGCCTCTCCGGGCTATACGCGACGAGACTGCGGCTGCGGAAGAGGAACAAAAAATTACATTGGAGACGCTCAAGGATGCATTGGCCAAAGAGAAGGTTGTGGGACGTCATCACAAGCGCATACAGCGTGACAATACACCTGTCGATGCGAAAGACGTCGAGGACTGGGATGTGCTAGGCTCAGCCGAGCGGAAGTCCAGCAAATACTTTGTTGTCGAAAGCGAACGCCCACAAGAATGAGTCGCTCAACATTGGCTCTCACAAAGACCGAAATACATACGCTAGCGCCATGGATTTGCACAGATCTCATATTACAATGAGCAATCAAATTGTCTAGCTATGTCCAGAACGACGATTCAAACACCAAACGCCTCATACTATTCGCAAGAGCATAGTATCCGTAAAGCCCGACAACACTCCAAGGAAAACAAGATGAGAAGAGAAGATTTGCCCATCCAAAGCCTTGAGAATCAAAAGGGTTGGACTCGAAACGCCAAGCAGCCAAACCGGAGAATAAGAAGACCAGCTTCAGTATCGAAGCGTAACCGAAAAAAAAACACATACTCAATTTCAAACACAGAACACCTCCTCTTCACATGGACCACAGATCGACTTCCTTGTTGCATGTTTTACAGTACTTCACAATGTGCCCTCCAGCACCACAGTCACAAAAGGGCGCTTCCTTGAGGTCGGGAAGCTCTGGTGTTGGCAGCCGATTCGAACGAGGTGTTGGAGGAGGAGTTGATTCTTCAGGAAAGTAAAAGCCTCTCTTCTCTTCTCCCGACAATTTCCTTCTTGACTCCAACGCCCTCTGTATGATTGCCGGTTTCGGCCTGACTTTGGATGAATGCTTGGCAGAAGTCACGTGAGAGGTTGAGTAGGATTCCCTCTCCCTGACTTTTGGTGCACTGCAACGTGAAGAGTCGTGAGAGCGGCTTCTGGAGGACGGATTTATGCTGTCCATTGGGTACAAGACAAAGTCGGTATATGTCTGGCTTGGTGACTCGACCTTGCAGGCACCCCCAGCGCGACGACGAGACTCTGCAATCTGAACCCCAGCTTTATCATGGTATATTGTCTGGCGGTATCTACGGGTATCTTCCTGATGTGAAGGCAAATATGATGTGGATTGAACTTGCTGCGTTGGCAACGACAGCGACGGCATGGTGATCACTGAGACCAGCGGCCGGTATGTGATATCAAAAAAGAGTTGGAAGTCTTTGCTTAAGGTCTATGAGGGACCTTGGAACTATACCAAGCTTCAAGAGAAGATGTTTTGGGGAGGGTTTGGGGTTGGGGTTGGGATAGTGGGGAGTGAGGAAAGGAGTGATGATGTGGGAGGTGGGCGGTGCAAGATATATGTGTGCAAGATTCTGCCAAGCATTATCCCACCTAGCACGCACCCGGCCTCCCTCCCCCACCACTACCCATCTAGGCTGCTCTGTCCTACTGCATTTCTCAAGTTCAGAGCACTCAACAAGCTCATATCTTCTGGAATTGTCTTTAGAATATCGGGATAACACGGATTTAAGGGACACTGGGGGTACTTTCAGGCATTTCCGCATTGGGAATATCGGAGTGCAGTTTCTTATATCGACGCTGCTACGAAGCACCCAACATGTGAGAACAAGGAAATTTAAGCCCCTAGGGCTAATGAGATGAGTGAGATGCCTCAATGCATCTGATTTTGGGAATTGTCCGGCCTTCGACGTCGTCGTCGCCCGCAGTCTTTGTTCACGTCGCTGACATGCCGTTTGGAAGAAGTAATTCAATCACTTTTCGAACCTCTTCACCATTCATATTCACTTAGTGGTACTGCATGTGCTGTCATTACTCTCTAGGTAGTCGTTTGTGGCGTGGTAACGTAGTAATGGCAGAGGAAAGACTGTCCAGGTTAGCCCTCTAGCCCGTACAACAACACCAACAGAGTCTCAAGAAAAAAAACCCCCATTTTCACATACTCCATCCTCTCAGCACCGCTTGGAAGCCTCTTCCTTCCATATCACTTATTCAAGTAAACCCAGGGACATTCCCACATACACACATGTACAAGTATGACTCTTGCATTTCAACCGTCCACCCCACGTGACCTCCCCATCTCTCTTGACCGGTCGCCAACATTTCTCCACCACCACCATCCCTCCCCTGTCTCAGGCCATCCCGCCACCATCACCCTCCCATAACAACGCCCATCATTATTATTCTTAGAAAAGAAGATAAACAAGTGGGGACCTCAAAATGGTGCTTGATAAAATCTCAGACGGAAATACGATGTGTGTGATATTTATATATATATATATATATGTATGCGTATATGCACATATGCTTATGCCGAGAAATACATAAGTAGGCGCCAATGACATGACACGACACGACACGATACGACACGGCGCCACAGCTCTTCTTCTTCTTCTTCTTCTTCTCACCTGCAGATATGTTCAGTTAGACATGGATTTATTATCAAGCCGCAGATGCAAAGTCAATTATTACCTAGGCAGATAAAAAAAAACGAGGTCTTAATTCAGGATAGAAAAATAACACGTGGAATTGGATATATCTACAAGTCCAACGAAGAAAGAAGAAGAGGCAACCAAAAAAAGAAGCCCGTCTAGTAGCATTTGTGATGATGCATGCGCCATTGTAATTCATCATTTTCCTATTTTTTCTCTCTCTCTTGAATCGCTATGCCCTCTTTCCTTCGATTTTCCTCCTTCTCCTCCCCTCCTTTTCCATTTCAACAAAAGAAAGATGAATACAACCCAGTACGTTGTGGCTTAGTAAGGAATACCCTCGTACTCGCCGTAGCCAAGGGCAAGGTTCATGTTCTGCAAGCACTGGGTTGCGGCACCCTTGAGCAGGTTGTCGATGGTGGCGTTGACGACGACGCGCTTTCCTGAGCTGTGGACTGCGAAACCACCGATTTCTACACCGTGCTTGCCGGAGATGTTCTTAACGAGTGGGGATTCTCCGACAATCTTGACTAGCTTCTCGCCGGCGTAGCGGTCCTGGTACAGGTTACGGATGTCCCGGGAGGTCATGGTGCGGTTGAGAGGGATGGAGATTGTGTGCTGTGAAAAAAAGTTAGCAAGGGTTGGGTGACACGGGTGCTGGACTCAAGAGATCAAGATAAGACTTACGTGAATACCCTGGAACCAAGCAGCAACATGAGGGATGAAAGCTACCTCAAGGCCCAGTTGGCGCGAGATTTCCTTCTCGTGGATGTGGTCCGTCAAGCTGTACGGAATGAGATTGTTCTCAAGGTTCTTGACATCGTTCTTGGGGCTGGGCTTGGTGCCAGCTCCCGAGTAGCCAGAAACACCAAAAACAGTGGGTTGACCGCCGATGAATTCAAGGAGAGGCGCAATGCCAAGCTGAGCAGCCGTGGCATAGCATCCGGGGTTTGCTATCCGCCTCGCGTCTGAGAGCTCTGAGCGATTGACGGTTTCTGGAAGTCCATAGGTCCAGGAGCTATCGAATCGGTAGTCAGCGCTCAGATCGACAATGACGGGGTCTTTGCCGCTCTCGTTGATTGCATCAACGAATGGCTTGCAGACACCGTTAGGAAGAGCCATGACCCAGCAGTCTACCTCTCCGTTCTCAGCCATCTTCTTAACGTCTTCGGCTGACAGGTTCTCATAGGTAATCTGTCGCTTGGTGTAGCCTTCTAGCTTCTTGCCAGCAAGCTCACGTGACGATACATGGCGCAAGTCCATGTTGGGATGCTTATTAAACAGCTCAATCAGAGCTTGGCCTGTGTAACCACGGGCGCCAATCAATGCGACCTTGGCAGGATAGTCCCTGCTCTTGTGCTTGATTCCGTACGGAGGGTTGGGGTTGGTGGTCTCGATGGAGCGCTGTGCGGTAGTAGAGAAGCTTCGAGTTGATGCAGGTGCAAACTTGTTTTGTCTGTTTGTTAGGTTAGCGACGAATACCAACAGAGGCTTGCTTGAAAAAGCGCATTGAACGCTTCTTTACGTACCTCAGACCAGGCCTTGTAGAAGAACGAGCCATGGTAGTGTATGCGCGTGTCTGCTGGCCCTGCTTCAAGCTAGCTACAAAGTCGGCTGCCCTTCGGAACTGAGCGTCAAGGCTATCCTTCAACATGCTGCGGCCCTGCTTCTGGTAGTTCTCCAGTAGCGAGAAGATTTCCGAGGACTCGGCTGCTCCCCACCAGCAGAAGATTTCCTTGTCACGGCGAAGGAAGCCATCCGTCTTCTCCAGGTGCCACTTGACATAATTCTGTGACTGATCATCCACAATCCAGTAGAGCTTGGGATACTTTTGCTTCATGCGCTGGAAGACCAAGTCGTTCAGGTTGTTCAAAAAGGCGTCCTTGGTCATGCTGAAGTGGGACAGCTGGGCGAACTCTCCCTCGGCCGTAGGGGGATACACGACAGCGACAACGCCCATGGAGTCATCATGGAAGACCTCGAACGGACGGTTCTTCAGGTTTTGGATGTATCGGTTGACGGCATCACTTGCTTCAGCTCCCCGGCTCTTGGTAATCCCTTCAACAAGGGCAGAGACATCCAAGTCCTCAAACTTGCTGATTTCCTTGACGCTGCCTCCGTTGCGAATAAGAGTTCCACTTCCGGTGTGGGTGAAGAGTTCCTTTCCGAGGTTGGACGGGTGTGTAATGGCAACACTGGATGTGCGTGGGAGACCGTCTAGGAGCTTCTTTGCCTCTACAATCTTGAGCTTGGTGCCGTACTTGACCCACGACTGCTTCATGTAAGTATCGTACTCGCCCTCGAGGTTGATGTGAGGGATAAGCTTGGACTCGGCATTGAATAGACCTCCCTTCTCAGAGAGGTAAATGACCTTGAGAGGCTGGAACTCGCGTGCCAATGCTGCAGCAGCTACGTCGGCATTGATGTTGAGGATCTGGCCATCAATTGTCTCACCCATGGAGCAAAGGATGGGAAGCTCCTTATTCTCAAGAGCATCCATGATCTGCCTCCTGTTGACATTGGTGATGTTGCCAACATACTTCCATTTGTCCTTGTCTAGGTAGTCGGCCTGCAGCGCACCAGCGGTGATGGGGCGCGCAGGGACACCCCAATCGCGCTTGAGGGTCATGACCAAGTCCATGTTTGCCTCCAAGAAGAGCTTGCGGGCAATGCCCAACGTCTTCTTATCCGTGACGCGAATGCCATCAATAAAGTCGGGCTCGACACCGCCTTCGAGCAGCAGCTGGTTCATCTGGGGGCCAGCGCCATGGACGATGATGGGATACAGGCCAATTGCGTGGAGCTGCTGTAGGGCGAAGCAAAGCTCTTCGAGGTGGTCGGTGAGAATGGCGCCTCCGACTTTGACTACGGCGAATTGGTGTGGTGAGACGGAGCGGAACTGGCCCAGATACTGGTCAACTTCGCGGCGGGAGCTGGAACTGGCCAGCAGGTTGAGGAAAGCGGCATAGATGGACGAGTTGCGGCCATCCTTGGAGGACGTGTAGAGGCGGGCAGGTGTTGTGGTCGCGACGAGGGCTCGCGGGAGTGCTCGCCGGGCTTGGGGAGCAAGGACGCGGTGGGAGGATCGTGCCGCTAGACGGCCAGCTCGTACAATGCTCTGCATGGTGATTGTGAGTGCTCGCAAGAAGCAGAGGCTACCCAGGCCCAAGTCGACGACTCAATCAGACACAAATTGACTACCGTGACTGGACGGTGGGGACTGGAGGGAGCGGGACCCAGGCCGATGTGTGATATGACGCCGAAGCAACAAAATTCGCTCCGCCCGCCGCCGTTATCGCTTCTTCCCCAGACATCTGGGCCAGCGAGCGCTTTTCTGGCTCCAGGGGCGTGCGTAATGGCCATTGGTCATACTAGCATCACCCGCATGCAGCCCACACACCCTCTCGCACCCGCATTGCACTGCACTGCGCTGCGCTGCACTGGGGGACGGGGGAGGATGGGGGCACCTGGTTCTGTCACTGTTCGGCCGCAAGGCTAGCTCTAACGCTGACATGGGCCTCGGATACTGCTTCTGGCTTATTCACAATCATCATCATCATCACACAGTCACACGCACATGTCGACACACTTCCATGCATGTACATATAACAAGAAAACTCCATTTGCGCGTCTGGCCATCATGCGTGGAACTAGCCTCATCAGACATCGTAGCAGGAGCGGCCCGTTCCATGCAAATCGTGCTTTACAGGATTGCGGCACAGCCGTGCGAGTGCAAACAAAGACAAGAAAGAAATTCGACCCATCGCTCCCTATTCGCCTAAAGATAGATCCTACAGAGACGGATGTCGTTGATCATGGTGCAACTCGTAGCCACTCGCCCCCTTCACCAGTGGCTCTCCCCCTGCATACTCGCTTCATTCCATGCCATTATTAATGTGTGTAATTCGTGGTATCTCATATAGGGAGGGTTTATTTCTTTTGCGTGGCTACGACTGTAGGCCGTGTTAGTGCTCGGCAACCAAAAAAAAATGGGGGGTGCTTCTAGGGCAAGCTTACCCGAAGGGACAATGATGACAATCAGCAGGATGATGATGCCGACAATGAGGCACATGCGCATCTTCATGTCCTTCCACCACATCTGCTTGCGCACGCGGTTGGCGCCCCTTCGGAAACCTTGGGCAGAGACGGCAAGGTTGTCCGTCTTGTCCTGCAGCGAGTCTAGGCGAGCTCCACGCTCAGAGACCTTGTTGATGTTGTCGCGCATGATGCCGACGGTGCTGTCGATTTCCTGGCCTGCGAGTCAGCGGATCATGTCGCATACACAAGTTTCTGCCAGTTGAAGCTGCGCAGCTCGCACATGCGCACGGCGGTCCAGGTGCTGCCCAAGGGCGCGGACCAGCGGAGTCGCTATCGCGAACAGTCTCGAAACAGGCTACGTTATGTTGACTGATCGTGCGGACATGGCAGTGCAAGGCATCGCTGAGTCGCTCTGTTCTGACAGGGTGGGAGGGTGACGACGTACAGCTTGAAGTGCCGCGGTGCGGTGGTTGCCGTTCTGGCCGCCCTGCTGGCCACCGGCGGCGGCGCCGCCGCTGGGAATGTAGGGATCATATGGAGGATCCTCACGGTTGGCCATTTTTGCAGATGGGATGCTGTGGAGAAGCTGGGTAGGGTGCGACAGTAGCGGATGGTGCGGATATGGAGGGTGGGTGGTGTCGGGAGGGTGTGAGTGAAGAGAGAAGGTGGTGTGGTCGAGAGAACCAAGAGTCAAGAGCCCGCTCAGCCCGGATGAACGAGCGTAATGTGTCAGCTACCGTTTGAGCACTGAGGCGGAGGGATGCGTGAAACTTGGCGCAACAAGACCAAATTCGGAGACAGCGGATATTCGAGCGGATATGGGATGTTGTTGCAAAGGCTGACAGGCACCACGGACGATTTTACCTTGGTGACGGCATTCCCAGCGTGATGCAACTGACGGGCAAGCACAACGGTGGCTCCAGTCCGCTTCGGGCCCGCTGCGCCACACTTCACGTGACCCGCTGCCAACCCTCGCATTACGCTGCGTCCTGTGGCTGGGGTGGCAACCAGCCGCCCGTCTCCGTCAGCGCCCAGGCATGCAGCATGCGACACACCAGCACAAAGACGAAGACAACAACAACAACAATCCATGGCAGTTCCCCTGTGTGCTGTGTACGTACATAGATGCACGCCGTGTCAGCACGCCCCGCGGCACTTCGCTTCTAGACGGCGGTGCCCTTGTTGCCGCTGTTACGTCGCAAAGCTGACGGGGCTGCTGTACGCACCCGCCGCCCCCCATGCCTCAGCCGCAGGGAATACGCATACGACGTACACAGTATGTTCGCGTTCGCGCGAGCAGGCGGACAGTGGTTCTGGGCTGCTGGCACGGCAACAAGGCGGCCATGACGAGGCCATTTCTTTTTCCTGTGTTTGCTAAATGCAGCGCACTAAACGCAGGTTGCGCCGAGAAAGCTTGCGAAGCTTCTTGATGCCGTTAGGCCTGCATCAGCATAACTCACCTCGCTCGAGTGTTTGCATCGCGCGTGCCTGAGCGCGGCTTCGAGACGCTCCCTGCAGCAGGACAGCGGGCGATGTGCCGGTCGCCCACCTATCAAACTGGGCCTGGTGGGTGGAGTAAGGCAGAAACAGGCGCCAGAGTGCCGGAGGAGCAGAGGGCCAGAGGGCCAGTGGGCCGGCAGGCTGCCCTGATCGCCAAGACGCGTGTACTAGCCCATATCTCCGGCCGCCGCCGCCGCCGCTGCGCCTCTGCATTGTCGCTGCTCTCTTGCTCAGGAGTTCTGTCTTCGCAACCACTGCCCTCCGCTGCTGATCTTGCGCCATCTCCCGTTTCTTTCTTGCTCCCCTCAACACGCTCGCTGCACCGCCCCGTCTCGCATCCCCACGCGCCACTCTCCGTCCACTCTCCACGCTCTGCGCTTGCTCTGCTCTCCCTGAATCCGTCGCTCGTTCCAGCATCGACACCAGCCACGCCCTTCTGTCATACCCCACGTTCCACCACCTTGGCCATCTTGGCCGTATTGGCATCACTGCGCATCGCTTGCCCTCAAGCCTGGCGCTTGATCTCCTTCGCTTTTGTCCGCTAGACGACTGCGACTCCAAGTCGCATTGTCCCCAGACCACTTGATATGAAGCTGACGTCTGCCCTCGGCGCCATTGGCGCCTCGGGTCTATTGCTCTCCGGTGTAGGAGCAGTCGACCTCGACATCAACTCGCCAGGTGGGACTGCCTGCCTCATGTCTCCTACCACCTCGCACTGACATCTGTAGACTCCATCAAGCAGGCTGCCAAGTCCCTTGCTATAAACCTCCGGTCTTACTACACTGGTGACCGGCCAGGCGATGTCCCTGGTAATCTTCCAGACCCTTACTACTGGTGGGAGTGCGGTGCCATGTTCAATGCCTTCATTGACTACTGGTACTATACTGGCGATGACACATACAACGGCATCACCACGCAAGCTCTGAAGCACCAGATGGGAGATGACGGCACCTTCATGCCTTCAAATCAGTCCAAGACGCTTGGAAACGATGATCAAGCCTTTTGGGGAATGGCCGCTCTGTCCGCAGCAGAGAACAAGCTTCCTGATCTCCCCGACAACCAGCCCTCTTGGCTGTCTCTAGCACAGGCCGTCTTCAACACCCAGTATAGGCGCTGGGAGACGACTACGTGTGGTGGAGGTCTGCGATGGCAAATCTACACCTTCAACAACGGTTACAACTACAAAAACACCATTTCTAACGGCTGCTTCTTCAACATTGCTGCAAGACTCTACAAGTACCTTGGCAATGACACATATGCCGATTGGGCTGAGAAGGCCTGGGATTGGGAGCGTGCCATTGGACTCATGAGCGACGATTACCATTTCTACGATGGAACCGACGACACTCAGAACTGTACTTCTGTCAACCATATCCAGTGGACCTACAATGCTGGAATTCACATGGCCGGTGCTGCCGCCATGTGGAACGTGGTAAGTATCAGACAATCATTTGTTGGCGGTGATCACGTGCTAATAACGAATAGACTCAAAACGACAAATGGCGCGGCCGTGTTCAGGGTGTAATGGATGGAATTAACGTCTTTTTCAAGAACAACGTCATGACCGAGGTTGCGTGTGAGAACAATGGCAAGTGCGACGTCGACCAGCGTTCCTTCAAAGCCTATCTCTCTCGCTTCATCGCATACACGGCTGCTGTCGCCCCTTGGACTCGTGATCAACTCAATCCTCTCATGCAGGCCTCTGCTCAAGCTGCTGCCAAGCAGTGCAACGCAGGTCCCAACCAGACATCATGTGGTCTCCGATGGATCGATGGAGGAGCCAACGATGGTAGCTTCGGTGTTGGTGAGCAAATGTCCGCCATGGAGATTATTCAGTCATTGCTGTACACTACCAAGCCCGGTCCTGTAACCTTGGACAAGGGCGGTATCTCCAAGAGCAACCCCAACGCCGGTGACACTTCGACCGATACGCCTATTACCTTCAATGTCGTCACTACTGGCGATAAGGCGGGCGCTAGCATTTTGACCATTTTCGTTCTAGTTTCGATTCTCGTTGGCGCTTGGTGGATGGTGTCATAGATTTACATGCGTACCCAACTTGTATATCAGTTATTTGGACTATGCATCATCATGCTACAGTATGTTTTTTCTTGGAAACTGTACATTGCTTGGGTAATTTTCACCGCGCTTTTCTTTAGAGATGTATTCGGATGTTTTGATCAGCGACTCGGATTACTCCCTAGTATAATAAACACAAAATTTTTCAAAGTAAAATATTTGCCAGTGGAGTCGGCTTCATTTGGACATGTCTTACCCAAACAGGCAATGGCAGTGAAGCACTAGCATTCGCTTATCTTATCCTGATCCCTGCACAAAAGTTCCAACCCCACAGTCGTTTCTTTGCCGTTTGGACTGGCAAAGGCATCGATAGACTATACACCAAAATGGCCGAACAAACTACAGAGGAAGATATTCTGCTAGCCAAGCGCATCATTTCTGCCGCTGAGCGACACGATGTGCCGGCGTTGAACATCCTGCTCAAGGACGGCTCCGCAAACGTCCAGGACCCCACGGCAACAGTAGCAACATCACCGCTTCACGCAGCAATTGCATCTTGCAGAAAGGCCGAAGAAGGCAAGGAGGCGAGTGAAGAGGCAATTCAAACCGTGGAAACACTCCTCCAAAATGGCGCCATCTGGAACGATCTTAACAAGGAGGATGAAACCCCAGGCTGTATCGCACTCCGTCTCGGCCAGAAAAAGATCTACGACATGATGGTCGAAGCTGGTGTCCGCGCCGAGATTCTCTTCGCCCGAATGGAAGCCCTAGGCATGGGCGAGCCCGCTGAAGAAGTCGAAGAAGAGGCCGAGATCCTCGAGGAGCAACCCGCCGCCAAGAAACAAAAGATATCCACGGAAGATGCCAAACCCGTCGAGCAACCAGCTTCAGAAAAGGTTCTCGACGACGTCTCTCTAGACAACCACGCCTATCTCAAGAGCCAACTCCGTTACAAATCCGGCATTCTCCTCGACGAAAGCGACAACGCCGTCATGATGGACTGGGAAACGCAAATCATGCAGCGCCACGCCGAGACTCTAATCCCCAAACCGGGGCTCCGCACAATGGTAAGTATTACGTGTACGAAAATATGTATGTGAGACATACACTAACTTTGTACCTTCGAAAAAAGAATGTTGGTCACGGCATGGGTATAGTAGACACAGCAATCTTAACGCATGATCCTGCTGAGCACCACATCATTGAGGCCCATCCGCAGGTGCACCAGCGGCTCCGCGAGCAAGGCTGGTACGATAAGCCCAATGTCAAAATTCATGAGGGGAGGTGGCAGGATATTCTGCCCAAACTTGTTGAGCAGGGTGTTGTGCTTGATGCGATTTACTATGATACTTTTGCTGAGGATTACAAGGCGCTGAAAGAGTTCTTTGCGGAGTATGTGGTTGCGCTGCTAGCGAAAGATGGGAAGTTCGGGTGGTATAATGGTCTTGGTGCTGATAGGCAGATTTGCTATGATGTTTATATCAAGGTATGGTACTTTTCTGTGATTTTTCTGGAGAAGATGACTAATGCGGTACGACAGGTTGCGGAGATGGATCTGTACGAGGCAGGCTTCGATACGGAGTGGGAGGAAATCAATGTCCCTGAAGGATTGCATGGAAGTGATCAGTGGGAGGGAACTAGGAGGCCATACTGGACCATTGACGTGTACAGGTTGCCTGTGAATACGTTTGTCAAGTAAAAAACAGACACTTCCACGGCGCCCAACGCTGGAAAGAATGAAATAAATCTGATCAAAACAAAAATACTCAAATACCATTGCTATCAAACAAAAAAAACTTAACCGAGCTGCTGAACAAGAAAAAAAAAGGGGGGGGGGGAATCGCATATGCCCAAGCCAAATAATCTCAAAGCCCCTCCACATCCAGATCATCATAATAATTAATCCCATCCCCCACCGTCGCCGGCACGATCTCCCACAAACTCGGAACAGTAACAACTCCCAAAATAATCGTAACTCTCACCAGCCACCCCATCCCCGGAAAAAACAGTGCAATCAGCGTCATCGAAATCCTCAACAAGCGGCCCAGACGCGGCAACCACGGGAACCATTGTTCTCGTCCCACATCTTCTGGGATGCGGGGTTGGACTTGATGTTGCGCATCCAGCATTTGCTCGTAAATGGCGTACTGCTGGGGTCCAGTTAGGCCGGTGCGATTCAGGCCCGTGTCGCGATGGAAGCCGATTTGGTTGTAGCCTTGAGCGTCGTAGATGGCGGGGCCATAGCTGGGGCAGCCGTGGCGGAAGCCGGTCCAGGGTTTGGCGCAGATGTAGCAGAAGGATGTGCCGCAGATGCATCTGTGTAAGTCGATTAGCCAAGACACTTTTTTTTCCATTTCTTGATGTTTTTTTTTCTCTTGGAAAGGGTGGGTGTGGATGGAGAAAGGAAGATGCAATGGACGTACCTGATGTGATTGCATGCTTCGGTCAACTCGACGGTTGCGCCGCAGGCAAAGCAGCGTTGGTATCCTTTTTCGAGGACTATTTGCTTGAAGTTTTCCTCTACGCCGGTTGAGTGGCATGGGTGTGCTAGGTTGCTCTTGTCGAGCAGTGTCTTGCAGTGTACACATGTCCAGCGACTGCACTCTTCTGCCTTGCAGATTGCGTAAGTCGTGTTGGAGAGTTCGTCTTTGACGTTGGACGATGGGTGGAGGAACCGGGCACAAGGCGGATTTGCGCAGTAGAGTCGATCTCTGTTGCCTTTTTGTTAGTTGTTGCTTGTAAGGAGTTTTGGAAGATAGATGGAAAACGTACTTTGCCAAAATTGAGTACTCGCCTTGTTCCTTGCTGTGATATGCTGATGCTATATCAGCAGGAATGTGGTCTCTGTACTGATCCAGCAAGAAAAATCGACCGCAACATTTTGGAGGGTAAAGACTCTCGTCGTTCGTCGCGTATTCGAAGAAGCCGGCTATGTCGTTTGCGCAGACAAAGTGTTCGCCACAAGGTGCTTTGATGAAGGGATCATCTTTGCTTTCGTCAGACCTGCAGACCATACATATCTTGACGTCCTTCTCAATTTGAGGTGGTTCATCGTTAGAGGGAAGATGGTCGTTGTTCGTGGTTGGAGTTGCATCGTTAGTGGAGTTGTAGCGTTGTAGTAGCCGTCTAGTGGCAAGAACGGCTGAAAACGCAAATGCAATGTTAACAAAAGGAAGTATGTAATCCATGGAGAAGGTGCGTTTGGTATGAAAACTTGAAGAGCTGATATGAAATTGGCTTGGTAAGAGCGATTGCCAGAGTACAGAGAAGTTCAAGATCAAAATGCGATTATGTTGAGGTTTTGTATAATGCGGGATAAGAGACAGAACCTGATTCCACAATGTGACTTGGCCTTAATTGTTCTTGCGCCAGGAGCAAACCATATTTAATCCACATAGATCTGAGGGTTCAGATCAAGAATAAACGAGGCATACAAATTGCGCTGCGTGTGGTGCGAAACACGCTTCCCTACACCCATGGTTAGGAGACTTTGAGTGGCTCAGAGGAAAACAGCAGATCCTCTTGAGGACTGTGTCTGACTCTTGTTTTCATGGAAAGCCTGGCGACCAATCGGAACTCAGACACATATCCTATTGTGAGGATGGAGTTTGCGAAGTGAACAGTTATCGTGAGGTCGCAGTATGGTGGATGGAAATATGAACCAGTTTCGCCTGCACCAATCAGATCGTTTGGGTTACCATTTGAGTGGCATACCCTCTAACTGCAAATGCTCTTATCATTTCTAATATTCAGTGAGGGAGTTTCAACGGTAGGTGTAGTTTCTGATTTCTGAAGTTGGTCAAGTATCGTCATGACTATCTCGGTTTGTTTTGTGCAGGCCGACCTTCTACATCGTATACTTGAATGTTCTCAGCCTTTGAGTAAATTTAGCGTAGTGAAAGTAACAATGAACACATGTGTGCTGACTGTTGATCGGAAAGGTAGAGTGTTAAATACTGGCCACAGCTACTAGTTAAGAAGATCGTTCTCTTGCTACATGTCTACTCTATAATATTATGTACAATAGACAAGCTATCTATTTACAACCCCCCAAAACGCCGAACACCATGCAGTTATAATAGTCATTTGACCATTCAGTTCTTGTCAATCCATCTTCCTCCACCTGATCCAGGCCTGACACCGGCCTTCTTCTCACTGCCCGAGTATTTGGCCTCCTCTTCCTCCCATTTCTTTCTCTCCTGTCGTCTTCTGGCAGAATAAGCCCTAGAAAACCTCCAGGCCTCTGTATCGGCCAAGTTCCATTGCTCTACTGCTCCCACAATCTTCTTCATGTTCCTATCCTTGCTTTTGATGGCATCGCGAGCTTTGTTGAGGCGTTCTTGTTCCTTTTCGACCCACTTGTCATCGGGTATGTCGATGCTTTGAATGGGCTTGGGAGGTCCTGGGCGAGGAAAGATGATAAGCTCGGACTCCTTGCTCGGCGAGCTAGGTTCAGCGGTAGTGGATGCCATCTGGGGGAGGCCAAAACCAAAGACCCAGTCGAGATCATCTTGAGTAATGCGTTCAGCCGTCAACCACAGTGAATGAGCAGGGATGGCTGCCACGAGCTCTTTGAACCTTAGCACGCGAATCTCCTCAGTATGGTCTCCTGGGACAGACTTGTCGGTCAACTTCCGGATCCAGAGATCGCGCTCGGCATTGTTACGTAGGAAGTTACTATCGATTGTGTCCCGTGTGTAATGCAACGAAGTAAGCGTGTATGGATGAGGCACAGTACCGATTGTGAAGAACTTGGTAGTGTTGACAAATTCTGGGAAAATTTGGAGTTTCATCGCCTTGTTGGCATCACATGGCTTGCATTTTGGCCGATTGGGCGGGCACGTCTTGGGCATTGGAGAAGCTGGGCATTGCGTGAGATTGCGTGCAATATTAGTGGCTTCAAACATGAGCGCAGTCGTGTGTTCCGGCACTGGCTTCACGATTGTTACACCTTCTGGGTGTTGCTCTTGCCATGTAAGATGAAGATGCGAGTTGATGAGACTTTCAAGCAGAGTAAGCGCTTCCGCTTTGGTCGTGTTGGTAAGCTTGTCGGCAATGGTCTTATACTTGCTAGAAATGGTAGCGGTACTATAAGACGCAATACCGTCAGCCTTGACATCCACTGCCACATCTGCCGAAGCCAGAAGGTTCACGACTGGCCCCCCCTCCTTGTTGGCCAGCTTGGTCAACTTGTCCTTGTTGGCCGTAACATTCTTCAACAGCTGATTATCGGCAAGCTTCTTGATAGCATTGTCGACAGCTATTTGCTCGCCGAAAAAGATGGCATTATCGAGGGACTGGACGCGCGACAACTTGGGATACTCGTTGCGTCGCAAAAAGTTCAGCATGGGGTTTTCGTACTCGGCCATGGGCAGAGCAAGCCAATTGACGAGAACACCGCCTTTCATATGCCCCCATGCCAACCAGCGCATGACCTCGAATTCAATTTTTGGATCTAACTTTAGGCGCTGGAAGATTTGGTAGAGCGGGTTGCGCTTAGCTTCATCGCGGGATAGCACTACGGGCTTGAAACCCTGTGCCCACCACGCCCTTCGCCATGCCAAAAGAAGCCTTTGCTCAGCAGCCGATACGTCCTTGTCCTGCTTCTTGGGCACATCATAGTAGGTGTAAATGGGCGGTCGTTCGCGGAGAGGAGGCAGCAAGGCTCTGTTCTCGTCGAGAGTCACAGAAGACGAGAAAGGGTTCCGCCACTTGAAGTCACTCAGCCATTCTATAGCTCCGTATGCACTAGCAGCAGTGCTGTTGGCCTGAACGGGCGGCTTGTGAGGGGAAGGGCCGAATGGATTGGGCACAGATGGGAGTTGGCCAAGGTCAGGAACGTGTGCTTGCGGGTGCTTGACGGCGTCGGCTACTTGGTCGTAGGTAGGTATGCTTTTGCGCGATGGTGGCCCGTAGAAGACTAGATTGAAAACGAGAAAGATGAGGATGATGAAGACGGCCTGGAATCTCCTCGGAGGCATATGGAGCGTCACAGGCCTCCCCATGCAGGTATATTGGATAGGCATGTCGCAATTGAGATACGGCGGGGGGAAGGGAGTAGGAGAAGAAGAGAGGACTACCGCGACATTGGCGACATGAGATTGCCCCAGGGAGCTTACAAGTCGATATCCGCAGTGGGCCTGAACAAGACGGATGGTTGGTTGGCTGGTGCTGGCCCAAAGGAGGGCGACGCGTTGTGCTGACCAGGCAGTCGAGGAGATACCCGGCTAGCGTACGTAGGGCTGGTGGGCTTGGCATTCACCCCGCCGCCACTGAGTTCCGCGCTGCACTAAACTAGGACCATGTAAGTGGTGCATCCTGCCAGTGGTATAGTCTGGTGGGGGGCGCCGATGTCGCCTGCGCCTCGAGCATTTTGACTGGATGCGTCATACCTCGAGTACTTTTGAACCCCTACATACATTTACTTTTACAGATTCTTCTTCATCTCCTCCCTCACTGCCAATTGCCTTGACTCAGCAGACGGCGAGGCTTGAATTCCGACACATCCGACACGACCTTTTCTTCAATTGCGCCTCTTTAACATTCTTATTCCCCGCATGCGCACACGCCGCGCTGTACGCCACTAGATATTTCTTTTAGACGTGACAATGGCCTCACTCACAAAGGGGAGCATCCCAGACCCCACGGCAGACCTTCACTGGTCTGACTTCAAGGGCCCAATTCACGAAATCTTTGCTAGCAATGCTCGCAAGCATCCCGACCGGCCATGTGTCGTCGAGACTGCCACGGGCAAGACTCCCGAACGCAAATTCACATACAAGCACATCTTTGAGGCCACCTCGGTACTAGCCCATCACCTCGTCCAGAGTGGTGTGCAAAGAGGCGAGGTGGTTATGATCTTCGCCCACCGAGGTGTCGACTTAGTCGTGGCCATCATGGCCGTTCTAGCAGCAGGAGCAACCTTCTCAGTACTAGACCCACTGTAAGTATCTTGTCTCAAGTCTTTGTATTTATGACTGATAATCTCAAGATATCCTCCAGACCGCCAATGCATCTACCTCGAAGTCTCTCAACCGCGCGCTCTCGTAATCATTGACAAGGCCACACGCGAAGCAGGCCCTCTCTCGGATCAAGTGCGAGACTACATCAAGGATAACCTACAACTAAGAACAGAGGTGCCTGCACTCGAGCTCAAGGATGATGGCACGCTGGTTGGAGGCACCAAGGACGGAAAGGACATATTGGACGAGCAGCAGCAGCTCAGGACTGAACTGCCTGGTGTACTCGTCGGCCCAGACTCAACACCAACCCTCTCCTTTACGTCGGGATCCGAAGGAAAGCCCAAGGGTGTCAAAGGCAGACACTTCTCGCTCACTCACTACTTTCCCTGGATGGCCGAAACGTTTGGACTATCTGAAAACGACAAGTTCACAATGCTTTCTGGCATAGCACACGACCCTATCCAGCGAGACATCTTCACACCTCTCTTTCTCGGTGCCCAATTACTTGTGCCAAGCAAGGACGATATCCAGCACGAGAAGCTTGCAGAGTGGATGCGCCAGTATGGCGCCACCGTCACCCACCTCACACCCGCCATGGGTCAGATTCTTGTCGGAGGTGCATCAGCCGTGTTCCCCAGCCTTCATCACTCCTTCTTCGTGGGTGATTTGTTGATCAAACGAGACTGCAGGAGACTGCAGAATCTGGCACCAAACGTGCGCATTGTCAACATGTACGGGACTACGGAAACACAACGCGCTGTCAGCTACTACGAGTTGCCAAGTTGTTCGGAAGCGCCCGACTTCCTTGACACAATTGGTGAGGTTATCCCCGCTGGCCGAGGAATGAACAATGTGCAGCTCTTAGTTGTCAACCGCGAAGACCGAAACCAGATCTGCAAGCCCGGTGAAAGCGGTGAAATCTATGTGCGGGCCGGTGGTCTTGCTGAGGAATATCTGGGATTGCCAGACCTCACAACTACCAAATTCATCGACAACTGGTTCGTGGATCTGCAAATGTGGATAGACAAGGATAAGAAACAGGTTGAGAGTCAGGGCGCCCCCGAGCCGTGGCGGGAGTTTTACAAGGGCCCCCGAGACAGACTATATCGGTCTGGAGATCTGGGCCACTACTCTGAAGATGGAAATGTCCACTGTACAGGGCGAGTAGACTCGCAAGTCAAGATTCGCGGCTTCCGCATTGAACTTGGCGAAATCGACTCGCATCTCTCTGCCCATCCGTTGGTGCGCGAAAATGTTACACTGCTCAAGCGTGACGCCTACGAAGAGCCGACGCTCGTCAGTAAGTTGGATTCTTGTAGTCTTTCTCACAGATTATAACTGACGTGGCAGGCTACATTGTTCCTGAAATGAAGCGATGGTATGACTGGCTGGAGGAGCGTGGTGCGAAAGAAAGCGATTCCACCGGCGACACAAGCATGGTGACGCTGCTCAAACGCTTTAAATATCTCCGAGACGACGTGCGTGAGCATCTCAAAAAGAAGCTGCCTGCATACGCTGTGCCATCGGTCATTGTTCCACTTGTCCGGTTTCCACTGAATCCAAATGGCAAGATCGACCGGCCAGCACTGCCTTTCCCGGATCCAGCAGACCTCGCAGCCGCCGGAGCTAGGCGTCCGTCGCAGTTGGGTGCAGCTCTGACGCCGACTGAAAAGGCCATGGCTAGAATCTGGGCTGAGCTCCTTGGTGACCGTGGTGTGACAGCTGACAGCATTGGCGGAAGTGATTCGTTCTTCGACCTTGGCGGACACAGTATCATTGCACAACAACTCTTCTTCAAGATCCGTCAAGAATGGAAGGACATTGACGTACCCATGACGACAATTTTCCAATATCCTACACTACGCGGTTTCTCGGCAAACATTGATCAAGCCATGGACCCCATTGGATTGCGTCTTGACACGGCGGAGGCATTGGAAGACGACCCTGATGATGAGGCGTATTCTGCCGACGCCAGAGACCTTGCCATCAAGCTGACCGAGTTCAAGACCAGAGAGGAGTTGAATCCAAAGGAAGAAGTGCATACCTTCCTCACTGGCGCAACGGGTTTCTTGGGTGCCTACATCTTACGGGACATTCTATCGAGACCAGGAAAGGTCACTGTACTTGTGCGTGCCCAGGACATTGATGCTGCACTGGGACGTGTAAGGCAAACATGTACAGCATACGGAATCTGGGAAGACGGATGGGAGTCGCGACTGGAGCCTCTGGTGGGTGATTTGGAAAAGGAGAACTTTGGACTTGAGGCAAACACGTGGAACAAGCTCGTTGACTCGGTCGACGTGGTCATCCACAACGGTGCTTTGGTGCACTGGGTGTTGCCTTACTCACGCTTACGAGGACCCAATGTCTTGTCGACCATGACTGCATTGTCCATGTGTGCTGCTGGCAAAGCCAAGAAGTTTGGTCTGGTGAGTTCGACGTCGGTGCTGGATACGGATTACTTTGTCAGGCTTTCGGAGAAGAGTCTCGCCGAAGGTGGAACTGGTGTACCCGAGGCGGATGACCTCGAGGGTGCACGCAAGGGTCTCGGTACTGGCTATGGTCAGTCCAAATGGGCAGCTGAATACCTGACGCGCCAAGCTGGCAAGAAGGGTCTCAGTGGATGTGTAATTCGCCCTGGATATGTCTTGGGAGACCCAGACTACGGTACTACAAACACGGATGACTTCCTTGTCCGAATGCTCAAGGGCTGCATTCAGCTCGAGTCCAGACCCGACATCACGAACACTATCAACATGGTACCTGTCACACACGTTGCAAGGGTGGTTGTGGCGTCGTCGTTTAACCCGCCAGTTGCACCGCTTGGAGTGGCGCAAGTGACTTCACATCCGCGTATTACGTCCAACGAGTTTTTGGGTGCGTTGGAGAAGTTTGGCTACAACGTGCCTCTGGTGCCGTATGCAGAGTGGAAGCAGAGGATGGAGAGGTATGTTGCTGACCGGTCGGGGACAAAGGAAGAGAATGCTCTACTGCCCCTGTACCACTTTGTGACTGGTGATCTACCCGGCGACACCAAGGCGCCGGAACTGGATGACAAGAATGCGGCAGAAGCATTGAAGAAGGACCAGGCATGGACAGGCGAAGACTGGAGTCAAGGAGGAGCGGTGACGGAAGATACGGTTGGCGTCTATGTCAGCTACCTGATTGAGCTAGGGTTTATGCCCAAGCCGGAGAAGAAGGGCATCAAGGAGCTGGTCATGAGCCGGTTAACGGATGCGATGCGTGAGGGGATGAAGCTGGTAGGTGGACGGCGAGGTGTTTGAGAAGTAGTATGCCAAGGGGGATGACAGATCTGGGCATTAGTAAAAAGTAACCAATATCTAAGAAATTCTAAGAAATGCACATTTGATGCGTAAGAGCAAAGGGAATTGAAGTGGCGAGCCACGTCTCTTGTTTAGCCATTAAGGCGGTAATGTTTACAGAGTGCCTTGACCCTGGAGATCTGCTGACCTGAGACCCGAGACGAGGGTGAGATTAACACGGGCTTGTGCCGTACCCGCACAATTAAGGTTTGTGTTGGCCATGGTACAGTCAACATGCAACACATGAAATGGGTATGAATAGGTAGATACTTGGGAGTAAGTATGCGGGTGTACTACTCTATGGAGAGTACGCAAAAGGATGACGTCGAATGGATACGCGGCCTAGGAGTCAAGAGGGAGGAGGGGGGGGAAGGGATCAGGTGGGTGGGGGTCGGAATGGTCGGTACTGGGTATGAGACGGGCGGAGCACGGGGCAGATAGGCAAAGGGCTTGGGCCCACGGCTCTGGCATGTTTTTTTCTTCCTTTGTGCGTCTACCAAGAAAGCCCAGGCAGAGGGTGCCGAGAAAAAAAAGAGTGGGAAGAGTTAATAATTTAATTGACCGAACGGGTGTCAAGCCGGTTGGCGGCGTTTAGTGGGTAATGGGGGGAGGGAGGGGAGGTGAAGCGTGCTGAGGGCTTTTTTTGTGCTCCTGGCGTGCCAACAGCCAAGCCCAAGATCAACAAGACAGACGTGGTTTCATCGACGCCTAGTAGGGCCCGGCCTGAGGGCTCAGCTCAGC